GTTTCTAAGTCGAAAATCAATTTAATAAACTCTGGCTTAGACGAAATAGTCTTATTACGATCAATCAATGCATGCAGGGTCATGTTGCTACAAATTAAATCATTTATGACGTATATCTTGCAATGATTACGCACGCGTGGTGATAATTTGTCCTAAAGTTCAAGTGCCACTTTTAAAAATAATCCATTATGTTTTATGAACTTGTCTATATTACAGTGATAATTTTTTGCAGCGAAACAAAATAGTTGAATGGCTGTTTTATTGCAGCGTCGAAACTAAAAAGTTAAAACAGAAGCGAAGTTGTTATTCTATAAAATGTTTTTGAATTTCATATTAGCGGTGAAGGAGATCCAATTCAATACAAATAAACGTCGCATATTTGGGCGGGAAAACGTTCAAAACATAAAATCATTTCGGCGTACCACATAAAGTTCATTTCTTTTGTCTTTATTCTTTATATTATGTTGTGAACTAAGCTTTGAACTGTATTTGGTGGTTGTAAAACACTAAACGACCAAGAGTTATTTCAAAATATAATGCGGCGGCTATCAACCATAATATCGAAAATTCGAAATAAAATTATGGTATCGATTGCATGGACCTTGGTATAGTTCGAATATACCGGAATATGGTATATTCGACCTTGGCATAGTTCGAATACAGCTAATTCAATTAAGTTTGTGACAGGCAATAGCCCAATGTATATTCCAAGCGCAAGAGGCATGAAGGGATTGATGGCATTTTATGCATAATTATGCAACGAATGAAGTTATTATTGGAAAAGCATTGTTGAGTATAAATATAATCATCTGGTGGGAATAGTGTGAGGATGAACTTAAGGCTGTTATTATACTGTATAGCGGTAACGTGGAATACACGTTGTTTTGTATTATAGAAATAACCAAAATCTGCTAATCAACCGTAGCGTAAAAATGCCCCGTGCGTACAGTGCAGACCTGCGATGGAGGGCGATTTTTTTTACTTTTCCTCTTTAAACTGCTTGAACAGGAACTCACGTAGCGCTTTCACATCGTTAAAAATGTCGACGTTTTGACATGTATAATGTGCCATTCTGCCTTTTATTACCTTGCCGTGTAACTTTTAACATGATATTAACGCTCTCTTCCTCGTAATTTTCCATGACTTTGGAACCGAATATCCACCAAATGCATTATTTATCAATCTAACTGTTTGCTCGCCTGCAAAGTATAACCACAAACTATTGTGATAAATGCAGATGTTTCTTTGGGAATTGCAAAATCACCGCATTTTTCATATGTGTCTTTTGTACTCTGATGTTCGCATAGTGTCATTGTTTGGTCGAATGATAAATATTAATATAATAATAACATAATAAAATAATTAGCGTCCATTAACGACACCATTCAAAATATGTCGATGCATTAGTTAGTCAAATGCACTGGACCCATGACATTGTTCGCGCTTACAATTTACATTTGCCTAATGCCTGTCACAAACTTAATTGAATCAGCTGTATACCGGATTATGGTATACTCGACCTTGGTATGATTCGAATATACCGGAATATGGTAATTTCGACCTTGGCATGGTCGAATATACTGGAACATTGTATATTCGACGTTGGTATTGTCGAATGGGGAGCTTTAGTCAGTATTGTTAAAAACATTGCAACATGCAGTCAGCCAAATGCTGGATCCCTCCTATCAACAATGATATGTTTTAAACGTCATTATCACTGAAATGAATACAATAGCTTTGATTCAAGTTTCATTTTCTTCTCGCTGTACCAAAGAAACCTCTTCATTTTTACAATATTTTTATATTATATACTAAGAATACTTTTTAGATATCTTCGGGGTCAGATCGATAAAATTGCAAATGACACCTTTTTATTTATTTTTTTCATTATTACTAAAAATTACAATTCAACCACATGCCAATCTACCATGTTATGTTCGCAAGTACTTAAACTGGCTACAAAGTTCTAAAAGTTTTAAATATAGCTTTTTTGAGATTATTTCCATAACCATGTTCCATTGAAGATTAAACTATCGTATTTACGACCATTCACGTAAATACCGCTGTACTGAATTTTAGAGGTACCGCAGACGCCAATGCAAACGAAGCAACCTTTAGGGGACTTTCCACCCTTAACCACGCATCGTTTGTTTACTCGAGAAGCTTTGTCGTCGTCGGTGGAACAGGGATTTGTGTGGATTTCCAAGCCAAATGTGCAACTCTTTGTCTTCCGTCCAGAGATTCGACTCTTTCGCTGCTGTGGAAAATAGTTCCGAAAGTCCACATTTCTTTCGCATGAGTTTGTACAAAACATCGTCCCAGTACTTGACTCTGGCGCAATCATAAGTGATCCTGTAGTGGATTGCTCTCTTTGTGTTTTTCTTTCCGTGTTTGTCTGTTTCGCTGGTGACTTCAACGGTCTTCTCAAAACCATGTTTTTCCAGGTCGACTTGATACGGTCTTAACACGGTTCAATGTTATTTGTAAATAATTTTTGACTGAATTAGTTGAATAATGTTTACCTGATGGCGACAAAAAGGCTATCAGAAAAAAATCTAATTCTACTCTGGAAACTTCTTCTTACGTTTTTCAAATAAAGTGATTTTAGTTTGCTGTGAGCACCGCCGTCTGATGCGAAAAACATAATAATATCTCCATGGAGTCAGGAGATTTAAATCATCGCATGAGCAATGCATCGCATTTTTTGACCATCGTTGATTAACTCTAGCTTGAAGCGGATGTTTTCAGTTCCTTTCAAGTTTACATTAGTTTCCTAAGCTATAATGATATCCCCATGCAATTTCTACAACACATTCGGATAAAGATGCCCCTTACAATATTTATACGAACATAATATATAATTGCGCATACTATGCAAATTTATGCTACTAATTTCCGATTGGTTTCCCAACCCGTGCTAACGGCAGATGGAATCTGGCATAGATGAAATTTAATAGATTATTACCCGAGCAACATTTGAAGTTAATACGGGGTCTGTTTAATACAAATTAAATCATTTGATTCATTTCAATAATTTCAAGTGCCACTTACGTAATGTCATGCAGTGCAATCACTGCAATGAGTATGACAATGCTCACCTATTGGCCCGATTCGTATTATTTGTGATCTATAATACAACAAGTTCACTGACTAGTTCAAAACAAAACAAAACCCGAAGATTAACATCTTGAAACCCAAAATATAGGTTAAAACAAGACATAGAATAAGTTCGAGATATTTTGATTTTATTGCAAAATCATCATTAGCCTACCTGATGAAATATTAATCACCAGTTAGTCTAATGATGATTTTGCAAAAAAATCGAAATATCACGAACTTATTCCTTGTCTTATTTTAACCTATATTTTTGGTTTCAAGATATTAATCTTCGGATTTTGTTTTGTTTTTTACTTCTTGAAATTGTCGGCTGGTATTGGGTTTTTTACACCAAGTAATGCTTTCAGTTGGCTTTCATACAAATCTTCACAAAAAATTAGCTCATCACTCACTTAGGAAAGTAGATTACGTCGGCGTTTTTTGTTAAGTGAAAAAAAAATAGTACAAAACCCACTCAACTATGTTTGCCTTTGAATATATGTCGTCTACTGCTTAAAAGGACTGTAGACAAGCTAGGATACTATATTACGTTGGACATTGTTAGGGTTGGACATCTCTCACTTCTTCTTCATCTCAAGCTTTCTTCGCTAAGAGACTAGGGCTAATTTTGCACTAAATTTTCCAAATGTAGTGTTTCAGATTTTCTGTACATCAAATGTTGAAGGGGCTTTTCGTTATAGTCATAAGCTGTAGACAATGCTTTTTTGTTAAAATGGCTGCACATTGTTTTTTGCTGTTTGCATTCTCATTGCATGTTAGGTTTCTTGGCTAAAAAGAGGTCGTTGTCAATTTCCTCATGCACTTGGCTTTTTGTTTTTTTTGACCATCGTTGATTAACTCAAGCTTGAAGCGGATGTTTTCAGTTCCTTACCTTGAAGCGGATATTTTTAGTTCCCTTCAAAATCTACATTAGTTTCCTAAGCTATAATGATATCCCCATGCAATTTCTACTACACAGTAATTCGGATAAAGCAGCCCTTACAATATTTATACGAACATAATATATAATTGCGCATACTATGCAAATGCTACTAATTTCCTTAACTCTGTTTTCCACTAGGCGGGATTTTTCTTTGTTTTTCTCAAATTAGTTCTGCATGAAAGCGCGCAGACAATAAGAAATTCCGCTTTGCGCGCAAAATTTCACCTAGTGGTAAATTAACAGCTCTAAATTGTTCCACGGGCGAAATTTTCAAGCGAAAATTCCGAAATATTGCGCTTGCTCCTTTTGAATTGTGAACAATCAAGCAGAATATATTTATTCAAGTGGTCGAAGTTCAAAAGAAACAGGCGAAATTTTTCCCATTTCGTCGAGAAAAATCGCCAGGTGGAATCAGACCCTTATGGTTGTGGTACGTTGCGTTGTACTACAATAATCCATTCCAACCTAACAAAAACCGCGGCTGAACCGAGGTGAGACGGAGGTTTAACCTCGGCGTAGCTCGGTCTGACAGACATTTCTTGTGGTGTTTTCGATGCCTCGATTTGTGTGTTGTCGTTCTCAACTGTTCATAAAATTCCGTTCGGAAGCGAATGGCAACCGTATGTAGTGTTTCAGAATTCGTCTACATCAAATGTTGATGTGGCAAACTCTACACTCGGAAATGTAGTGTTTCAGAATTCGTCTACATCAAATGTTGATGTGGCAAACTCTACACTCGGAAATGTAGTGTTTCAGATTTCCTGTACATCAAATGTTGATGTGGCAAACTCTACACTTGGAAATGAAGTGTTTCAGATTTCCTGTACATCAAATGTTGATGTGGCAAACTCTACACTTGGAAATGTAGTGTTTCAGATTTCCTGTACATCAAATGTTGATGTGGCAAACTCTACACTCGGAAATGAAGTGTTTCAGATTTCCTGTACATCAAACACATCTCGCTGGGGCCTATGGAGTTTCAATTTCCGGCATAACGAAAGCATAAAAGTGAGATTTTTGCAAACTCAATCCATTCCAGTTTGGAAAACCTGCCGAAGAGAAGGAAAGATTGAACATTGATTGAAGATTGAAGTGAATCCGAAAATGAAACTTTGCATTGCAATATTTGTTGCTGTGGTCGCATGTCTCTCTGAGTCAGGTATGTCACAATATATCAGTTCACTGTGAAGATACCTTCTATACCAGCTGAAATATTCCTGCCTTACAAATCTCATTACAAACATTACAACTTCTGAGTTAATCTATCCTGCACACAACCAGTATAAAGTATATAAACTAAACCAAACTTAGCTATAACATGTGTTTAAAGGCTTTGGCATGAAGTTAATAACTTCATAAAAGACGCTGTTTTTCAAGTTAGTGATAAATGTGCGATGTTGTTTTAGTAAACGGTGGAGAAAGCGAGGTGATTCGTGTTTTTGACAAACACCGAAATATGTGCAACGAGGAGATGCTACGATACTTGAAGAAGGCGGAGCTTGAGAGGCTTGGCTTCAAGAAGACTGTTGAAGTCGCCACGGAAACTGATGAAAATGGCAAGAAAACAAATAAAACGACCATTTACTACTTGGTCACCGACCATTGCTCTCGAGCCAGGTTCTGGGAAGGTGTTTTAGAACATCATTTGCCAGAGGAGTTCAGAAGCTTGAAGCTCACGTCAAAAATCATGAAAGAGATTGAAAGTCGCATCAAGGGTCGCAAGACAAAGAGCTGTACACTTGGTTTGGAAATTCACCTCCTTCCAGGTTCAAACGAGGCTCGGAACAAACGTAATGTCGCTAGAGATTCTCTTCCTCGTAGTCATAAGTGTTGTTGTTGTGGGGGTATTAATTACGATTGATTGTAGTGTTTGATGGACTGTCAGGAAATGTTTTGAACAATGAACAAGGACTTGAATAAGGACGAAAAACGTCATAATTTGTAGTGTAATTTAGCATGCATCCATAAAATTAATGTAATGTTAGTCATGTTATAGTTTGCTTCACTTGTAGTTTGCCTCAAATATATGCTTGGGTATTTGGATATTGTGGTCAACCAGTATTTGTGTTTGGCTTTCTCGGGTGGGGTGGGGGCGGTTTAGACGCATTTGTTAAATTCAAAAATCAACTCCTATATTCACAGCTGAAAATTCCTATGGCCCATGCCACTTGAACATGGAACATGACACCACAATATCATATTACGTTGGACATTGTTAGGGGCGATTTAAACTTTACGCAACTTTACGTGTATAATCTTTCTACGTCCTGGCTATCTCTCACTTCTTCATTTCAAGCTTTCTTCGCTAAGAGACTAGGGCTAATTTTGCACTAAATTTTCCAAATGTAGTGTTTCAGATTTCCTGTACATCAAATGTTGAAGGGGCTTTTCGTTAGTCATAAGCTGTACACCATGCTTTTTTTGTTAAAATGGCTGCACATTGTTTTCTGTAGTTTGCATTCTCATTGCAGATTAGGTTTCTTGGCTAAAAAGCGGTTGTTGTCAATTTCCTTATGCACTTGGCTTTTCGTTTTTTTTTACCATCGTTGATTAACTCAAGCTTGAAGCGGATGTTTTCAGTTCCTTACCTTGAAGCGGATATTTTTAGTTCCCTTCAAAATCTACATTAGTTTCCTAAGCTATAATGATATCCCCATGCAATTTCTACTACACAGTAATTCGGATAAAGCAGCCCTTACAATATTTATACGAACATAATATATAATTGCGCATACTATGCAAATGCTACTAATTTCCTTAACTCTGTTTTCCACTAGGCGGGATTTTTCTTTGTTTTTCTCAAATTAGTTCTGCATGAAAGCGCGCAGACAATAAGAAATTCCGCTTTGCGCGCAAAATTCCACCTAGTGGTAAATTAACAGCTCTAAATTGTTCCACGGGCGAAATTTTCAAGCGAAAATTCCGAAATATTGCGCTTGCTCCTTTTGAATTGTGAACAATCAAGCAGAATATATTTATTCAAGTGGTCGAAGTTCAAAAGAAACAGGCGAAATTTTTCCCATTTCGTCGAGAAAAATCGCCAGGTGGAATCAGACCCTTATGGTTGTGGTACGTTGCGTTGTACTACAATAATCCATTCCAACCTAACAAAAACCGCGGCTGAACCGAGGTGAGACGGAGGTTTAACCTCGGCGTAGCTCGGTCTGACAGACATTTCTTGTGGTGTTTTCGATGCCTCGATTTGTGTGTTGTCGTTCTCAACTGTTCATAAAATTCCGTTCGGAAGCGAATGGCAACCGTATGTAGTGTTTCAGATTTCGTGTACATCAAATGTTGATGTGGCAAACTCTACACTCGGAAATGTAGTGTTTCAGAATTCGTCTACATCAAATGTTGATGTGGCAAACTCTACACTTGGAAATGTAGTGTTTCAGATTTCGTGTACATCAAATGTTGATGTGGCAAACTCTACACTTGGAAATGAAGTGTTTCAGATTTCCTGTACATCAAACACATCTCGCTGGGGCCTATGGAGTTTCAACTTCCGGCATAACGAAAACATAAAAGTGAGATTTTTGCAAACTCAATCCATTCTAGTTTGGAAAACCTGCCGAAGAGAAGGAAAGATTGAACATTGATTGAAGATTGAAGTGAATCCGAAAATGAAACTTTGCATTGCAATATTTGTTGCTGTGGTCGCATGTCTCTCTGAGTCAGGTATGCCACAATATATCAGTTCACTGTGAAGATACCTTCTAAACCAGCTGAAATATTCCTGCCTTACAAATCTCATTACAAACATTACAACTTCTGAGTTAATCTATCCTGCACACAACCAGTATAAAGTATATAAACTAAACCAAACTTAGCTATAACATGTGTTTAAAGGCTTTGGCATGAAGTTAATAACTTCATAAAAGACGCTGTTTTTCAAGTTAGTGATAAATGTGCGATGTTGTTTTAGTAAACGGTGGAGAAAGCGAGGTGATTCGTGTTTTTGACAAACACCGAAATATGTGCAACGAGGAGATGCTACGATACTTGAAGAAGGCGGAGCTTGAGAGGCTTGGCTTCAAGAAGACTGTTGAAGTCGCCACGGAAACTGATGAAAATGGCAAGAAAAAAAAAAAACGACCATTTACTACTTGGTCACCGACCATTGCTCTCGAGCCAGGTTCTGGGAAGGTGTTTTAGAACATCATTTGCCAGAGGAGTTCAGAAGCTTGAAGCTCACGTCAAAAATCATGAAAGAGATCGAAAGTCGCATCAAGGGTCGCAAGACAAAGAGCTGTACACTTGGTTTGGAAATTCACCTCCTTCCAGGTTCAAACGAGGTTCGGAACAAACGTAATGTCTTTGCAGTTTCTTCTCCTGGTAATCATAAGTGTTGTTGTTGTGGGGTTATTGAATACGATTGATTGTAGTGTTTGATGGACTGTCAGGAAATGTTTTGAACAATGAACAAGGACTTGAATAAGGACGAAACACGTCATAATCTGTAGTGTAATTTAGCATGCATCCATAAAATTAATGTGATGTTTATTCATGTTACAGTTTGCTTCACTTGTAGTTTGCCTCAAATATATGCTTGGGTATTTGGATATTGTGGTCAACCAGTATTTGAGTTTGGCTTTCTCGGGTGGGGTGGGGGCGGCTTAGACGCATTTGTTGAATTGAAAAATCAACTCCTATATTCACAGCTGAAAATTCCTATGGCCCATGCCACTTGAACATGGAACATGACACCACAATATCATATTACGTTGGACATTGTTAGGGGCGATTTAAACTCAGTTACGCAACGTTACGTGTATAATCTTTCTACGTCCTGGCTATCTCTCACTTCTTCTTCATCTCAAGCTTTCTTCGCTAAGAGACTAGGGCTAATTTTGCACTAAATTTTCCAAATGTAGTGTTTCAGATTTTCTGTACATCAAATGTTGAAGGGGCTTTTCGTTATAGTCATAAGCTGTAGACAATGCTTTTTTGTTAAAATGGCTGCACATTGTTTTCTGCTGTTTGCATTCTCATTGCATGTTAGGTTTCTTGGCTAAAAAGAGGTCGTTGTCAATTTCCTCATGCACTTGGCTTTTTGTTTTTTTTACCATCGTTGATTAACTCAAGCTTGAAGCGGATGTTTTCAGTTCCTTACCTTGAAGCGGATATTTTTAGTTCCCTTCAAAATCTACATTAGTTTCCTAAGCTATAATGATATCCCCATGCAATTTCTACTACACAGTAATTCGGATAAAGCAGCCCTTACAATATTTATACGAACATAATATATATTTGCGCATACTATGCAAATGCTACTAATTTCCATAACTCTGTTTTCCATTAGGCGGAATTTTTCTTTGTTTTTCTCAAATTAGTTCTGCATGAAAGCGCGCAGACAATAAGAAATTCCGCTCTGCGCGCAGAATTCCACGTAGTGGTAAATTGATAGCTCTAAATTGTTCCACGGGCAAAATTTTCAACCGGATTGCGCTTGCTTCTTTTGAATTGTGAGCAATGAAGCAGAATTAATTTATTGAAGAGGTCACGATTAAAAAGAAACAGGCGAAATTTTTCCTATTTCGCCGAGAAAAAGCGCCAGGTGGAATTAGACCCTTATGGTTGTGGTACTTAACGATGCGTTGACCTACATTACTACTTTCCAGAAATAACCTAACAAAAACCGCGGCTGAAACGAGGTCAGACGGAGGTTTAACCTCGGCGTAACTCGGTTTGACAGACATTTCTTATGATGTTTTCGATTTTATTATTGTGTTGTCGTTCTCAGCTGCTCATAACATTCCGTTCGGAAGCGAATGGCGACCGCGTTCGTATTTTTTCCCTTGCGGTCCTCTGCGGTTTCTATCGGTCGACTGCAACCTAACCGCAACCGCAGTGTTTTGTTATTTCTGGACAGTACTGTAATTTTCGCAGTGAGATTATAAGCACATGCGTATACTAAGTCATAATTTACGAACCGAATGACTCAAAATTGCTTTTTTATCACCACCACGGGGGTATTTTTCGAGGGTATGAGGAGGTTTGATAGATTGACAGTTTTTCTATTTAAAATCAACACATCAAGGCTTCCTTCAGCTCAATTTTCATAATATTTACTTGTGCTTGAGAGGACCAAGTGTTTAAGACCAACATATCTTTCGACAATGTGATGAAATCACCAGGTGTTTGCTTGCATATCAATAGCATAACTGCGCTGCTCGGCCTGCTAAAATCACTTCATCTTGGAAAGCGCACGAAGAAGTTTCAAAGAAAATATTTAAAGAGAAACAATCAGAGTTAAACAATGAGTTTTGTGGTCGCTATATTTGTTATTTTGGTGGTCTTTTTGTCACCTTCAGGTAAGTAAATATTTCTCAAAAAATTGTTGAGACTTTGTCCTTAAAAGCAAGGTTTTGAATTTTTAGTTTATGGCAGAGAAACCGACGTGGTTCGAGTGTTTAGCAAAAATACGCATCGCCTAACAGAGATAATCGCGTATTTGGAGCAAGTCGACCTGGAAAAACATGGTTTTGAGAAGACCGTTGAAGTCACCGGCGAAACAGACAAACACGGAGAGAAAAACACAAAGAGAGTAATCCAATACAGCGTCACTGATGATTGCTCCAGAGTCAAATACTGGGACGACGTTTTGTACAAACTCATGCCAAAGAAATGGGGACTTTCAGAAATCTTTTCAACAGCGGAGAAAGAAGTTCAGAGTCGAATCGCTGGACGAGAGACAAAGAGTTGCACATTTGGCTTGGAAATCCACACAACTCCTTCTCGTGTGAGCAAACGCATGGCGCCTATTCCGGGATCCATCTGGACGCCATCTACTCAGGGATGGATGCCTACTCAGGGATGGATGCCTACTCAGGCATGGGCACCATCTCCAAAAGGCTATTATACCTGCAGTATGGGGGGTATGTACATGATCAAATATTATGATGAATAGTGTCGCCAAATGACGGATGAAACAAAAGATTTTGGAACTTTTTATCTTAATGATTGTTTTGTTATGAACTGTATTAATTGTAAGTTTTAATATTTTGATAAATAAAGCCATGCTATACTTCTATATGTAGATCGTTTGGTTATATACAGTTTTTCTATCATCACGACTCAACTTAAATCAGATCATAAATAAAGTTTAGCCGACAGTTTTTTCTGCTTGATTATTCAGTTTTCTGTCATAAAACGGGGATCCTGGACTTTTCTGTGTTTTCTAGCAAATTTCAGTATTCATAAATCGAATTTTACTTTGCCCCCCAGGCAAAGAGAATTGGATTTCAATTCGACTGTGAACAGCCAATGAAGTCACAATATGCAATATATATGTGGCTGCTTGAGTCTATCTTCTTTGCAAAACGGTTTAAAGCCTGTTGAGAGGAATTTTTTCAGCCATATAAACAAAAAAATTCCATTGATAGTAATAAAGTTGGTTTGGACACCTAATAATTCTGTTTGTGAGTCATTATTTACCAGGATTGAAAATGTCAACGCATCATTATTCTAACTTCAAATATATCTTATTTTATTCAAAATTAAATCATGCGCGATTCAGCAGTGGACTAAGCGCGAGATTATCTCCTACGCCCTCAAACAGCTCTGTCGGCCAGCCTGCAACACCTGAAAATATTAGCATGATAATATATTACAGTAAAGTACATCTGGGAGACTTGGAATAAATATTATGCATGCCTTTTATGCAGGTAAACGCGTAAAGCATACGGTATTGAATATATTAGTTATAACTGTTTCCTATCCAATGCTAAAGACAAGATTGAGTCTGGCAACGACGAAATATATCATTACTCGATCAGAATTATGCAATTTTGCGTGCGCGCTTCCAACTTTTCCTAAACTTAAAGTGTTTTTTGTTACTTAGTTAAAAAAATCCTATTGTATGTCACAAAAGGTCTGTATTGTCAATTTGACCTCACCGAACATATGTCGCCTAGTAATTTTTTTTAAGCGAGACAAAAGTAGTTGAACGGCTGTTTTATTGCAACGTCGAACCTAAACTTAAAACGAAGTTGTTAAACTATGAAAAGTTATTGAATTTACACATTTAATCAGCGCTGATAACAGCCTAGTCCTTGGTTACTTACTTGCTGTGGTTTTCGGATTGAGCCCGAACACAACAGACGATTAAATTTTATTTTGGAATATTCTATTACAGCTGAATATTATTGTCCAAGATATCGTAGTATGACAATCCTAACCTCTACAACAAACAAGGTCATCACTCTGATTCCCCCTATATATCATATTACCTCGGTGTTTGTTGTAAAAAGGGGAAACAGTTGGTTTAAAAGCAACTCAAAGATGTTTAATTTTGCAATAATACTCGCTGTATTAGACAAATATTCATGGGCATGCCGTCTAATCCTTGAAATTACCTAATACAGGATGAGTAAAAAAAACTGACAGTTTTGAAAGTCAAATCAGCCGCGCACTTATGGCTGGAATTTGACAATTCCCATGTGTACAGGTACAATCAACAGCAGGTGTCAGTCTTTTTTACTCACCCTGTATACTAACAGTAATCACAGGTTAATGATGTGCGTTCGGAATGTATTGATTTGGGTTCACATTATCATTCACGGATCATTAACAAAAATGTTAACATTACAACGTCACGGGTTCACAGCGTATGTGACTCAAAAGGTTACCCGCAAAATGAGTAATTTAACAACAGTGATGGCTCATATATGCTTTAATATGGTCTCCAGTTACTATGACGACACATCAGAACGAGGCAAATCTGACATCGCAAATCTCGATATGGCACGGCTAGGAAGCGTTCTCCTTCGTCGAACGCAACAATGATATCATATCATGTTGGTCAGAGGCGGTTCGATCAAATTGGATCAAACATTACGTGTATAATAGTTCTATACGTCTTGGCTATCGTCTTCCTAAGCTCACCCTGGGCGTTAAAAAATCTTTGAGAGTTGAAGACTGAACTTTTGCAAGACCGAACAAAATTTACTTGTACAAATTATCACTATACATGTCTTGAAACATTCTTTCTCAGAAAACATCTTTCTTGTAATGGGATTTAGAATGTATATCGATGTTCGTCTTATTTTAACTTGTTTTTCCTAAGACGAATTTCGTCATCTTGTGCTATGATAATTATTTGTTTCAGCTTCTATTGGATCTGTTGAGCATTTTGACCTTGCGACTGACTTAGGGAAGCCGACAAGGAAGTAGTTGTTGACCTTCTGTCATTGAATAAAACTATTTTTGTTGACACGGTCTTGGGAAAATTCTGCCATCGCAGAAAAGCGGGTCACATGCAGTGCTGGTTACTCTCACGAGCTCTAAAAGACACGAACGTCTGATCTATTACTATCTTTACGATTCGTATTTGCTGCGTATAGCCATTGCAGTGTGACCATATATGAATGTTCTATAAGCAAAGCTGCTCAAATCTTGTTTGATGCCCCCTCCTGGAATAAATTTGGTCATTATTAAAATCAGGTTTGGCTGGTTTATGTGCACGCGCGCATTCGACCGAATCTAGTAGCATCAAGTTCAAAGTTCAATATCCAAAAGCCAGCGAATGCATGGTATATTTCTTTATAATATAATCGGAATCTTATTAAAATAAATGTGCAAACTTTTGTTAAACTCTCGTCACAAATTCTGACTGAATTATGTCAGTTGACATGTATACACATTGAATTTAGCAAAGCCAATCATATTACACAAAAACTCATATACATACAGTGACTAGTCATATTGGGAACATATTTATCCTCAAAATAGTACATGTAATGGATGTCATCAGTCATCACTCAAAATTGTTCACTCAATTTTGTTTGCACCTCAAATTACTACTTTGTTCTTGAAATGAGGAAGACAAAAAATGAAATGCAGATAAATTGGTCGAAGATGAAAGTCGACTCGACGAGACTTTGTATTGCGATATACTCGTGCGAATTTACGAACCAACTCGTTGCAGAGATAAGAATTGCAGAGATAAGAACCGCCTACTTCTTGAAAATGACACATTGTGAATTCATAATTTTCTGAGAGGAAGTTCAAATTATGACTCGCTCTGAGGCGCTGAATCTTCAGAATCTAACTTTTTATGTACAATGAATGGGTTTTACGTTTTTTTCAGCGTTTCACTAAGACTCTTACATTAAATTGAATAATGACTGAATTAAATAAACTTGCAGCAAACTTAAATAACGCTTACCATGTCCATGAATAATTAGGTTTCACTCAACTTTCACAATACATCACTGTCTGACTTAAGGCGAATCTGAATTTTTGTCGCGGGTCTAAGGTTCGAGGATCGAGGGTTTAAGTCGAGGGTCGAGGGAGATATTGTATTTAGTAATGCAAGTTAAACATGGAAGGTATCTGAAAAGTCGCAAACTGAATTCGTTTTCTGCATTTGATGCCGTTTTGATTTTTGCATGAAACGCGACTAGCATTTTAGGGCTGCTTTCCACTGTTGCGTTTTTTACGCGAGGAAAAATTCAAATGCTTCCAAATCTTTATTATTCAGTTAACACACGGGTCAACAAATGCATACTAAAATACGCAAAAAACTAAGTTCGTTCGATTTATTCACCTAGCTTTTTCAAAAATGACATATATAAGGATTTAGACTTTTAGCTTTTACGTGGGTAAATACGTACGTACAGAAAATGCGACAGTGAAAAGCAGTTCTTCGTATGTTGCGTCAGAGCGTACTACGGTTCGACCCTCGATCCTCGACCCTCGACAAAAACCAAAACTCACTCGTGACTTTAAATCTAACTTTATGCCATCAAAACCTTTTCATTCCACAAAGTGATATATAGCGTGTCCAGTTTTATTCCACACAACATAACCCGATGTTAATGTCGAATATATCTCATTTTAAACAATGGATATGATCCTAAATATTTTGATCGCTATACTTTCGGGAAGTCTTTAGAATTCCCACGGAAGTTGATATCGCGAATTAAATTGTGGAAGGCAAATAAATGAACGGCTACCTGGAGAAGCCAGCTGGAGGAAGACAAACACCTGTCGATAATCTCCAGGATGAGACATCCCAGTTTTCAGTCATATCGAAGGGATAAAAGTCGTGTGTTCGGAAAGCTTGCATCAATTCTGCTCTGACCTGAAAGAAGAACTTGAAGAAACAAAATCTGAAGAAAGAAGATAAATCTGTCGAGAAAATGAAGTTTGGTTTCGCAGCTCTTGTTGTTTTTGTGGTTTTGCTGTCACCATCAGGTGTGTGTTTAATTTATATTGTGTCGTTTATTAATGAAAACATTCTCCCTTAGAAAGCCAGATGGTATCTGTACTTACCAGGTTGTAAGAGCAGTTTTTTACTAAGATTCACAGGGGTAACCAACTTCAAGAATTTCTGTATTGCATTCAGTTAACAGTGAATGCAGTTTAGGGCACTTTCATTTATAAAAATGGCCAGACTGGTCGTGTTGTATTTGAGTACCGACCGTTTTATACTGGTATTTTAGAGAGTTTCAAGAATTCTGTATGTCAATTATGTATGTCTCTGTATGTCTTATCATATGTCATTTTTAGTGTATGGAGCAGAAAGCGACGTGCTTCGAGTCTTTGACGAGAATTTACAATTGACTGAGGAGGAGATGGAAGAATACATGAAGCAAGCGGATCTGGAAAAATATGGTTTTAAGAGAACCGAGGAGACCACCTTTGAAACGGATGAAAATGGCGAGAAAAGGAAAAGGAGAACCATCTACTACAAGGTCACCGATGATTGCTCTCGAGTTATGTTCTGGGAAGGAATCCTTGAACAACGCTTGCCAGAGAAATTGAAAAGTCTGAGAATCCTTTCAACCACCGTGAAAGAAATTCAGAATCGTATTGCTGGCAGGAAGACAAAGGAATGCACAGTCGGTTTAGAGATTCATCTAGATCGACGTCGCAAGTCCAGTGGAAGCAAACGTAGTATTGCTGGTGGCCGTGGATGCATTGGTATTTGCTGGAGTGCGGCCATCGTTTACGGCAACTAAGGTGTGTCATTGGACGATTATAAACGGAAAACGGAAAAAGTGTCTTGATAAAATAATGTATTAGTAGTAACCTACCTTCAATGTTGTAGTCTTTCTTCCAACATAAATAGTAATAGAGTCAAATAAATGATCATTTCAAATTTCATCAAAATTGTGTTATTTTTATCAAATGCGTTGTGAAGTATATAGGTACCCGGTTCTTGAAGTCTTAATAATTATATTCTCTCCTCAAAAATTGCCTTAGCTGCAAAAATTACTCTCTCCGCGCAAAATTCAGCTTACTCTCGGCGCGAAATTATCAGTAATCAAATATATCAATGTTTTTGAACCGATTGATAGTACTGAAAAGAAAATTAGGGATCTTGAAAATTTTTAAAGAGTATTCCAGAGATTATCATGCACATATATTAAAATACACGAGGGTTACATGAAAATTATTTTGGGTCAACAATGGAATCAAGCTGGAATATTCGAGTGGAACTATCGTTCGTGAATCTTTATCGAGGCGATTGAGATCTTCCAATCAATAAGTTGGAATGTGAGTGAGGTTTTAAAATACAGGCGTTAGTCTCCAACATGTCGCTATGAGCCTATGACACGGAACAGTATTGAAACAGCAATACAGCTGAAATTTTAGTTCTAATGCTGGATTCGGGGTTATGAAGGGGCCACTTTAAGGACCGAAGAATTCATCCCCTTAGGAATTTGATCTTGTAATCGTATTCACGAGCACGTTCAAATAATAAGGGTCTATAAAGACCCCTAGTGTCCGGTAGACGAGGTACCAGATTATCTTTCGTGCCTCTAACCTCTTTCTTGGTCAACCTGCAAAGCCCGAAAATATTGCTTTAGACATGCATGTTTATATCGTCTGAACATCGTTATAGTTAGCCTTAGTCATCTCAACATATTGAATAAATAATTTAAAATGTTGCATAAATTAATATTTAAATAGCTCTCAAGTGTCAAAGCACACAGCAACTGGAAACTTGTGTATGTTTGAACACTTTTGGAAGAGCAAGTTTTAGACAATTTTGACGATTTTTAGCACAGAACGTACGTTGTTTATGGTAGAATACATCGCGAGTCTGGAACCTTCGTCGCCTGTACAGATATCGCCTACAATTCCCGCCAGCAAATTGGTTTAGATAACACCATGCCTATATATATGGATATTGTGCTATGCCGTCTTTGCAGTTGAACGAATATTATGGTAAGGAAGGAAACTATATGTATGAAATATTATAGTTATTACTGCTTTCCATCCAATGCTAAAGGCAGATTAAGTCTCACAAAGACAAAATACAGCATTATTCGATCAGATTTGATTAATCCCTGGTCTGTTTACTAAAAATTAGATCGCCATTATAATATCATTTTAATTATATGCATGTGTGCTTCCATCCTCTTTCTTCATACAGGCTGTGCTTTTTATATGCATAATGTTAACGGTTGTAAAAATCTCTAAAGTGGATAAAAGTAGCTATACATACTTTGCCTTTATTGACCCAACAATCCATAGAGATTCACTCTACTTCCAAATCTTTATTATTAAAACACGGACACGGTCAACAAATGCGTACTAAAATATGCGAAAAACTAAGTTCTTTCGATTTATTCACCTAGCTTTTTCAAATATGACATAGGCAAAGGCATATATAAGGATTTAGACTTTTACGTGCGTGTACGTGCGTATATATAATTATGAAAATGCGACAGTTAAAAGCAGTTCTTAGTCGGTTGCGTCAGACCGTACTACGGTTCGACCCTCGACCCTCGACAAAAATCAAAACTCACTCGTGACTTTAAATTTAACTTTATGAATCAAACTTTTTTCATTCCACGCGGTGATATAGCTCTGTCCAGTTTTATTCCATACAACATAACCCGGTAATAATGTCGCATATATCTCATTTTAAACAATGGATATGATCCTAAATATTTTGATCGCTATACTTTCGGGAAGTCTTTAGAATTCCCACGGAAGTTGACATCGCGAATTAAATTGTGGAGGGCAAATAAATGAACGGCTACCTGGAGAAGCCTGCTGGAGGAAGACAAACACCTGTCGATAATCTCCAGGATGAGACATCCCAGTTTTTTTCATATCGAAGGGATAAAAGTCGTGTGTTCGACAAGCTTGGATCAATTCTGCTCTGACCTGAAAGAAGAACTTGAAGAAACAAAATCTGAAGAAAGAAGATTAGATAAATCTGTCGAGAAAATGAAGTTTTGTTTCGCTGCTCTTGTTGTTTTTGTGGTTTTACTGTCACCATCAGGTTTGTGCTTCGTTAACATACACGATATTAATTTATTAATGAAATTTCATTTATTATTGATGAATTTCATTTATTAATGAAAATATCTTCTTAGAAAGCATGGTATTTGTACTTTCCACGTAGCTGTTTTTTACAAAAATTAAGAGTAACCAACATTAAGAATTTCTATATTGCATTCAGTTAACAATGAACTGAAGATTTGCATTCAGGCATGCAGTTTAGGGCGCTTTCATTTATAAAAACGGCCAGACCGGTCCTGTTGTATTTCAGTACAGACTGTTTACTCGTATTTTGGAGAGTTTCAAGAACTCTGCATTCAAGTATATCGTTATTTACATCTTCCTGGCACGGAAAATGCAATTTCACCGCTATATTCTTAATGCCTGGTTTCCATTTAGTCGTGAGTGTCGTGAACATGTCAAGGTGGCTGATGTGATAGAATATTTCTATACGTGTGCAGTCAACAATGACAGATTCGAATACAGGAATGAAAACGAATTTACATCCCGACAATTTCTTATCGGCGAAAATGACTTGTTAACGACAATTACGAATAAATGGAAACCAGGCTTCTATTTCAATTCAAAATATGATCGGTTTGACAATTTTTGCCGCTTAAATTTAGAAGAGAGAAGTGATAATAAAATCTTTGAGAAGAAGATAAGATTGGATCTTTCAGATACAATGGGCCATTATAGATACAAAGCAATACAGAGTTGAACAGTTTATCGTTTGTAAATTTTAGTGTATGGAGCAGAAAGCGACGTGCCTCGAGTTTTTGACGAGAATTTACAATTGACTGAGGAGGAGATGGAAGAATACATGAAGCAAGTGGATCTGGAAAAATATGGTTTTAAGAGAACCGAGGAGACCACCATTGAAACGGATGAAAATGGCGAGAAAAGGACAAAGAGAACCATTTACTACAAGGTCACCGATGATTGTTCTCGAGCTATGTTCTGGGAAGGAGTCCTTGAACAACGCTTGCCAGAGAAATTGAAAAATCTGAGAATCCTTTCAACCACCGTAAGAGAAGTTCAGAATCGTATTGCTGGCAGGAAGACAAAGCAATGCACAGTCGGTTTAGAAATCCATCCAGATCGAAATCGCAAGTCCAGTGGAAGCAAACGTAGTATGGCTGGTAACTGTTGGTGGTGGTGCTGAGTAATGCGGCGATCGTTTAGGGAAACTAAGGTGTGTCATTGAACGGTTTTAAAAGGAAAACGGAAGAAGTGTCTTGATAGAATAATGTACTAGTAGTAACCTGCTTTGTAGTTTCTAATGTTGTAGTCTGTCTTTCAACATAAATAGTGAATTGAGTCAAATAAATGAGCATTTTAAAATGATGTTTCTTATATCAGTGTTTTAGAATATATATGTACCTGACCTGTCCAGTTTTTCATATACTTGACTTTTTCTCAATTTACAATATTGACTTCTAAAAGTTTTAAGAAATATTTTCTCCTCAAAATTTACTTTCGAGGCCAAAATTACTTTCGCTGCAAAACTATATTAGGCAAATATATCAAATATGTTTTCAAGCAAGCTCGCCTAATTGTGTTCTTATATTTTCTGCATCATTTAGCTTCACTTGTATTACCGACCGTTTTTTTTTACATCTTTCACAACGCTGAGATATTCTCTGCTAGCAATCGGCAAGGAACGTTATAAAGTATAAACCGAAATTTTGAAAGGCTATGAAGCCATGTTTTAAACATAAAAGACGACGCTTTGCTCCTTCGATCGAATTCAGCAAAGTGAATTTATAATTAGGCGCAAAACCTTACTAAGGGGACCCTCCTCCCATTTGACGTCCATTTCTGACGATTTATGGCCAGGCATCTCCTCACTATTTTTTTTCTCGCTTCCCCGACACAGCTAGCCCAAGCCAAATATGCATATTTTTAATACATAAGAGATGCCTGCGGAGGAGGCTAGTCGTCTTGTTAGAATTTGAATCAATACAGAGTCATTACAAATTAAATCATTTATGACGTATATGATGCAATTAATTATGCACGCGTCGTCATAATTTGTTCTAAACATATGCTCGCATAATAGAGAGGGGGTTGCTTTAATTGTGTAGGAATTAGGTTGTTTGAATTATAATACCCCGTGATACACCAAAATTTGCGTAACCTGCCGTTATCTGCGGATTTTACGCATGTTGAACAAAAATAATGTTTGGGCGGACATGTTTGGACATGGAGCTCAGATTTTTCCGACAGAGGTCAAATCTTTTCAATGACATCTAAATAATCTGCTTATACAGCATAACACTATTAATTAGTATATGATTGTGTAGTCGTGTGTTCTCAAAATGAAAGCATATATAACTACAGTCTAAAAGCGATATGGCAGAAAAATGGCGAGTTTATATATATCATATCGATTTTTACCAACCATTTGAATTCAACCTTCGATACGCACTGGCGAAAATTGGTTAAATGCACTTTGTTGAAAATATTGTGCATATTTGTAGTATAGCGTGTATATATATACTATAATGTATATATGTTATATCAGCTATACTATATACATGTACTATGATGTTATGTATAATATAGGTATATAAACAAGATAAAAGTTGATGTAAAATAACAGGAAGCTCGCACAGGATCCTATAACGCAATAATTAGTTGTTTTTGCCAAAATGGATCGTGAAATGAATGGATATATCATAAATGAATGCGAAAGTTGTTTGGTCGTGCCAAATTAGTATTTATATAGGAGGCAAAAGAATGTGCGTCGGAACGGTTTCCGAACCAGGACTATAAGTATTGTGTAGAACTTTATTATACATATTGGATATACGTATTCTATATAAGTATTTGCATAAAAACAAATATGAGATATTTCACGTCATAATTAGTTTATTATATTTACATCTCAGATATATGTTTTTTATAGCATGTATAGAATCTAATTGCTATCATAAATCTTAAACTATATAATATTATTTTCTCACACGCACTAGAAATAGCTACATTTGTACTTGCGAAAAACCCTAGGATTTTGGGGCCTATTGACGCAGGTGCATGATTATGTCAAAATTATATTTTTTCTCGCAATGCAAGCTGGCAAATCACCAGTAGCGACATCACCGTGTCTTCGATGAATACTTTTTAGAAAGACCCTCGACAGACATATATTTTGAAACGACTTTAGAGGACTTTCCACTCTGAGCCACCCTGCGTTTGTTCACATCAGAAGGTTTGTCGTCGTCGGTGGAACAGGGATTTGTGTGGATTTCCAAGCCAAATGTGCAACTCTTTGTCTTTCGTCCAGAGACTCGACTCCGAACTTCTTTTGCTGCTGTTGATAATATTTCTGAAAGTCCTTATTTCTTTGGCATGAGTTTATTTAAAACATCATCTCGGTATTTGACTCTGGCGCAATGATCAGTGACCCTATAGTGGATTACTCTCTTTGTGTTTTTCTTTCCGTTTCTGTCTGTTTCGCTGGTGACTTCAACGGTCTTCTCAAAAACGTATACATCAAAGGTCGACTTTATTCAGATACTGGATTCAGATACTGGAGTATTTCGTTCTTAACGACATGCGATTTCGTTCTTTCGATTAAAAACTCGAACCATGTCGGTTTCTCCGCCATAAACTAAAATGTTTAGTCAATTATTAGCTCTTTAGTTTAAATCTTAACACGGTTCACGTTATTTGTAGATAATTTTTGACTAAATTAGTTGAATAATGTTTAACTGATGATCGAGCGATGACGAGAAAAAGGCTAGCAAAACAACAAAAATTACAAATCCATGCTTCATCTCATAGACGTACGAGGCAGGGGGGCTGGGGGGCGGCAGCCCCCCCAGTTTAGTCAGAAATATTAATTAGTCGGGCAATTTGTATTTACGAGTCGGGCAATTTGTACTTAAGTGAATTTGGTCTCCACACTACGTAAAAATATTTAAGAATGCTCAAATATGGTAGAATGTGGTAGAATATATATGCTTGCAGCTTGCGTAAACCCGAATTAAAGGAAACGAAAATAATTCAAATAAACATGCTTTTCCGTTTGTGCCACTGGCTACCCTATGTGCCACAACTGATTGGCGCAGCAAAACGCATCATGTAGTTACGAAACACTTCTATCGTTTTGTAAGTTTGTAACTTTACTAACTTTTATAGCAACTGTACATAATTTAATCCGAGATTTAATCGGAGTTGGGGGGAGGAAATCATGTCTTTTATGCACTAGATAGACCTCAGAATCCCGACTTTATTCTGCAAAATCTCACGCGGAAAATGCAGGAAATCACATTTGCGGGTCGCTAATTTTAAAACATTTTCGGGGGGGCATGCCCCCGGACCCCCATAGTATGGCTCACGCCTTCGGCGTTCGCATCTCGGCTCTCCAAAACACTGACCCTGGCTACGCCGCTGCCTAAACTCGGCAAAACGATTTCCCCTTTCCGATTACGCGCTTCGCTATGAATGGAAATCAACTTATCAAATTGCCCAAATAATGTGAAGGCTGTTAAAGTTTCGTTATAGTACCCAAGCAGGAAATGGTATTTCAGCGTTTGTACGTTCCAAAATACCGGGGGAGCAGACCCCTAGGCCATCCTTTTTTTTCTCAGTCTTCGGCACTCGTCGGGCAGACTATACCCCCGCCCCCCCAAAATTCCTAGCCCCGTACGCCTATGCTTCATCTTTAACAATTTCGCCTTTCGGCTTTCGAAATTCTATTAAATTTTGCCGGAAACCTCTTCGTACGCGTTTCAAAATAAAGTGATTTTATTTTGCCTAGCTCCACCATTTTATGCAAAAAAACAGAATATACCATCACATGAACAAGCTATTTCACCGTAACTCTATAAGTAGCTAGTGTTGTCAGTCAACACCTTATTAATGTTACAGCTTGCATTTGTTAATTGCGTAAGAAGATAAACTACTTGAAGAAAGGTCATGCATGTGACTGATTGTTTTCAGGTTGGCAATAACAAAACTGGTAATTTGCGGGGTACCATTTTTCTTCAGTATCTTAATTCCATACAAGTTTTCATACACAGACGCCCAAAATTATCCACGATTTCAAGCTTGCTTCGCTAAGAGACTCGAGTTATTTTTGGTAATTTTGCACTTAATTTTCCAAATGTCGTGTCTCGGATCTCCTGTACAACAAATGTTGAAGTGGCTTTTCGTTACAGTCATTAGCAGTATACCATGCTTTTTCGTTAAAATATGCACGTTGTTTTCTGCACTTTAGGTAAAAATGGGTCGTTATCGGTCAGTCTCTCATGAACTTGGCCTGTTTGATCTTTTGATCATGCATCATGAACCTTCCCGAGGCCATTCTCACAGAATAATAGCTTGTTTTTTACAGCTGTACTATACATTCGCGCTCGCCTACGTTATCATGTGGGACGTTAGTTCCGTGTTGCGGCTACTACGCTCTACTGCTGTTTCAAAGTTCATACTATTTTTCTATGCTATAATGATATCCCTATATATGCGTGCAATTTCTACTACACTTTCACATACAGAAGCCCCTTACAATATTTCTACGAACATAATATATATTTGCGCACACTATGCAAATGATATTATTCTTTTTAAGCCTGTTCTTCTCCACTTGGCGGAATTTTGCGCACAGAGCGGAATTTTCTTTCAGATTATTGCGCGCGGAGCGGAATTTTTACAGTCTGCGCGCTTTCATGCAGATCTAATGTGAGACAATATGCTGAACTTTGCGTTGACAAGTTTATAAAGCACATGCGCAAAGCAAGTCACAACTTACGAACCTTTGGCTCAAAATCGTTTTTCCATCACCACCACGAGGGTATTTTTCCCCGCAGTATTGTACAAGCACATTATGACTGCGGATTTGGTAAAAAGGTTTGATAGATTGCCAGTTTTTCTATTTAAAAACAACACATCCAGGCTTCCTTCAGCTCAATTCTTGCGGTGCATGAGAGGACAAAGTGTTTCAGACCAACATCTTTCGACAATGTGATGAAATCACCAGGTTTGCTTGCATATCGATAGCATAAAACTGCGCTGCTCGGCTTGCTAAAATCACTTCATCTTGGAAAGCGCACGAAGAAGTTTCAGAGTTTTAAACAATGAAGTTTGTAGTCGCTATCTTTGTCGCTTTGGTGGTATTTCTGTCACCTTCAGGTAAGTAAATATTTGTCAAAAAGTTGTCTGAATTGTGTTGAGACTTTTCCCTGAAGAGCGAGGTTTTGAATTTTTAGTTTATGGTGGAGAAACCGACGTGGTTCGAGTTTTTAACGAAAATTTGCGTCGCGCAAACAACGAGATATATCATCTTAATATCACAGTGAATAGATTGAGAGTATACATAGCTTACTACATTATAGAGTTTAATAGTTTATCGTATGTCATTTTTAGTTTATGGAGGTGAAAGTGACGTGCTTCGAGTTTTTGACGAGAATTTAAAATTGACTGAGAAGGAGATGGAAGAATACATGAAGCAAGCGGATCTAGAAAAACATGGTTTTAAGAGAAACGAGGAGACCACGACTGAAACGGATGAAAATGGAGAGACAAGAAAAAAGAGAACCATCTACTACAAGGTCACCGATGATTGTTCTCGAGTTATGTTCTGGGAAGGAGTCCTTGAACAACGCTTGCCAGAGAAATTAAAAATCTGAGAATCCTTTCAACCACCGTGAAAGAGATTCAGAATCGTATTGCTGGCAGGAAGACCAAGGAATGCACAGTCGGTTTAGAGATCCATCCAGATCGCTGTCAGAAGTCCAGTAGAAGCAAACGTCGAGTGCCTAAAGCTTGCCGCTGGTGCGGTGTCTGCAGAAATGCGATCATCGTTTACGACAAAAACTAAGGTGTATTATTGGAATATTGGACGATTGTAAACGGAAAACGGAAAAAGCGTCTTGATAGAATAATGTACTAGTATTCTACAGGGTGAGTAAAAAAAGTGACACCTTTGAAATTCAAATTAGCCGCGAACTTATGGCTGGAATTTGACAATTCCCATTGTGTACAATCAACAAGACGTGGTTAATTAATGCGAAAGTGTTTAAACCAATTGAACTAATTCCACGTTCTTTTTTATTACGGAGCTTAGAATGCATTTTAACTCCCAAAGGGAACAAACTTTATGTTCTGTTCACTTATTTGATATGCTTCGTATACCCATAAGATATTTTAGGCAACTTCTGTCTCATTACAGCCTATTACAGACACATTGCGGCTAATTTGAATTTCAAAGGTGTCAGTTTTTTTTTACTCACCCTGTAGTAACCTACTTTGTAGTTTCTAAAGTTGTGTAGTCCAGCCTGACGATTTAGTCATACCATGCAAATTTTATGTTATTATCATTATTCATTTCTTTAGAAATTCATTGTTTTCACCGTCAATGAACACCAAAATATTAGCATAGCATGACTAAATTGTCGGGCTGGCTACGCCACTGGTGTAGTCGTGTATTTTTGTAGGAAAGTTGTCTTGCAACATAAATAGCAAGAGAGTCAAATAAATGATCATTTCAAAACTTATCAAAATGGTGTTTTTTAATTTATATCAAATTCTTGAAGTCTTAAGAATTATATTCTCTCCTCAAAAATTGTCTTAGTCTCCAACATGTCGCCATGACGCGGAACTGTATTGAAACAGCGATACAGCTGAAATTTTAGTTCAAATGCTGGATTCGGGGTTATGTACTCTTTATATCATTCTTCTCACGACCCCGAGTAAAATATTGACGCATAAGCTAAAGACACAACTAAAATTGAGCACATAAATAAATTTTTAAAATTAAATTTTATCTCAAAGCTTGATTTTATTCATAACAACAGCGTTGATGTTCGCGGACGTAAATATGTTTTTGGCCCGACTTTAGACCGTATTACTATTATATTAACTTTAAAAGGGCAATTTTTTTATAAAAAAATATGCAATGGATAAACACTTAAGTCATTCTTCTGATTGGCTTAGATCAGCGGGCTAAAATATATTTCAGCCTGGCAAATTTATCGTCTTAGCCCGCAAAATACACTGCAATGCCCGCCAAAGTTAATGATAATATTCCACTCGTAACCGGAAATGAGACTAGAAAAAAATATTTCCCTTTATCAACTTCTCGCCATAACTAATGCTTTCTCTTCTTTACTCATATTCTGTCCACTGGAAGCGACGTATTCCTTGTATAACTTATTGAAATGAAGAACCACGATTGGAGTCGGAAAACAGTACAAAATAATAATCCCGAAGAGCGCGCAATATCCTCCAAGTATTTTTCCCGCCACTGTTTTGGGTACTACGTCACCGTAACCCACCGTTACCATGGTGATAATCGTGTACCAAAACGTATCTGGAATGCTACAAAACTGTGACTTATTTTCGTCTTCCATGCTACAAAGCTGTGACTTATTTTCGTCTTCCATGCCTGTCTCTGCGAAAAACAAGAAACTCGAGAACAGTATTACCGTTATTACGACGCACATCGCAAGCGCGCGAAGTTTTCCCCCACAGTCATGCACCGCGCGGCCAAAGACTTGTAACCCCGCGTAATACCGCGATAGTTTGAGCAATCGTAAAGACTTCGTGATACGAATTATACGAACGACCACGAGCGAACTAACGCCGACAGAATCTTCGACAAGAAGTTTCGCGTAAAATGGAAAGATTGCGATTAAGTCCAGCATACCGAATGGCGATTTCACGAACCACCACCGGCTTGGCGCGAAGATTATCCGAAGAAGGTACTCGGATGAGAACCACGCTATGCACACAGTGTCCATATAAAACCATAACGTAAAAAGACTCGCCTTAGACCCCTCCACACTGTTCTTTCGACTCGCGGTATTTGAGAACTCTGGGAGTGTCTCTAAGATGTAGATTACGACGCTGAACAGTATTAAAAAAATGGTGATATAGCTAAAACATTTTGCCCAAATGCTGGAATCCGGATCTTCAAGAAACGTCCAAACCTTGCTTTTAAAATGATCTTCTTCGTAGGTAGGCTCTGTTTCGTATTCCGAGTCTAAACAAGGGAACCTGTGGTCCTTAATTCGAAAAAATCGGAGTTCTTCTCGGAACACGTCGCCGGCGACCGTTTCCGGCCGCGAAAGTATGCCGTTCGACTGATAATAGAACAAAATCGCATCGAATGCAAATTTATCGCAGGGTAAAATATACACGTTGCTCGAAGCGTCGTAGAATTCCCGTCGAAGCAAGGGACAACCCAGCGTGGTCTCCGGGAATTGATCTAACGTTTTCTCGTAAGTTTCAAAAATTGTCCCGGAAACATTAAATTTTATCCTTCGCTTGCTTGCGTCGTACGTCGTGTCGGGTGCTTTCCAGTAGTTGGGTTGGATAACACGTTTGTTTTTCCTTGGCGAGCCAAAGACATCCTCGTCACTGCTCGAACCGTTTGATCTAATTCGTTCAACAGCGCGAACCTTTTTACGAGGTGTTGCTCCGTGCATTTTGTACTGAAATAGAAAGCGAAGAATGTTTAATTTGCATAACATAGCATAGCCGAATAAAGCCGATAGCAAATTACATCCTGTAAAATTTGGTAGCAAATTGCATAGCAAATTACACCCTGTATGCAATTTACAGATTAGATACGTTTTTCTAAAATAGTTGATGTTCAATTGATAACCGTAACTTAAATGTTCAAACTTTTAGTTGCCACATTTTTTATGGAAATATTGTCAGAACGTTCGCCCAATTTGGGCATTAAAAAGCCAAAAAAGGGACATGGCGCAGTGCTCGGAAGTATTCGTCCAATTCGATAATGCTTTTCTATGCTTTCTAAAGAACAAAGCTATGCTATTGGTTGAAACAGAAATGTATTGTAAAGTTCAGCCAATGAAAATCATTCTTGCGAGGAGCTGCGACCCCACTCTAGCAAATTACACCCTGTATGCAATTAACAGATTAGTTAAGTTTTTCCAAAATAGTTGATGTTCAATTGATAACCGTAACTTAAATGTTCAAACTTTTAGTTGCCACATTTTTAATCGAAATATTGTCCGAACGTTCGCCCATTTTAGGCATTAAAGATTAACGTTATTATTCCCGTCGACGCAAGTACGGGTGTCAACGGAATATGTCGGAGATTTCCGCGTAAGACTCTACAAGTTCACAAATTATTATTGTGCTGTGCCTCAATGATTAATTGACACTAATTTTCTTAAAATGCTTCAGTATAATGCTGCTAGCTAGGTTGACCTGGTTCAAACACTTATTGATAGTGATAAATATGCCATGTGTGGTGGACTGTTTTAGTCACATCCCAGCTCAGTACTTCTTGTTCGCTAAAGTTTTCGTCCTGCTGACGACTTGCTAAGTCGCAAAAAGTAGTCTTCCTGGTTCAACCTGCCTTCAGAAAGTTTCAAGCTATACACGAAGACTTTCCTTCAAATTTTTATTATCATTTTTTATATTCAGTTAATTTCATCAATATAAACAAAACACTTAAAAAAAACAAATTTTGCATTTCAATTTTTCGACATTCCATTACAAATTTACACGTTAATGTATACGTTAAAACACTTTTCACAGTTAATCAAATTAAATTCTATTTCAGCCGTTTCTGTCTGGCTAAAAACAATTCATCGTTGAATTTCTTCTCAAATTCCTTCGTATCTTTTCCGGACTTTTCCATCTCGCTAATGACGTATTCTTTGTAAAGTTGTACGAATCTCACGACGATGATCGGTGTCGGAAAACAGTAGAGCACGATGACTCCCGAGAATGCGCAGAACCCTCCGAGGATGCGCCCGAGCACGGTCTTCGGAACGTAGTCGCCATAGCCAACCGTAACCATGGTGATGATGACGTAGTAGAACGCATCAGGGATGCTTTTAAATGGCGAGTCGTCACTAAAGCCTTCAATATAATACATGGAGCTTGAAAATAATATTACGGTGATAAAAATACAAAGTGCTAAAGCGCGGAGTTTATCTTGGCAGTCTTTAATCGTGGCTGTTATTATTATTATTATTATTAAACTTTATTTACACACGGTATTCTCAATCAGGATTTTCATGCTGACAAATGACAAGATTATGAATTACAAAATAAGACTACAAAAATATTTACAATGATAAATCAAACTAATAATTAATATACCTGCTTTTCATGAGAGCCGTGTAAGGAATATATACAAGAAATATAATATAATACAAATGTGAATGTAGATTAAAATAATTTGGAACAGCCCGCTTTAAAATTTGATAGGTTATTTGCTAGCCGTAGCCCAATCGGTAGGCTGTTCCATAGCATCGCACCACTATAACTAAAACTATTCTTCAGATAGTTTGTGCGAGGCTTAGGAACAGCCAGCTTACTATTTGTGTTTCTCAACGAATAAGGATTGACACTGTCACGGTTTACAAACATGGAACCCATGTATTGTGGAGCAAGTCCATTGAGTGATTTATAAACCATGACAGCCTTTTGAAATTGGCGTTGGGAAGATAACTTTTTCCAGCCAAGTCTATCGAGTAAGATGTCGGCATTAGTGTCATAGCTTGAAAAGGTCAAAACTCTCGCTGCGCGATTTTGTAGTTTTTGAAGTTTATCTGCCAAGGTTTTATTGCAATTGTCCCAAACTGTACAGCAATAATTGAAATATGGCTGGACAAGGGAATTAAAAATTAAATACAATGTTGCAACTGGGACAAATGAACGAACGAGTTTTAAAGCGCCAATACCACGAAGAGACCTGGGGCGCGAAGAGACCTGGGGCGCAATGATAGCGCGATAGTTTGAAAAGTCTCAAGCAGCGCCCGACTCGTAGAATCCGAAGTACTGCAAAAGACGTCGCTCCGCTGTCGCTTTGCAGAAAAAGCGTTAAATAGAATGGCAGAACGGCGACAAGATCCACTAATCCGAACGGCGAGTACAAGAATCGGATTCGATTTGGTGTAAAGCTAAATCGTAGGATTAACTCAACGGAAAACCAGATAATCCATAGACACTCCATTATAAACCAGTGGTCGCAATGATTCGTCGGATCCGAGTCAATTTTGCGCGGTTTTAAAGCAGGCACCGTCTCAAGACAATAGGTAATAAGCGAAAGCGCGATTATGAAAATTGAAAAAAAGCTCAAATATTTTGCTGCAACGCTCGATTCAGGGTTTTCCAGCAGTTCCCAGCCTCTTTCTCGGAAAGTTAGCTCGCTCGGGTCCCGCTTCGCTTTAGTTTTTGATTCGATGACTTTGTTGAGAATCGGAAATCTCCTGTCGTTGATTTCGAAGAATTTGAGTTCTTTCTTGAAAACGTCACTGGGCACATGTTCCGGTCGGCATAGGATACCCTTGGATTGATAGTAAAAGAGAATCGCGTCGAACGTGTTCTTGTCCCGCGCAAAGTAGTATTCGTCTCGGATCGGATCGTAATACTTCGTACGCTTTTCGTAAGAGCCGAGCAGCGTCTCGGGAAAACGGTCAAATGTGCTTTCAAACGTTTCGAAAATCATGCCGCTGACGTTGAGCCGTACTCGCTTGTGATTGGACAGACCGTTTTGGTTGTCATGGAAACTCCCGCGCAAACACGAATATCTGCGCACCTTCTGCTGGCAAAAAGGACTGGCCGGGATTGCCGAGTAAGCCTGCATTAGGTTCGTTCAAATTCACCCGTCGGAAGTTCACTTCACCAAAAATCGTCTATTGAGCGATATTCCTCGCATTTATTTTCCGTATTATGGTCCCCTACGGCAGAATAAAAAAGTTCAACAATATTTATCGCCTGGAGGCTGTTATCGACGCTAGATTACGCTAAAAATACTCGCCAAGCGATAGTTTGGCTCCACAGAAGTGGAAAAAAAATCGATCGAGAGAAACTTTACTATAGTATAGGTTTTATCAACTACGAGAACTCTCACCCAGCTTTTATTTTTACCATTTTACGTCTAAAATTGCAAACTATGTTTCACGTTTAAGTTTGTTTATGTACGTTCAATTCAAAACAAATGGCTGGTAGTGGTAAAAGCATTAAAAATATTTTCCCGATTTTTTCACGATGAAGCTTTACACCCGAAATCACAAGATGCAGGACTGTTGATAACAATGTTTTTATGCTATTGAATACTTCAAACATGAAACTTCAAACTGTTCTGTTCTCAAAGTAGGAAAAAATTGCCGGCCAAGGTTTGTTTAAAATGTACGCCAAGTTTTGTTGTGTATAAATGATAAATACACTTACAATTAACACGCGTATAAGTGAAATGTAATTAATATTTACCTCGCTTATTATCCTGCTACCATTTGTTTAACTTCATCTGAGTTTACTGAGGATTATCTTGAAGATGGTTGCGTATCACTGGGCATTCGAAGCTTCGCAAATCTTCATTAATACACCTGTTTTTAAGCGTCCGTCGTATGCAACTCAGTTCTGAGTGACCTGCTGTTTCAGCTGAATAAATGTTGCGGTTTTCGTATATTGTTAATTATAAATGAATGCTTGTAGGTGGAACAAATTAACTCCATAAGAGTTAAGGCTTTTCCTTTTGTTCAAAGGTAACCGGGCAGAGAAGAAGGCAATCCGTTTCATATTGCATGTTTAACGTTAGAATATTGGTTGAGACATGTCGATAATCGTTTGCATTGCGGATATTATTCCCTTCTTCCGGGCATGTGCATAATTGTTGCAAATGTATACACGCATGTACGTATTTTTACAAGCAACGTCAACACTCAATAAACATGCATGGCCACCTTGTTTTGGCTATTTAAACACACAAAGACCATTCATATTGGGGTATCTTCTGTATACAACCGGGGTCAGTCGAAATCAGTTACACGTACAGTAAACATGCATCATTTGTGGGTTAATAATTACAAAGCCAAACGGCCGAAAGGCGGGAAAAGTTGATGATGAAAACACTTTTAGTCCGTATACCGACGACTAGTACTTCTTACATTACATCTTTCAATCCTTTATCAGCAGTTTTAATTCAGAACAAATTACGTTAAAGTGATCTTTTAAGAATTTGCAAAAGCTATATTATCAGCCGGGACAATTTGTATTATGACCATTGACCAATTCATGTATTTTCAAAGCAAAGTCTTCAAGCGGTGGCAATCAGCCTGTAAACCTGATAAAGTGTTATGATAACTCTCTCGCCAGGAATTGAAAGACTATAGATTATGGCTTTGGGCTAAATTTGGGTTCAGGAGAGAGAACTTTACCCCAATAATCTAGCTGGCATTTTAGAACTAGTAAAACTGTAAAACTGCGATGCTAATAAGTAAACGTTTGGTTGAAAAATGTTGAAAATCTTTGAAGATGTAGACAGCTGCTTTTTATAGTAAAAATAATAGGTAAAAATAATCGCAAAAATAATAAACTATTTCTCAATCGAAAATTAGCTTTATAGTTATTCTCACTTGAAATAAAGACATATACAAATTTAGTAACCTTTATGACATGTCATGAACACTTTCTACATAAAGTTTTCTCGCATTTTAGTTTTGTACAATAACTTTGTCTTTGCGATGTTTCTTACCAAGATTTTACGGTTTTACTAATTCTGAGATGCTTTTTATAGCTGTGCATGAATGTGTTGCTTGGTTTCGTTGCCTTGTGAATCAAAATTTAGTCCTCACGGCTGGATATCGTCTATCATCGTCCATTGAACCTGTTTATAGTTCATTCCTGTTAGTCGCGCGGCCATCTTGAATTCACGAGCCGGACTTGTGAGAAGTTGAGCTTGTGCATTTCGTTTCGGCGACAACGCTTTGTCGCCAAGATTGTCGCAAAGGAAAGGAAGGGAATTGACGTTGTTTGAAGAACAGGCGTACAACCGAAGCTTGTAGTTATATAATGCTTTGTTTGTCGCGTGTTTGAAAGTTCGTCTCATACTTTGCCTGAGCAGGTAATCTTTTCAGGTTGTTTATTTCGCATGAAATGCACAACTCGCCGACCATTTTTTCAATTGTAGCGATGAAATACGTACGATGTTATGACATTAGATTAACGCACGTATATTCTAGGACAAATTCGTCCCATATGACTTCGGCAAATTCCCTACTACTGCGCCCGGCCCAAGTCAGCATGCATGAAGTGACAGACATGTTATGATCGACCTGCTGACATATGGAATAAGAAACCACAGGAAACAGTTCACTTCAGTTCAAAACTGGCCTGCTTCGAACAAATTAAACGTCAAATATACTTATCACGTCCCAATTTTCGTGTGTATATTTGAATTAAAAACGCCGGATTTAAGTCCGACATTAACTCGAACAATATTCTTAAGTTACTCAAACAGGTTTCAATATTATACAAACTCAAATTATTTGCCAATAATGCCTGGAACAATATCACATAATACTCACCGTTCAAATGACTTGTTTATAATTTATCCGTAGTGTCATCAGCATTTAAGAAATACAACGACAAAGTGTTCTTTATCTCGACATTTTTCTATTTTAGACGCGGTGTTTGCCATTAAGTTTCATATAGGAAGTATGCCAAAGAATTATATACACACACATATGTGTCTCAAAACAAATTGTTGCCACCTACTTGTGGTTATTAAACGGTATTTATAAATTCAAACGTGAATAATTTACTAAATGCACATTAAGGCAAAACTCTTCTCTGTACATGCAAAGGGAAGTCTACGGCTGCAAAAGTATTTTCCTGGAAAAACGTTCCTGCATGCGTGGCGTGGGTTTTGTCTGCTCTATCAATCTGGTGTATAGCTAAATTTGGTTCTTGTCAGGCACCAAAAAGGAACAAAAGCTTTTCCATCCACGAAATTAGTGATGATATAATTTGGTTCAGCTTATAACGCCATAAACAATTGCTCGACAAAGCGAATTAGTTATTTGTATTTAAGCGCGATTTATTTGCTGGGATCGGATGCTCAAAAGATGGCTAATGACTAAGGTTATCTACTGGAAAAATGACTGGATCGTGACTCTTATGAGCATTAGAAAATTCCTATGTTTATAAGGCTGCATTTCCACTTGCAGAGAAATAGTTCTCTAGCGAAATATTTGCATATTTTCTTCTGAATGAAAGGAGTCGAAGTGTACTAATTTATGCAGTATTTTGTCTAAGTTCAAAGGAAAATATACAAATATTTCGCTAGCGAACTATTTCTCTCCAAGTGGAAATCCACTTTATAACCCCTTACTTTAATTTTTACCCAAAATTTAACTTTACAATTTCAAGATCGAAATAGTTTTTCATAATTATATATTTGCTATATTTTAATAGCTTTACTTAGCTTTTTAAATATTTTTATGACGGTTGAAAGAATCGCTACTCAGTGCGTGGATAACTTTATCGATCTTTCAAACAACTGGCCCTGGTTGGTTGCGGTTAAGAGCTCTGGAACAAAACTCAAAAGTAAAATATCGTTTCGCGCGAAAATTATAACTTTATAGCTCTTACCAAGTAAATATTCTGTCTTGACGCCATCAGTTCTTCAAAATAAGTTTCTTATATCATCTTAATCACTCCCTCTGTTTTCAAACAAATTTATTATAAACTTGATGTTCGCCGACGTTAATTGAAAGGCTATATATACATATACTACTTTCGGAGTTAGGATACCTTGCATACCGAAATGATTCATGATAATAGTTGGTTATAACGAGGCATATCGCGAAAGATAATTATATGACATACTACCTGGCGTGATAATGGAAAAACAGAGTTAAAAAACTTGAAGACTTGATAGGACAATGTCGAATGAAAAAAAAATCGAACTTTTTTACGGCGAGACTGATAAACTAATTCGGCTCAGTGACTGACTGACTAATGAAAATCTGAAAAGCTAATTTGGCCGCCATCTTTGTCTTTGAAGCCATATTTGAAGGTAGTTTTTTTGAGTGTTTGAACGTTTGAGACATGCAGACGTAGAGGGTAATTATCTAGGAATGTCTAGAACGATGTAAAATATAATCATTTGCTATTTTTATATAAGAATTGAACGAGAAACAGAGTCAAAAGTTTTTTTATTCAATTTTTGGCGTTATTCAAATATTACGTTCCAGTTGATATTACAGTTACTGATTCGGCTTCCTGAATAACACGACTTTATCTGGGAAAGAAAATTTTCACAGAAACTGTTCATCGTTATCGCTTGTAACATCTTGAACTGAGAGCGTCTCAGAATCAGTAAATATGGAAAGTTTGGTTGCGAAATGATTGAAAAATGTAGAAGACATATCTGCACGAAGTTGGCAAACTTGAATTAGTTTACGCGCGAAAAAGTTCGGCCGGTGACAAACTTTTCCAACCTCGTGCAAGACGATATTTTTCTTACTATTTTAATACTTCGCGACCAAATTTTCGAATTTAACTAATTTTGTGAAGCTCTTCGCCTCTTTCCAGTTGTACTTATGAATGTTGTTAGGTTTGAATTTTGTCTTATTAAAGGGAAATGGTGCAACACTTCAGTCCTCAGTGGGCAATGGCTGCATGCTGAGTGAATTCACCGTGGGAGATAGCTTCCTGCACGCAATGCGCCATATAATATGGATGTAGCGACGTGTTTTAAGGAGAATTTATGCGGCACATGGTGTGATGATGGAACACGACAATTTCAAATGCTTCCAGTTTCAATCCAAGACGAAAAAACTTTTACCCCCAATTCCGAGGATTTTCTCCTGTAAATTTTCAAGCCGCGACTCATTTGAATAAAAGCACAGTTAATAGAATATACATGCTTTGGAGAGCACATAAAACTACAATAGAACTCATCAACTATGTTGAGGTAGATTTATGCAAAAAATTGTTCCTTTCTCATCACATGTCTATTGTACTTTGCGCGGATAAACCAATAGCAATCTTTTAATTAACATACTATTCAAGTCATGGCAGAGGAGCTGAGCAAGACAAATGCCATTGGTAAATTTGGCTAAAATACAATAGACACGTGACGAGAAAGGAACCATTTTTTGCATAAACCTGAACAATAACATAGTTAATGAGTTGTATTGTACTTTTATTTAGTCTCCAAACCATGTATATTCTATTAACTGTGATAAAAGGTTTGTCCTCCTAAATTATTTTCATCTTCTAAGTGTTCAAAAAATCTCCTTTTTTCATTTTTGCTGGTCGCCGATTTTGCTCAACTATTGTCGAGCTGAGGCCACTTTTACGCGCGGTTTTGTCATTGTTTTTGAATCATATTATCTGCACTTTACATGTAGGATCATTTCCACTATAGCATGGAGTCCTTTACTTATATAATTCTAAATAGCGACATTAAATGCGGGGGGTAGTGTTACCCGCATGCCTGCAGTTTTTTTAACCCCTGGGTTCGAATTAGTGCAGTAAGACAGGCAGTAAGAAAGACACACAAATTTCCTTTATTATTAAAATTTTATTGGTTTTCTAGGATATCAATGACTTGCGTATGTGGAAACACTGTTTGAAAAACAAAATGGCGTCCAAAATGATAGCCAAATTTCACACTGTCTTGATAATTTGAATCTTGTTTCAAGTTCTTTGAAGCGGACACTTTGGCCTTCTTGTAAAAGCAAGTTCACAAAGTCTTGAGAAAACTGTCTTTCTGAAATGCCTTCGGAGTTGATTGTATTTAGAATTAATCTAGCTTTGTGACGTTGAATGAGTTATTGTCCATGAGTTCCCATACTTTCTCTTTTAACGTGTTCACAATGTCGTTTGAAACGAACAAATGAGTCTCGTCTAAATCTTCCAGCACGAACTTCCTGCCAAATGCCAAAGTTTCATCCAAATGCAACAGGAACTGTTTCAAAACAGCGTCGCTAAAAAGACGAATAAAAATAAGTGCTAATAGAGAACAGTTTTCTATATTTCTATCCCAAAGCGATATCGTAACGCCGCAAAATAGTTCGATATTTCTCACCATTCAATTAGAACGCCTTTCAAAACATTCACCATTTTGACTTTTGTTTCCACTTGAAATATCAAATTTTCAAATTCCAAACAAAAACTGCAGTCTGCTGCAAATACCTTCACGGTTTTATAAAAAAATGCAATCTTTCCACAAATTTCCCAAGACTAAAATGCACACCGCTTGTACAAAATGTTTGTACTTTCTTAACCACGCGGCTGGCGACAATTCATCCAATATTTCATTTTAATTTATTCATCAATACACTAATATTAATTTCATATTAAATATACATAGTAATCTCAAAGATTAAACTATTTTCCTTTTGTATCCTCTTGTAAACGTTGATATCTTCTTTAAGCTGTTCCATCCTTTCAATATGGCAAAGTTCAGCCTGATCTCGGGAAAAGTTAATTTTTTCCTCAATGTTTTCCACTCGTTATCCATTCTCGCCCTCCTCTCTTCCACTTTCTCCGCGTTCTCTTCCGGCAGCTTATTTTCCAGGATCGCGTTTGCTTTCGTTATCGCATTCTCGGCTCTGTCCAACACCGTTTGAACATGTTCCTTCGCCAAATCATCGACTTCTGGCAGTAAAGTTTCGATATGACCACAGTTAACACTGGCCTGATTTAGGCGCGAAAGCTCTCTATCTTTACGCTTCGTCTCAAATTCTTGAACGTAGAAGTTCACTTCTCTTTGAATAGGCCCGTGATGGTTAAACAACTTGCCATAAACATCGCCTATATCACGCACTAATTTTTCGGCAGACATTTTGGATTTTGGAATTTCCGAAATAACTTCCTGGATACTTTATGTAAAGTTCCATATTCAGTGCCGTCCGCTATCGTAATTTTCCGATTCGTCTTCGGAACTATTCGGCTGAAATGAACGAGAAATTTTGGCGGGAATATTCACGTGCACGTCGAGGGCATTTAACTATTGTGTTGTTGTTAGAAATCTGTGAAAAACCCCGAAATATCTTCCTCGATCTGTAAACGATGGCGTTGGATCCCGAACAGTACTTAAGAACAGTGCAAAGAGAGTATTTGGACTTCATCGATGATGATGTAAGTTGAATAGATTGTTTGAAATATCAATATGTATTTATATGCTGGTGCTGTATATTATTAAACTGTATCCATTATGTATAGTTATTCTTTGTACAACGGTGTTGAAATTGTTGTGTACAAAAGCGATCGGAGCGTGTTTTCATTGCATTTCTGTCTGGAGATTTAATGACCTTCTAAATCGATAGAGATTCGTGGCAAATAGTCAATTTAGAGATAGAAATATTTCTATAAAATGGAGGATGTTTATATTATTCATACGAATAATTTTACATATTACTGTATTTCTTCCTGCGTTGTAAACCTTGGTTTTCATCATCTCATGTCTGCTTCTGACGATATCGTGCAAAACGATTTTCTATTTCACTTTATATAAGTGCACGCTCCTATTAATATAAGGCCAGTAACCAGGGTGCATCCATGTAGCATATGCCAAAGATCTATTTGCTATGCTTTTTGGCTGATTTGCATGCCAATTCAATCATTTGTGTGCTGCCGTAGACAGTGCATTCGCTTAACAGTGCTTCTGGTGTGTGAAGATGTTATATTTGCATGTGTTTATTAATTACCTTTTTAATGTTCATGATTGACTCTTTGTGCAGTAGATAGCTCTTGTGTGCGAGTGACAGGCTTCAGAGGAAACATCCATTTAGGCTTCCATATAATGACTTAACAGGACATTTGTAATTTTTATTGGCGGTGCTTCAATGTAGCTGCACGTGAAACTCACCATTGACTAGCAAATTTGGTTAAGTGATTACATAACATATATTTGTTCTCATATAAACTTGTTTCTTCATCTGTCTTATACAACAAGATAGAATCCGAACTAACCAGTTGCATAGACTGAACTTTTGATGAACATGATGAGACAGAATCATTTAGACTTTCTTTCAACATGAATGGTTTGTTTTTTGAATGAAAAATATTCTTCCAGGATGACCAAGGTATTTATCATGGCAAGATCAGTGACATGATCAAGAAGGAAGGATGCAGACTCATCGTAAACATCAATGACCTGAGACGAAAGAATGAAAAACGAGCAAGCAAGTATGTGAACCACAGCCGTTGTGATAGAAAATTGTGAATTAGAGATGCAAGACTGATTATAATTGTTATCTAACATAAATTGAAAAACGTGTACTAGACCAATTATATAATTCCTACCCTGTTCTCAGATGTATTGCTCCCTTTCTAGACCCTATTTTCCCACCCTCTCCAGGCTGATGTCCTAGCTCTTTCTCTTCAGTCTTATGTCTGCTCCCTCTTTAGACTTATGTCCTCTTTGCAAATATAAAAATTGCCTCCAGATCGCTACTTAATAACAATCTTTTTTGTATTGAGTATTGTACAGTACTAGATCTGTTTGTTTATTGTAATATATCTAGGTTATTGACAGAGTCATTTGAAGAACTGACAGCATTCCAGGTAAAAATATGATCTCAAATTTGAAAAACTGAACAGATAAATATGTTAACTGTATTTTATTCATTTAAATCTATTGCAGAATGCATTGAAAGAGTTTGTTGGCTCAGCAGATGCAACATATTCAAAGAAATTTGAAGAATTTTTTGTCGGTTTTGAAGGAAGGTAAAAGTTGTGAAAAAAATTAGTTACATACATGCTTGTATGAAGATACCACAACTCAAGAATAAGTTCTTAAATTTGTTTTGGTAATTCTCTAGTTTTGGGTCAAAGCATGTCACTCCAAGAACACTCACGTCACACTTTCTTGGGACAATGATCTGCGTCGAAGGAATAGTCACAAAATGTAAGTACTATAGGCAGCACTTATTTATTAGATCAAGCTTCACCCTGATTAGCTTGGTCGAGTATACCCTAAACCAGTATTACCTAATAATCATCCTTTGCTAGATTGATCATCATTCCATAATCTGCAATTATCCTTACAACCATAGACTAATAAACAGCTATATAACTTTAAGTAAGGCACATTCACATGCGACCACACAAATTTGGAACTATGCTCAAAATCGCAGATACCTAAATTTGTCTGGACCTGTGTGAACTAGCCATATATGAATGTGAGATAATGTTATTTTAATGATGTGCAGCCATATATATACACAAGGATATGCCTGTTTGCTATCATAACATCATAACTTTAACAATCCACCATAATTTAATGATCACCCATCATCTCCCATCCCGCAACAAGTCTACCCCTCATCCAATATCTAGTTAATGTATTATTTTAATATATCACAGGTTCTCTTGTATGGCCAAAAGTTGTGCGAAGTGTTCACTACTGTCCAAAGACGAAGAAAACTTTAGAAAGAAGATACACTGATCTGACGTCATTGAATGCATTCCCAAGCAGTACTGTGTATCCAACCAAGGTAAACTGACTATCCTCACACATTTCAGATAACTTTCATAGCTTGCTGTAGTCATTTTACATTTTTTAGCAAGAAAAGGCTTTACATTTAGTAACTAACCTTAGGTCTTTTGTCATGCATTTAAAAATACATTTGTAAAATGAAGAAATAAAAAAATATTTTTAGGATGAAGAGGGTAACCCCTTAGAGACAGAATATGGCTTGTCGAAATTCAAAGATCATCAGTCATTTACGATACAGGTAAATTATGCCAGATCCTATATAATTGGTTCAATTCTGGTAATTGACATCATGGTGGTGTTTGTGTCATTTAGGAAATGCCAGAAAAAGCACCAGCTGGGCAATTGCCACGTTCAGTTGATATCATTGTTGATAATGATTTGGTCGATAGTTGTAAAGTAAGTATACTATATGCTATCAAGTATACGAAAGGTTAATTTAGTTCAGGTTTCTCTTGTAATAAATAAGAGATGATCCTTACTGAACCTCCAGGAAGAACAGTTTAGAACTGATAGAACTGATAGAGCTATCCAGTGTAAATAAAGTTAGTTTAGTTTAGGTTTCCTCAATCCTGTAGTAACACTGGATCAATAAGAGATATGATCCTTACTGGACCTCTAGGAAGAACAGTTTAGAACTTATAGAGCTATCCAGTATAAATAAAGTTAGTTTAGTTTAGGTTTCCTCCTGTGTTAACACTGGATCAATAAGAGATGATCCTTACTGGACCTTTAGAAAGAACAGTTTAGAACTGATAGAGCTATCCAGTATAAATAAAGTTAGTTTAGTTTAGGTTTCCTCCTGTAGTAACACTGGATCAATAAGAGATGATCCTTACTGGACCTTTAGAAAGAACAGTTTAGAACTGATAGAGCTATCCAGTATAAATAAAGTTAGTTTAGTTTAGGTTTCCTCCTGTAGTAACACTGGATCAATAAGAGATGATCCTTACTGGACCTTTAGAAAGAACAGTTTAGAACTGATAGAGCTATCCAGTATAAATAAAGTTAGTTTAGTTTTGGTTTCCTCCTGTAGTGACACTGGATCAATAAGAGATGATCCTTACTGGACCTCTAAGGAACAGTTTAGAACTGATAGAGCTATCCAATATAAAAAGGTTTAGTTTAGTTTAGGTTTCCTCCTGTAGTTTGAAGAGAAAATCTGTAGATCATTCAGAACTGATAGACATGACCCAACTAGACTGAACTAATCTTTCCTGTCTATTCTTCAGCCTGGTGACAGGGTTCAGGTGGTTGGAACATTCCGTTGTCTTCCGTCTAAGAGAGGTGGTTTTACATCTGGTGTCTTCAGAACCGTTCTCATTGCGAACAACGTTCAAGTTATGAGCAAAGAAGTGCGCCAACCTACACTGCGAGCGATGTGTCTAAAATAAAGAAATTTAGCAAGAACAAGAAGGTATAAATTGAATGAAATCCTGCTTGATTTTTCAGTCAAATCATATTTCTATGGTCAAAATACGTGAAAAAACTTACCAAGACTTTTCAGTATACTGTCTTCCGGGAGAGAAAAGGAAATACGATGTTTTGTGTAATTTGGTTTGTAATTATTTGAAAATTTAGGATGTGTTTAGTATTCTTGCAAATTCTCTCGCTCCGACAATTCATGGTCACGAATACATCAAGAAAGCCATTTTATGTCTTTTGCTTGGTGGTTGTGAGAAAGTTTTAGATAATGGCACCAGATTACGAGGGTATGGTGACTATAATATTATGTGGATAGTGGAAAGTGTCCAGTACTATAAATAAAGTTAGTTTAGTTTAGGTTTCCTCCTGTAGTAACACTGGATCAATAAGAGATGATCCTTACTGGACCTCTAGGAAGAACAGTTTAGAACTAATAGAGCTATCCAGTATAAATAAAGTTAGTTTAGTTTAGGTTTCCTCCTGTAGCAACACTGGATCAATAAGAGATGATCCTTACTGGACCTCTAGGAAGAACAGTTTAGAACTATCCAGTGTAAATAAAGTAATTTTAGTTTATATTAACGGCTTTCTCTAGGGACATAAACATTCTCTTGATTGGTGATCCATCAACAGCGAAGTCTCAGATGCTACGCTATGTTCTGCACACGGCCCCTCGCGCTATTCCGACCACGGGTCGTGGCTCGTCTGGCGTGGGTCTCACTGCAGCTGTCACCACAGACCCCGAGACAGGTTTGTACAGAAACCCCTCACACCAGTCCACAGCGAAACAATCTCAAAATTACACACTTTCACTCTCAAACCAATATTGCTACAACATTGCACAACATGTTTACAGGCGATCGAAGGTTGGAAGCCGGAGCCATGGTGCTGGCTGATCGAGGAGTCGTTTGCATCGATGAATTTGATAAGGTAAATATAGTTTTTCAGTAGAAGAAGGGTGATGATTTGAGTAAAGAAAGAAATGCATTATAGGTTCATTGATTATACTTTGCAAACAAAACTTCCATCAAAACTGGGGCCGGTTGTATCAAGCCCGTTTAGCTTAAACGGTGGATAAGTCAAAATTAAATTAATACTCTTACAACTCTCTTGAATGAGTCAACTTGAATATTACACAGTGAATATGTAGTTGTAAACAGTATCGATGTTTTAAGGTTAAAAACATTTAGTTTGCTTGTTGAATAAAACGATAGACTTGCTTTTTATTTTGAACTTAGCCACCGTTTATGCTAAACGGGCTTGATACAACCGGCCCCTGCTAGAAATTCAGACAATTTAGGGAGTCAGAATAAGGAAAACTCGAAGTGAAATAGAAATCCATTACTCATTTGAAACAACTTCAATAACTCTTGAAATAAACTTTATTCCGGTTTCAAATTTAGTCAGAGCTATAGTTCTTAAACATCATCACTTAATTTCGACTGGTGTCATGAAGAATAAAAAGCTGTCAAAAGATATAATCGATTAAATACTGCAGAATGGATTTCTATTTCGCGAGTACAACACCGATAGCTTAACAACTATTTACAAATCTGAAAAACAAATGTTTAAAATGACTACCGAATTACAACTGCTTTGACTTCAAATTGAATTATGGTAAAATGAACTGAGAGCTGGCGACATATTTTCGTATTAGATGAGCGACATTGATCGTACGGCAATCCATGAAGTGATGGAGCAAGGCAGAGTTACAATATCCAAGGCGGGAATCCACGCAAAACTCAACGCAAGATGCTCCGTCCTTGCCGCCGCTAATCCAGTTTGGGGAAGGGTAAAAACTATTTCATATGCTATGTTTGTTTTTCATCGCAAAAACCTAACCACGGTTGCCTTTGAATCACCTGACAACCCGTTGTTTTTCTTTAGTTTTCTCCAACTTTACAATAATTCTTGTTCTATTTCAACCAGTACGATCAATACAAGAACCCAATGGACAACATTGGTATGCAAGATTCTCTTCTGTCTCGATTCGACATGCTTTTTATTGTGCTTGATCAGGTTCGTTAAGTTTATAGTAGATTATACTTTTTATAACACCGCTAGCTTCGCAAAATCACAACAGTAACGTAATCATGCACAGATGTAACTGTATAAAACACTTAACTATGTTTATTCTTGGTGTTGTTAAATCGTAGTTTAGTCAGAATTACACGATTCTGAATGACCAATCTTTATCTAACTAATATATGGTTAAAAATTAACTATACCATTTTCTTCGACTGACCCGAGCATTTTCCGAGGTTCAACGAAGCTTTGAAGCGTTTGTGTGCGATTTTCGTCTTTTGATAGATGTGAACGAGTAATTAGTTACGAAAGTTCTGATGTATAAGAGCTCTTATTTGAACATTAGTAACTAAACCACTCGTTCACATCTATCAAAAGAAGGAAATCGCACGTAAAATTGCAGCAAAAATTGCAAATGTAAACAGCCTCTAAAATGTATCATTTTCTGTTAGATGGATCCGGAAAATGATCGGAAAATTTCGGACCACGTCCTTCGTATCCATCAGTATCGGACACCAGGGGAACAGGATGGCACAGGTATACCATGCAAGGCTTATTTCACGCTTCCAAATTCAGCTGTTAGAGCGTTAATTGGAATGGTCTAGAAATGGATTAGAATGTTCACCCACGTTTCTCGTTAAACGGGGATTTTTCTTCCATATTTAGCGCTGCCGTTTGCTCTGGGAGGTGACACCTTGGCAACTAAAGATCCTGATTTAGAGGATGAAGAGGAAGAAACTCATGTTTACGAAAAACACGACAAATTGTTGCACGGTGATCGTAAGGCGAGGAAGTAAGTGAGGTTGGCTTATCCATTATCGATGATGTGTGATCTCTGAAGAGAACAGTTTTCAATATAAGATGATCCTTACTGGACCTCTAGGAAGAACAGTTTAGAACTGATAGAGCTATCCAGTATAAATAAAGTTAGTTTAGTTTAGGTTTCCTCCTGTAGTAACACTGGATCGATATGAGATGATCCTTACTGGTCTTCTAGGAAGAACAGTTTAGAACTGATAGAGCTATCCAGTATAAATAAAGTTAGTTTAGTTTAGGTTTCCTCCTGTAGTAACACTGGATCAATAAGAGATGATCCTTACTGGACCTCTAGGAAGAACAGTTTAGAACTGATAGAGCTATCCAGTATAAATAAAGTTAGTTTAGTTTAGGTTTCCTCCTGTAGTAACACTGGATCAATAAGAGATGATCCTTACTGGTCCTCTAGGAAGAACAGTTTAGAACTGATAGAGCCATCCAGTATAAATAAAGTTCGTTTAGTTTAGGTCTCGTCGCGGTTCTCAATATTGCAATTCATTTTCAAGGGAAAAGTTGGTTTCTTTGGAGTTCATGAGAAAGTATATCCATGTCGCGAAGGCAATGAAGGTTGGTGAACCAAAGTGCTGTTGAAATATTCAATCATCTCTACTCAATGTTTGTTTGCATTTAAATTATCTGAATTTCTACAGCCATCATTAACCGATGCTGCTGCAGACAAAATTGCCCACCAATACGCGGAACTTCGCGATCAGGAAAATGTCGGCAATGAAAAAGCAAAGGTTAGTTATTACAGCCCCGTTTACACTACACTCAATTTATTGGCACGGCACGGCTAAAATGGGTACCCGTGCCATATGATCCGTGCTCGGCCTTTGTATGATTACCCTGAACACTAATAAAATTAGGTACGCGTACCCTATATAGCCGTGCCGTACCAATAAATTGACTGTAGTGTAAATTAAACGAGGCTTAAAGCTCCGTTTACACTGCCGTCAATTTATTGGCACGGCACGGCTAAAATTGGTACCCGTACCCAATTTTATTAGTGTTCAGGCTACCAAACAAAGGCCCAGCACAGATGAAATGGGTACAGGTACCCATTTTAGCCGTGCCGTGCCAATAAATCGAGTGTAGTGTAAACGGGGCTTAAATTGATGTATTTTTAAATAGAAAAGCATTCATATTCTACCGTTTAATCCCAACAGACGATGCCTGTCACAGCAAGAACTTTGGAAACATTAATTCGTCTCTCAACTGCCCACGCGAAAGCTAGACTGAGCAAAGATATTCAAGAGGTATACTTTTCGATCATTCATTTTCGATCATGGCTATTGTAGAAAATACAGTTCACTGTTTGCAAGATTATAATATATCGCCTGTATACAATTATGCACCGACGTAAGTCAAGCCAATGTACTTTTAAAGGATTGTTCGTTTTTAAGGCACCGTAATCCTTGGTCCTTGAAATTCCTTGCTTCAAAACTAATGCATTTACTTTATATATTTCTATATCGTTTGTGAACTTAGGTCGATGCGGAGGCAGCCATAGATATGGTTTCTTTTGCCTATTTTCATAAGGTAGGTCTGCCGGAGAGGCATTGAATGTGTTTAAATTGCTTTGGCAAGTCAAACAGCGGAAACCTTGGGCTCTAATCGATTCATTTGGTCAAGCACCGATTGTGAATATCTTTGGTGTGAGGAAGTCGGGGAAAATCCCAGCCGGCTAAAATTGAAGCACTTGAATGCATCTTCGTGTGCTCGACTGGAAAAGTGAAAAAAAAAACATGGTAGAAATTATGTAACGAGAATCCACGAATATAATCACTCAACTTTAATCCAAAACCTAACCCTAACCTGATTAGATTAGGGATTAAATTCGTGGATTCTGGATACGGAGTTGTTACCTAAAAACCATATCTTCCTTGGAATGAAATTAAGTGAAACAGGAAACGATCCAGTGTAGTTTGGTACGGGGGGGTCTAGGGCAGTCTCAGGCCATGGGATGGGGGGGCGAACGCCAGCTGCAAAAGATATTAGAGTGTGTGTTTCGTCGAAAAAAATACAAAAATATGATGAGAGTTTTTGCCTTGAGAGCTTGAGGTAAGACACTGCCTTGGTATCCAAATTTGCACCCCTTCTCTATACCCCTTTGGCCAAGCTAGGGGAAAGGGGTACGCACTCCCCCTCCCCCCCGGCGCACCCCCAGGTGAATCAATTCCCGGAGTGAAATCATAGCAACATTTTATTGATTCAGGTTGCAAAGAAAGACAATGAAAAAGAGAAGAGAAAACGCCGAGGAAGTGACGAAGCGGAGAGTGAGGAAGAACAAGAAATCCAAGATGGCGCCCGGGAAAAGTGAGAGTTTATAAATGGGTTGCCTGGCGTTCGCACTTGTTTTCAACGTTTTCTTACAATATTTTTTTGTTTTTAAACTGCTTCGCTAAGGCGGAAATCGAAACGGCAGAAAAAACCGAGAAGAGAAGGCGAGGAGGCAGATCCGTTTGACTTTGAAGAAGAAGAAGATGAAATCCCTGAAAAACCAACTGGTATGTCACAGTGAATTGTAATGAAACCGGTGAACTCTACTATAATACATCTATTTTAGTTCAATGAATGAAGTCTGGAACGCTAACTTCTATATACAGTTCGGCGTTTATATACTTGGTTGAAGCCAAAAATGAAAGCAAAAACCTGAGTTTTTTTTTACTCTGTTTCTCGTTCAATTTTTATAAATTAGCAAATGATTGTATTTTGCATAGTTCTAGACGTTCCTATAGATAATTGCTCTTTACGTCCGTCTCGAAAGTTCGAAAACTCAGAAAAGCTACCTTCAAATTTGGCTTCAAAATGGCGGCCAAGTTATAGCGTTCCAGGTTTTATTACAGTTCTCTGGTATGTGACAGTAAAAAAACAAAAACTATCGCTTTAAAATCATTAAAATGATTAAATGTGGCTGAACGAGATATGAAGAATTATCAAGCCAAATTATCAAGCCGAAGTTTGTCGTTATCAATCAGAGCCGAAGGCTGAGGTTGATAACGATAAACTAACGCTTGATAATTCTTCATATCATGTAGAAACCGAATTCAATAATTGATTTATTATTTATTTAAACGCACAAACATGACAACTTTGTTGGCTCAAATTTGTGTCAGTGTCACATTCCCGCTCCCTGGGACCGACGTGAATGTCTTCGCCATTGGCGTGACCTCTGACGTGAAATACGACTGCTTCGTGCAGTTATGACGTAATAGTGTGCGTAAACAGAGTAATATCTCACGTTATGACGTCACTGTTGGATTTCACGTATAGCTATTAGCCAATCAGAAGCTTTTGAATGGTTTGACATGAAAAGATATCAATGCATGTATCTTTCCTTTTGTGTTCTGTTCTTTCCTTCTGTTTTATTTATAGACTCGAAAATGGAATAATATCCGTATATTTTTCAAATGTGTTTATTAGCCCAGTAATCAAAACCCGTAACTCGTCCAAACTTTCTAGAGAGCATTTTGAAATAATATGATATTAACACTGACAGTAAACCGAATCTTTGCCCACGAAAACACCAAAAACGTGCAAGGTTTTACCAGTAGATTTTCACATGAAAACATGATTTATGGCCGGCGCTGTGATGATGTGATTACCAGAAATTTGTTAATGTAAATATATAAAACCTTTGGTCGCGTAATCTTACAATGGTGATTGTGATAAATAAGCTTTGTTTTGCAGCATTCTCGCTGAGAAATAATCACACAATATCAAAGATGTCTTGTTTTGTTCTGTTTTTTAGATGTTGTTGACCAGATGAGGAAAAGACGAACAAAGTCTTCGGATAAAGACGGGGTTGAGGAAGATGCAACGTCAATGGAGACTGAAGGTTCAGCTGAGACTCTTCCTAAAGAACGGTTAGTTAGTGTTTTGGATTTAAGGCCCTGTTACACGGTGCAATTTTTCTTACAACTTGCAATGCAATTCTACTTTTAAGATATGTAAATTAGTGAAGAGTCTTGCAGAAGAAAAGTGTATGTAATCAACACAAAAGTTTCGTTGTTCCTACGTATACATTTCTCAAAAGTAGAATTGCATTGCAAGTTGCAAGAAAAATTGCACCGTGTAACAGGGCCTTTACTCTTAGCAAATATATGCGATTTCAATTTGAAATGCTCGTTGTTTACACTCCGTCACAAGAGATCTCTTATCTCAAGAAACGCCAGTACAATACTGAATATTGCTTTAAAATACAGATTGGAGACCTTCAAATCGTCGCTTTCAAAAACGTTCGCGGATGCGCATGTCCAGTCTTTGTCCATCGATGACGTCACCGCTGGAGTGAATCAAGGTGAAGACTCGGACCAGTTCTCCGAGCGTGAAATTCGAGCTGCTCTAAGCGTCATGATGGAAGCGAACCAAGTTATGGTCTATGAAGATCGTATTTTCCTTATTTAGCCCAACGTGAACCCTCCTAACATACTCTATCCAAATGTATCCATATGCTCAAAGCCCGCCTTTTTTGCAACAACGCAAAATTTGTGATTGTGATTACTGTTCTGTGTTATAAATTACAGTTGTTATTATATGTAGGTCTGTGACAAGTCATACAACTATTTTGAGAAATTGGCGATTAATAAAAGCGAGAGATAACCCTTAATTGTGTTACTAGTGGATAACTTATGAATTTCAAAATATTGCGTTTCCAAGATGACCGTTAAAGGACCACTCTCAGAGGTGTGAAATATCATTATATCATTATTATTAATTTTGCTGCAATTTGCTGGCTTGAAGTCCCTTGAACATGGCTGAGAAATGATTTTATAGCCATTTTCTTCGATAAAAGGCCCAAAACTTTAATTTTTTACCTAAATTTGTACTCTGGCGTACCTATTTTTCGTTCAGGTCGCGATTCAAAATTTATGTATATTTTGCAGGTTGTTATTACTGTGCTTCATTTATTATATTCAGACTTCATAAGACTTATCCAAACATGCATATGATATCCAAAACTGACTAATCTTGAAACTGCCTATATCTGGAGCAATAATATGTCCCCTGCAACCTCGTACCCAAGTTTTTTCCCTCTAGTAGGGCCCCATTTTTTTTGGAGACTCCTAATACAATTTTGAGCAAAGAAGACCGGCGAATCGGTTTTGATAAAAAAAAGTTATACGGAATATTTTTCATGTTCCGCTTTGGAATATTTTTCATGTTCCATGTTGGCGCATGCGCAGTAACTTCGCCGAGGTAAGAATTTTGTTTTGCGGTCTTTGTTTGGCTATGATGATGGACTTGCACAACGAAAGGGAGGGACGAAGGTGTCTGGTATAATCCATTCCATCCCGGTTAAAATATCCGCTGATTTGCCATCAAGCGTACGGTATTAGATATTTCAAGAAACGTTTGAATATGGCAAGTCAAGATGGAGAAGTATCGAGCGGTGAACGGGCCGTAAAAAGTTAGTTTCTTAAGCGCTTTATACAAATTGGATTCCTGTTGTGTTTTGAAGAAGATAATTTATTATGTCTGTATTTGCAGATGTGCCAATGCCTCCGACACACAAGCTTACGATGTCCGATGTGTTTGACGAAGCCGGAAAGCCGAGACATGCTGTCTTAAAGGCCCATTTCGTTCAAGAAGGACGAATCGAGGAAGATGTCGCCTTGCGAATTATTCGCGATGCAACAGCGATTCTGCGTAAGGAAAGGAACGTTTTGGAGGTTGAAGCGCCTATAACAGGTCAGTTTTGGGCGAAAAGGTGTCCTCGAAAGATGCTGTTGTAGTCTACATTGCTTGTTACCTGTTAACACAGCTTCGGCATGGTATAGACGGGTACAATAAGCTAATTTATTGTCAATGTCGGCTTTCGTTTTGTTTAGTTTGTGGTGATATACACGGACAATTTTACGATTTGATGAAACTTTTTGAAGTCGGTGGCTCGCCTTCGACCACTCGTTACCTCTTTCTTGGCGACTATGTGGACAGGGGCTATTTTTCAATCGAGGTATGTTTGACTAAACCTGCACTTTCGCGTACAACTTTAATCAAAACTTGTCGGCCATTTGTAGATTTTGGTGCTAACTGTCTCACTATTGTACGTCGTTCGGAAGGGCTTTCTACCTACGGAGGCCTAAATTCAAGGCCAAACATGACAACACGGCAAATTATGCCGCGATATCTGTTAGAAAAACATGGCCAATTGGTGTCTGTGTTATTGTACAAGTCATTTGAGACGAACTATTTCACGAGCCCGCCTGTCAACAGCGATTTAAAATCTGCATCTTCGATAAAATACATATTCATTTTCCCTTTTAGTGTGTTTTGTATCTATGGACTTTGAAAATTTTGTACTCAAACACGCTGTTTTTGTTAAGAGGAAACCACGAATGCAGACATCTCACGGAGTATTTTACTTTTAAAACGGAATGTAAGTTTTTTAGAGATTATTTTAGAGATATTTTGGGCGTTCATCTCGTTATCTGTTTTGCTACAGTTGTCATTGACATCACAGGCCCGGGGTTATATTGTATTATATATATCCCTGTTATTTTCCCGTTTCGGGGATGATATGCGGAGTACAAAATCGCGATAAACCCTCATCAAAAGATGAGTGAAATTATATAGCGATTCGTATCTTGTTGACTAAGCTATACGACAATTGTCGTGCAAATACAAAATACGCTTTGTTGGGGAAAATTAAAAGGAGCTCGCATGAATTATTTATTCCGGACACAGTTTATGCTTGACTCGAGCCAAACGGATCTACACAAGCTGTGTTCTGAAGTTATTGCTTGTAACGCTCGGTTGAAAATTTCCGTTCGCTTTACGAGTGTCTCGTATTCCATGAAATTCTTGGAATCGTGCTATAAAAGTGTAAATTATCAAGTGTAACAATTTGGCAAAGCAGAAGTTTTTGTGAGTCATATCTAATATGGGCATATTTCTAAATGCCTGTGTTATCATATCTTTGATAAACTTGGCTTTTTGTACTTCGAACAGGAAGAGTTTTGATTTTGTGTTCGCAGTAACAGCCAGATTCATCTTGTGTTAAATGCATTTTGAGCCACTCATATGTACTGTGAATCTTCAGTGGCCATTACCATAGATTACAGTATGTTTCTAATATTGCATCACATTGTATTGCTGTGATATCACAAAATTGATGATATTTGAGTCAAATAAAAGGCTGTATTTTGTGTTGCATACACAGCACAACCCTATTTTGATGGCTAGGACAATTAACCCATTAGTCTATGATGGATATTTAGCATTGCTCTATATTCAATCTATAAAGAGCTTCTGTTATTTGACATAATGGGCCATCTGTCATCTAATCTGCATAATATTGTTTAAGTTATCCTTGCGATGCTTTGCTGGTCTCCTGTAGTGCCTTGACTCAAATTTGATGAGTATAGCTCAGAGAAATCCTTTTATATAAAGCATTATCCTTCATCAGAATCAATACAATTAAAATGCAAACGGAGGTACAATATATGCCTTCTTGAAAACTGTCTTCAACTGATGATTTAAATTATTTAAGGTCAAAGCACAAAGCGGCATTGGCCTAGATTGACTGAAATTGTGCATCAAGTGCCATTGAGAATGTTTTTTGCATTCATGTGAACGTAAATTGTGCACCATTTGGCTACATGTAGCCTTATATGGACAAAAAAATATTAATTTGCTGTTTATTTTGTTACCTGCTAGTAGTTCCTCTGATCAAAGTTTTATTTGAAAACACTAGAAACACTCTTGAACATCCATCATTTGCAATGTTATTATATGACGTTTGACATATGTGCCTAGCCAGCCTAGGTAAATGTAAATATAAGAACAAATGTCATTTTTTGAAGTTCGCCATTGTGTGTGTGGATGTGAAAAAGGTCGCATGGGCGTTCATTTTTATAGCTCATTAAGACAATCACAAATGACTTCTGTAGCATGTTTGCGATTTGTGATGGATATGTGATTTTAAAAGTACAATGTTTTTATCTCAAACATAGTTTTTATCTTCAACAGTTTACCCCAAGATGCAAATATAATGCCATAAATATGTATTATATACAGCAAAACATTTTCAATTATCTTGTACGCTGTGCACCTGCTGTCAAACTTGGCCTTCCGCTTAAATTGTTAACTTGCAAGGACACGATACTGACATGAAGGTGCATCACTTTAACATAAAGGAGTTGTCTTTTTTTAAAACGATTTTGCTTAAATACCTACTATGTACCTTCTTTGTCCGAGTCTATAAAAAAATCTGTAAGTATTCTAAGATTTGAGCGGTCAATTTTTGTTCAAGCTTATTTTCAGCCCCAAAGGCTTGTCCTATGCATGCATCCTGCATAAGAACACAATGTTTGAAATCCAACATCTTCAGTTTTTGAACTGCCATGTCAAAATATTGATGCAAATCAAGCTTGAAATGTGAAACAGTGTGTTATCTGCTGCTTTTAGCTATTTGAGGGGGTGGTTTAACTTTGTAGGGACAAAGAGCCTTTGAAAAAAAAACAAATTATGACTCCCTCCCTGAAGAGATCAGAATCAATTTGTAAAGAAATTCTTTGTTCTGAAAAATGCTTTTTGACAACATACACAAGCAAGTATAAAGAGTTTTACATTGCTGTATAATGCAAATAATTGTACAAGTTTCTGGTATTGTCCACTGAGGAAGCTTCCTTAGACCAAATGGAATGTTTACATGTAGGATTAACTGCTAATACCGCTTTATTGTTTGTTCATCTTAGCTTCCAATTTATTTATCTCCTGTATGTAAACCTAGCCATTGTTTTGGGGCACTTTAGGGTATTACAAACGTGATGTGATTCTAGCCGCTCAGAACGTTGCAATCTGAACAATCAGAGCTGCTTTAAAGACTAATCCACTGGCTAAATACAGAATCCAACCAGAGCCACTTTAATATTGAAAGAAATACAAAGTGCAAGCAGAGCCACCTTAATAATGCACAAAAACAAGGTGCGACCAGAGCCACTTTAATGCTGAAAGAAATGCAGAGCCACTTTAACTAATATCGCGTGAAATACAAAGCGCAGCCAGAGCCACTTTAATATTGAAAGAAATGCAAAGTGCAAGCAGAGCCACTTTAATAATGCACAAAAACAACGTGCAACCAGAGCCACTTTAATGCTGAAAGAAATGCAGAGCCACTTTAACTAATATCGCGAGAAATACAAAGCGCAGCCAGAGCCACTTTAATATTGCAATATATGTATATGTACATAATGTTAACATATATAGCTCAGTGCGTATTTCCAAACGATTTTCAGGTAAAATAAAGTATAGTGAAGCGGTTTACGATGCTTGTACGGAGTCTTTCGACTGTTTACCGCTGGCCGCTTTGATGAACCAGCAGTTCTTGTGTGTGCACGGTGGTCTATCTCCTGAGATACACACTGTTAATGATATCCGCAAGGTATGTGATCTTTAGCTCTGCATGAGATATTTATCAGTTATCAACCTGGAACGAGGGTGATTCCACAAGAAATTACCCTGAGGGATGAAATATTCCGAGGGCGCTGCCCGAGGAATATTTCATCCCTCAGGGTAATTTCTTGTGGAATCACCCGAGTGAAAGGTTAACTGATATATTATACCGAAAATTTAAAGCTGTTGACAAAAAGTCGTCCGGCGTCTTGTTGCCGTCGGCCATATTTACAATCTGACACCCGTAACGGCAGGCTAGTTTACGAATTCGAGGGTGATTTAAAGTGGAATCACCCTCCCTTGCGGGCAAAAGAGGGTAATTCGACTTTAAATTACATGCCCCGGGTAAAAATACCAGGATTTAAGTTCGCAGTCTATGTGCTTCCACAAAAAATCTACTCATCACGTGCTACAAATACAGTTTTTTTATTGGACAATTTGAATCTGAGGTATAATATACCCATAAATTACACGCAAAGTCGCCCGTATTGTCGAGAGTTCCCGATGTAAACACAGTCAGAGCAAGTTTGCGTGATGAACTAGTTACCAGGTGATCTCGTGCTCATATTTCAGCCAATCAGCGCTCAGAAGGACTGACGAAATAGAAATCCATTCTTCATTATTAAATCGATTATATCTTTCGTTATTCTTTATGAAACTTCTCGAAATTTTACGATTCTGTTTTTGTATAAGAATTTGACATGAATTTGAAACCAAAATAAGGTATATTTCAAGAGATATTTAGTTGTTTCAACCGAGAAATGGATTCTTCGGCAAAAAGTCCAAGTTCTTTCCCGCCATTTCCAGATCACCTGGTATAAAGTTAGTATAGCTTGATTTGTACATCAACCACTCGCCTAATACACGTTTTTTACAAGAGTGTGAACTTGGCCAAGCTTCTCTGCATTACAGATTATGTGAATCCACAACTAAACCACAGAATACCTATCAGAAGAATAACTCTATACTATTTTTTCGTAAGCGTGATTCGTCACTTAGCAAGTGCATTTTTTTGAGGCAGTCACCCCCCTGCCAAAATTTAGCTATATGGCGCACGCGATATTGCTAAATTTTGGCAGGGGGTGACTGCCTTAATTTAATGCACTTGCTAAGTGACGAAAAAAGTACAGGAGTTCTACTTCTGATAGGTATTCTGTGACTAAACTCTCCTATTAATATAAGAGAACTTTCATTGTACATAATTCATTAAAATGTTTATGTATAATTAGATTTAAAGTATACTTATTACCTAGTATATCATGTAAATTTTGTATTAGTTACACAGTTAATACACAATTCAGCCCTTGGGCTCCAAAGTTAATTCCAATAAACCTATCTATCCACCCACCAATAACATAAGAGTGGCGCCTTTTTGCTCACGTAAATAAAAAGAGTAAAAAAAGTTATAATGCAAACTATCTCTTTCTTTTTTTTTCGCAGTTGGATCGTTATAAAGAACCACCAGCCTTCGGTCCAATGTGTGATCTGCTGTGGTCAGATCCCCTGGAGGATTATGGGAACGAGAAAACTAGTGAAAACTATAGTCATAACAGTGTTAGAGGCTGCTCGTATTTTTACAGGTAACATATATAGAGCTATGACTTCACACACTTCTGAAATATTTCTGAATATAGCTGAAAGTTTCATTTGTAATTCATGTCTTGTCCTGTTTTTAGCTACCAAGCAATATGTGAGTTTTTACAAAACAACAATCTGCTTTCTGTGATACGCGCCCACGAGGCACAAGACGCTGGGTAAGTGGAACTACACGGTCTTTATATTTGCTTTAACAGCCCGAGTTCGAAAGATAAAGTTAGTTTAGTTTAGGTTTCCTCCTGTAGTAACACCCGATCAATAAGAGATGGTCCTTACTGGACCTTCAGGAAGAACAGTTTAGAACTGATAGAGCTATCCAGTATAAATAAAGTTAGTTTAGTTTAGGTTTCCTCCTGTAGTAACACTAGATCAATAAGAGATGATCCTTACTGGACCTGTAGGAAGAACAGTTTAGAACTGATAGAGCTATCCAGTATAAATAAAGTTAGTTTAGTTTAGGTTTCCTCCTGTAGTAACACTAGATCAATAAGAGATGATCCTTACTGGACCTGTAGGAAGAACAGTTTAGAACTGATAGAGCTATCCAGTATAAATAAAGTTAGTTTAGTTTAGGTTTCCTCCTGTAGTAACACTGGTCAATAAGAGACGATCCTTACTGGACCTCTAGGAAGAACAGTTTAGAACTGGTAGAGCTATCCAGTATAAATAAAGTTAGTTTAGTTTAGTTTCCTCCTGTAGTAACACCCGATCAATAAGAGATGATCCTTACTGGACCTCTAGGAAGAACACTTTAGAACTGATAGAGCTATCCAGTATAAATAAAGTTAGTTTAGTTTAGGTTTCCTCCTGTAGTAACACTGGTCAATAAGAGACGATCCTTACTGGACCTCTAGGAAGAACAGTTTAGAACTGGTAGAGCTATCCAGTATAAATAAAGTTAGTTTAGTTTAGGTTTCCTCCTGTAGTAACACCCGATCAATAAGAGATGATCCTTACTGGACCTCTAGGAAGAACACTTTAGAACTGATAGAGCTATCCAGTATAAATAAAGTTAGTTCAGTTTAGGTTTCCTTCTGTAGTAACACTGCATGGATCAATAAGAGATGATCCTTACTGGACCCTAGGAAGAACAGTTTCATCCTGTATGGATAAAGTTAGTTCGGGTTTCCTCCTGTTACCACACCAAATATTACTATGTACACAAGTATGAATATATTATGCCTTTTCATCAAAGAATTACGATGTTAATTAATCAGTCTTTCCTTCGCAGGTATAGGATGTATAGAAAAAGTCAAACTACTGGATTTCCATCGCTAATTACAATCTTCTCTGCACCAAACTATTTGGACGTCTACAATAACAAAGGTATACGAGTGTGCCTAAAAATCTCTGAATTGCCTTAAAAATAAATCCACACAAGTTACTTGCGTGATTTAGTACACAAGTCGATGGATCAGGGTGTAATAATAGATCACTAGTGTTTGAATATTCCTGTGAGATAATCTTTGTTTTAAACTTCTTCAGCTGCCGTGTTAAAATATGAAAATAATGTCATGAACATACGACAGTTCAACTGCTCGCCTCATCCATATTGGTTGCCTAACTTCATGGACGTTTTCACGTGGTCCTTACCATTTGTTGGCGAAAAAGGTTAGCAGTGGATGATGTTGAGATAACTGATAGAGCTATCCAGTATAAATAAAGTTAGTTTAGTTTTGGTTTCCTCCTGTAGTGACACTGGATCAATAAGAGATGATCCTTACTGGACCTCTAGGAAGAACAGTTTAGAATTGATAGAGTTATCCAGTATAAATAAAGTTAGTTTAGCTTGGATTTCCTCCTGTGGTGACACTGGATCAATAAGAAATGATCCTTACTGGACCTCTAGGAAGAACAGTTTAGAACTGATAGAGTTATCCAGTATAAATAAAGTTAGTTTAGTTTAGGTTTCCTCCTGTAGTAACACTGGATCAATAAGAGATGATCCTTACTGGACCTCTAGGAAGAACAGTTTAGAACTGATAGAGCTATCCAGTATAAATAAAGTTTGTTTAGTTTTGGTTTCCTCCTGTAGTGACACTGGATCAATAAGAGATGATCCTTACTGGACCTCTAGGAAGAACAGTTTAGAATTGATAGAGCTATCCAGTATAAAGTTTGTTTAGTTTTGGTTTCCTCCTGTAGTGACACTGGATCAATAAGAGATGATCCTTACTGGACCTCTAGGAAGAACAGTTTAGAATTGATAGAGTTATCCAGTATAAATAAAGTTAGTTTAGTTTTGGTTTCCTCCTGTAGTAACACTATAGGTAATGCATAATCTTTACTGGGTATGTAGGGGACGGCATAGGACTCTTAGGGTAAGTTGTATTCACCAGGGATGTTCTCATGATTTAGTGACAGAGATGTTAGTGAACATTCTCAACATCTGCACGGATGAAGAGCTGGACGATGCCACAGAAGATGAGGAGAAAACAAGAGAAGCAGCCAAGAGAAAGGAGGTTATTCGTAACAAGATACGAGCTATTGGCAAGATGGGACGGCTCTTCAGTGTATTAAGGTTAGACAAGAATTGTAAAGCTGAAATCTGTGAAGCATAAGATACAAAGTAATACTATGTCTTTTTTTAGGGAGGAAAGTGATAGTATCTTAAAGTTGAAGGGACTAACACCATCTGGGTATCTCCCTGCTGGGATGCTCTCTGGTGGCCGAGATTCTTTGCAAGCAGGTATTGTGTATGACTAAGGTTTGATTTCTGTAATATGCGTGATTATAATTTCACCTCAGTCACATATAAGAAGAGTGCTTCTAGTTTGACTCTACCAAACACAGTGGTTAGTCCATGTGTCTTTCATCTCTGTGACTGAGGTTTGATTCCTGTAATATGCAGTTGTCTGATTATAACTTCACCTCAGTCACATGTGAGAAGAGTGCCTCTAGTTTGACTCTACCAAACACAGTGGTTAGTACATGTGTCTTTCATCTCTGTGACTGAGGTTTGATTTCTGTATTATGCAGTTGTCTGATTGTAATTTCACCTCAGTCACATGCGAGAAGAGTGCTTCTAGTTTGACTCTACCAAACGCAGTGGTTAATACGTGTGTCTTTCATTTCTGTGACTGAGGTTTGATTTCTGTAATGTGCAGTTGTGTGATTATAATTTACCTCAGTCACATGTAAGAAGAGTGCTTGTAGTTTGACTCTACCAAACGCAGTGGTTAATACGTGTGTCTTTCATTTCTGTGACTGAGGTTTGATTTCTGTAATATGCAGTCGTGTGACTATAATTTCACCTCAGTCACATGTGAGAAGAGTGCTAAATACGTCTCTCTTCATTCTAGCTTTGAGTGGCGAGTGGAACCATCACAAGATCAAAACGTTTAAAGAAGCAAGACATCTCGATCTTGTGAATGAACGGATGCCGCCTAGAAAAGAATCTACTCCTCCCAGTCCGAAAAAGACGTGATCATATCACCCCGTTCTAAATCTCAACACACTCTCGCCTCCCCTCTAAGACAAGACCTTTTCAGATGCAATTAAGTTGGCTAACTTTATAGTTACACAGACTCATATTCCACTAACAGAACGCTAAGGCCAAAAAAATAGTCCGGCCTAAAAGCATTTTAAAATTCCTGGACGTTAAAGCACATTGTTTCCTAATGTTTTATAGCTAGTAGTACCTATAGATATAGCCACCTTAAGTCTAAAAAGGTTAATCTTAGCTGGATATAATGTTAAATAAAGTTTACGGATAATTCTTAATGCATCAAGTCATGAAAAGGCCGGTTTGCAGTTGCGATTATTACTGCGAGTTTCTTCTTTTGACTGATGTGAAAGAGGGGGAGTTGTGGATGCTCTGATGTACTTTATTTGAGAAGCCGTAGCTTGCACACTCGATCACATTTATCAAAAGGCGATAATCGGAGCAATAATTACACGTGTAAACAAGCCTCAAGTTTACTTTCGTGGAGTTTGTGTCAATTTTTGAAACTGGTATATATAAAATTGCTATAATATGATTGGCCTTCAAAGGTGCGTCTTAGCTGTCCGTGGTTGGGTGACGTGCTGATTTTCAGGAAACGGATAACATCGACGTAGACCAGATGCATCTCCGTGAAGATGATTGGCAGTGCAGAAAAGTGCAGCAAACAGCTTTTAGTGGCCAAATTGAAAACTGATTCGCTTCTGAAAATATACAATCTTAAAAATTGTGAATTCATTCTCTGACTTATACAGATTATTTATTGTAAGATTGTAATGGCTTGATTTGTGATATACATATGTAATACCAGACTTTGATGGTTTGAAAATATGGCGCATGATGAAATATTGCTATTATGTACACGCGAATGAAATAAACTCCTTTTTATGAGTTTTGACAAATGATTAGATTTACCTTCATTCGTCCATGACCTTGATTAAACTTGAATCCTAGGACGTGGATCAAACTTATCCAATCCTAATGTTTGATCAAACGTGATCTAATCCAAGGATTGATTGAACTTGAATCCTAGGACGTAGATCAAACTTAACTTATCCAGTCCTAATGTTTGATCAAGCCTATCTAATATTAATTTTTGATCAAACGTGACGTGTAGGACCTGATCAAACTTCATCTAATCCAAGGATTGATTAAACTTGAATCCTAGGACGTGGATCAAACTTATCCAATCCTAATGTTTGATCAAACTTTTCTAATCGTAATGTTTGATCAAAAGTCTTGATCTAGTCCTGTAGTACCTCATCCAACTTCATCTAATCCAAGGACTTGATTAAACTAAGTCTTAGGTCGTGATCAAACTTATCAAATCCCAAGACGTGATTAATCTTAATTCAATCCCAAACTTTATAAAAATACCATTCTTTAATATACTTGAATAAAATTCAGCACTTCAGCAGATAGTAATTCAAATATTAATTTTCATTCAAACTAATTCAAACCTTAACATTATAAATACTTCGGAATTTTACAAAAATTTTAAATATACAAAATATACTTACATTATATACACCCGAACTACACATGTCCAATCCAATTGCCAATTATGTCAATTTCACTTCAGAGTGCATTTGAAAAAATTTAAACATTAATTTAATTAAACATAGTCAAGTTTTGATCATTTTTGAATCTACAGTACAAGTATAATCACAAAAATTTCTTTGTTGAGTTATGTGGTTTGGTAATGGATTTCCACATGTCCGTGTCTTCTTGGACAATTTCGTAGAATAATTCCGTTCCATGACCGTCAGATATCTCGTTGAGTTCTTCCAGGAAACACAGCAGTGATTTCCTTGCTTGTAATCTCATTCTATTTCTGGTTTTCAAGTCGGCTTTATGGTAGGTGGACTCTAACCATTGCCTGTTGCCCGGGTCTGTTTGCGTCGAAATTTCCATTGTTGTGCATCGTTCCATCAAGAGCGTCTCCTCGGGTATGGTATCTTCACCAGCGGTCACAGGCGACGGGCTGCCGGTGGTGGTACCATTGCCGTTGACAACATAACCAACATTGTCTTGATGGTTACTCGACTCGTTATATAAAGGTGATGTACCACGATGCGCCGTGATCAACGCTTGGCTACCATTTCGATAACAACCCATTTCGCGGGATGATTCTTTCTTACCATACACCGAAGTACTTGTCTCATCCTCTTCCAACGATCTTCTTGGTTTGGCGAAGTCGTTGAGGTTTGAGAACGCGTTCGGATATGGTAGCAATATCCCATTTGGAAAGCTCGCAAATGTACTGATTGATGATACGTTCGAAGGGTCGGTTGTGATGTGGTTACCGTGAATCGTTGAATGTCCGTCATGTTGGGGCGTGGTGGTAACATGGTTATCTCGAGTTGCACCGCGGTTGCTCGTGTTACCAACGTGTTGGTTAGCAACCATGGTGGCCACGTGATTGGTGATGTAGCTACTGGACATACTGATGGTGGCGTGCGGGTGTATGTTTACGTGGTTCCCCTGAACGGCGGTACCCGACGTATGCAATGGTAACCGGGGAACGCTTAGGACAAACGGGGGTCCCAACGCGGACTCCCCGCCACCCATGGGGGGCATCTTTGGCACGAGGGTGCCGTGCATTGCAACACCAGTAGGAGGCGAATCCACGTGTTGAAACATATCATTCACAGCTTCATCGCAATCTTGCAACAACTCCTGAACGTATCTTCGAATGCAGCGCCCGGTCAGAGGCGGATCGACGCCAGCATTCAGACACATCGATTTCATGAGATCCGTATGCTTGTTCTTGCCCAAAGGCAGGGGGGAATACCAAACAAGATGGTTGATCTTCTTAGGATGTTGAAACAGAACATCGTTACGAGGATTGCGATGCTCCATGTACTTCTTGATGATAGCTATGGGACAACATAGGGAACCTGGTCTTGCGTATATCCGAGATTTGTGGACCTCACCGCGAATCCTTTCGGGAGGTTTGTAATCCAGCCAGAAGTATTCACGTCCATCTTCGTCTTTCTCTAAAATGAGGTTCGATTCCTTGAGTTCTCGAAGCATACGTTTGTCGATGCTTGTGAAGAAGTAGGCCACGATGTAGAACCACACTGTCTGGATTATCACGCTCGGGTTGTCCGTCGTTGTGAGTCCCAGCTGCCCTCCCTTGTACAGCTTCAGGATGGTCTCCTTGGTGAACTGTGGGAAGCGGTTTTGATCTGCGTCTTCGGGCAGGTTGTCCAGCGTTTTGTTGACCTGCGATCACAATGATTCTGATTAATACTTCATGAACCAAAAACAAACAATATCAATGTTTACTTTGTGTTTGAAAACGGATAGGGTGCTTTGGAGATTGTGAAAATTGAGTTTTCAAAGCAAAGATGTCATATTTTTTTTTTTTCCAGATGTGAACCAGTGGATACAATACTCATGATATGGTAAAAAAACTCACCCCTAAAATCGTAAGGAAATTGCAAATGGGAACGAGCCTTGAGCCTTGAGGCGATATACGAAGGGTATAAGACGACACACATATCGATGGCAAAGGTATTTTACCCGACCGGCAGTTTTAGCCGAGAAACATTCTGTGCACAGTATATAAATAAATATTCGGGTGAATTTCTATACCTGACGAAAATCGTAGTCTGTTGAGATCGAGAAATCCTTCTTGAAAGGCGAGGAGCGAAGATAGTGATCCAAGGAATGTTTGATGGATTTTAGCGTATTTTTCTTATATTGGGTACCGTTTGGTCGTCTAGCCGTCCTGTAGAACTGCTCAAGAGCGCTTGCTATTTCCGTCCTTGACATGTCCTCCAGAGACTGAAATTGCACACCTTGCTTGTGCAGCCAATCTGAAAAACTCGCATTTTAAGTCGCGGTGTAGTAACAAAACACAGACAGTAATTACAGCAGGAATTTACTTTTGCTACATCTGAAATTCCGTGTATGGGATGAAAAAATCCTTTGTCGGAAAAACGTTTTTTAAAATACTACAAGTAACGTTCCTAACAATATTTCATTGTTTACCTACAATTTTTTTCTAAGGACCTTGAGTTTTTTCCACAATTTTTCGCCTAATATGTATGAATGGATTGTATGTGTCTGTGGGACATATTGAAGTCGCGGCGCAGGTCAAAGAAAACCGTTTTGGTCGTGGGATTAACAGCGGTTTTTAATAAATCCCGGCGAAGTAGATTACAAACATCCCCTTACAAGTTACAATTTTATGATAGGTGTCAATTGACAAGAATAACGCGAGAATTTTCCGTCCAAACCGGAAAACAATTCTTGAAAACGTTTTTAATCATAGGATAAGTTTGATTTAATACCCAGCCGGCTTTAAGTGTATACGCCGGTCCTTGAAGCTTTATATAATATATTGCAAAGTTCGTCTATATCTGCACTTATCACTTGTATATCATGATTTCAAATATGTTGCAAGGAAATATGGCAGAAATTTGCACGTTAAAAAATGTGGCTCTAGACAATGTATCAGGTTTTTAAGATGTTCCGTGGAGGGCATTTTCTTGAAATCATTTATACATTTTGTCGACTTGGACTAAATTATCAAGTTTTCCATCTGAATTTCAAACAAACTTGCATTACGGTAATGTGTGTGATATCACACTAGCGGCTTTTCAAAGAAAAACCACTCTGATCTTGAACTAGTTTCTCATGTCTCCCAAATTAAAAAAAGGCCATTGATTTGCCTTGTGCCAGCTTGTTTCCTGTGTTTGATAGCGAATTTACCTTGTGTTTACTTTGTAAAAAGGTTGAAAATTTGGATTTAAGAATTGACACGTTAAAACGACTTAATAACGCTTATTAGTTCACGATTGAGTTGCCTGTTTTCTTTGATGAACCGCGGGTTATATATCATATATTACCCGTGAATACAATTTACGTAGGGAATGAAGGGAGAAACTGGAAAAATTCTCGTCAGAGTCAACAAAAACAATAAAATATTGTTGGAACTTAGAAAGTCTCCTAGATCTTCACTCTTCAGGATTGTGTCACATCAACAGATGCACAATGTTCTTGGAGATTTATTTGGCACGAAGGCCAATAGTTTAAGGTATGCATTCTTACATAATCATACAAATAAGTTTAATTTATATTCTTACCTCTGAAAACACGTACGCCAAACTTCACCGCCTGTTTCTGACTCTCGGAAACAGAGCCGCTGTTTAAAAACTCGAATTCGCCTGGAATATCCAAACTTGGTCGACACCCCATGGCCGTTTGGTACAGACGGGTGTCATATTTTGAGGGAGATTCGTTTGGGCTGTCCATGGGTACAACCGAGACCATTGATGGTAGCTCTTTCAAAACGGTATCTTCGTCTGTGTTTTTCCTAGTTTCTTTTTCAAAGTTATTCGCTTCTTCCTTGACGGTCTCCATGGACGTTTCTGAAAGCAAACCCTTGCCAACTCGTACAGGCACGGGTTTTTCTCTCATATCAACTTATCTCTCACATTTAAAAGCAATATTAAAGGCGACACTTGGATATAAACGAGCCATAATAACTACGATTATTATTATGAAATAATGCAAAATCAAACGATATTGTATTCGTCATTATAGTCTTTTGTAATACGAGATTGACCAATAGGGTGGCAGTAAATATTCGCTTATAGTGATCCAACCAATCAACGTGTTAGCTGGACAAAGCATGAAATTTCTGATCTACAACTCGCGGGTAATATTTTAATGAATAGAGGCAATATTTTTAGTATTTACAAGAACAATATTTTAGTCTATTCATCTGGCGGAAGTAGCTGAGGAAATAGCGACAATATACTCTTTCAAAACATTTTGTATTTTTGACGTGATAAAAGTAAAAACATAATACGTTGACAAGTCCAAAGCCCAAAATATCAACTTGATTTACAAGTATCTATAAACATCTGTTAAGACGGTATCTAATGAATGAATTAATTAATATGTATATAGTGTACTGCTATAATAGAATCGTACAATTGGTATTACAATATTAAATAATTATAATATGTATATTATTCACTGGTATTATTAAACACTGAGGCATTTTAAAGGATAAAAATCAAGCTAAATAATTAGGAAATTTTACACGCGAAAAGTGAAAAATAATGAAATTTAGCCCCCGAAATGCGCTTCTTTTTGGAAACTGTTTTTGAAACAAGCGTGCTTTGCATCACCGGGATATATGTCGCTATGTTACCATAACCATGGCAACAGCGCCATGTTGGATTTTGGAAAAGTGTAGGAATAATAATATATTTGAAGAGAAAAGTTGTTATTTTAGTGTTTTTTCTACGTATTTCAACTGAAGGGCGTTTGGATGCGGTCGCAGAGAATACTAGGATAACGTTGTGGCGTTTTGGCAAAAAAGAAGCGATATTTTACGTAAAAAAATTGAAATTGTTTTGTCATGAGCAAGTTTAGAAATGAGAAGAAACCTCCGTCTCAACCACCTCCAGTGACCACAACGAACGATATTATTCCAGGAAAATTCAACGAAAACCAATGGTAAGGACTGTATATTAGATTTTCTATCAATCAAACTTTCATATAACTGCTAGCGATTATTATTATGAAGTATGAACAGCTTTGAAGCTGTTTGTTTAAATAATAGAAAATGATTAATCAATGTTGATGTTATTTGCCCACAGGAATTCTATGGTCGAGGAGGAAAGCAGTCAGGATTTTATCCTGGATCTCCTTGATGAAATACTTGACTGTACGGTGCAAGTCATCCATGATAAATATATCCAAAGTCAACTCCAGCCATATTCAGTTCATGCTGCTAAAGACCTTCTCTTACAAATCATAGAGGTACTGTGTCCAATCATAATGCATCAGTCAAAATTTCGCAAACAAATTTCATAAAAGAATTTCATCAAAAAGTAGTGAAGGTCGAATATACCGGAATGTTGTATATTTCACCTTGGTATATGGTTAATATATTGGAATATGAAATATTCGACCTTGGTATGGTCTAATAAACTAGAATATGGTATGTTCAACCTTTGTGAGGTTGATACCAGAATATGGCATATTCAAACTTGGAAAGGCTGAGTATACCGGAATATGGCAAAAAAAATATTCAACCTCGGTGAGGTTGAGTATACCAGAATATTGCATATTCGACCTAGTTGTGAGATTGGTAAATCAATTACGATTTTGTAGCACTTAGCTCGATGTAGGTAAATTCTAAAGGGGTTTTTTAAAGGGTTTTAATTTCGAGTGGAATTATTCATGCACAACTCAATTCAAGCCAGGAACAGTTAAGAAAAATTAGTCAACTATTGGTTCTTCGGCAGGAATCGAACCTACACTTATGCGCGATGCCAGTGCAGTGCTCTAGCCCGATGGCAGTGCAGTGCTAGAACATCTTGTTAAGGTTGGGGCATCAGTGAGCAAAAAATCTGAATTGGCCCCTGAATTTCAATTAGCGTCACATCCAGCGCCACCGGATTTCAACAATTGCACATCCAGACCAGGGGGGGGGCATGCAGTCAAACTAGATTTGAGCAACTTTAGTTAAAAAATTGCATATATACATATATATGGTCACACTGTTCTGTAGGATATAATATAGATTCTAGGCTCTTAATTATAATTGTATGACTAGAAATTATATCCCATGTTACACCCCCCCTGTAAAAACTGCATGTGAACTCTATATATAAACTGGAACGATAACGTGGTAGCCAACTTTCATGAAATGCAAACTGGAGTAAAGTCTAATGTAATCATTTTGAATCACTTTTTTTCGTACAATATATACAATGTTTTTAATATTTATTGCTATTTTAGTTCGCTATATTTCCAAATGATTATGAACTAGAGTTTATGTCCTCCTGGGGCCGGTTGTATCAAGCCCGTTTAGCTTCCGGTGGATAAGTTCAAAATAGAAAGCGAGTTTGCCGTTTTATTCAACAAGCGAACAAAAGGGGTTTTGACCTTAATACAAAGCTACTGTTTACAACTACATATTCAGTGCATATTATATTCAAGTTGACTCATTCAAGAGAGTTGTAAGAGTGTTATTTAATTTTGACTTATCCACCTTTTAAGCTAAACGCCTTTCGAACAACCGGCCCCAGATGTATATACCATTGTTTCTGATCTACCCTGACTGTTCACGAATCATAATTCGAGCCTAAGATATCGCCGAAGCACCCTTTTCCCCCGGTCACGCAGAATACCGTTGTTCCAATAAAATACGAAGCAATTTAAAGTCGAGTTCATGCAAATTACCGTCCTAAACCAGAGCCACAGCATGATAGCTTGTTTTTCCGTCAATCCTACGTCCCACAATGGCATCATACTCGTGAAAATCGCCCCGGGTATGACCGACAAAAATAAAAAACAAACCACGGCTAAAAGGCACGAGGAGATCTTCTTCAAATCGGCTCGTCGCTTTTCGCCCGTTTGCGGGATGCTCCGTTGCATCTTTCGTGCAACTATGAACAATTTGAGGTTCGTGAATAACATCAACGGCGAAAAAACGGCCAGGAGAATGATAAAACAAAGTTTCACTTCGACGCCATTCATAGAAAGAATTCGCAACACAAACGCGAATAGCTGGAAAGATGCGAGCAAGAGCATCAGTTTAACGCGAGTAACTTTGTTTCTGTGGAAAATCGGATGAGCTACGGCCAGATATCGATCTATGCTCATGGTCAACAGAGCGAGCGATGAGAACGCCAGCAAAAGGTGACTCCAGCCCAAACAGAAGTCGATCGTTTCTTTATCAACGTCGCCAAACGCCACTGCAATCGCTAGCGCTATAACCAGAGGATGGCTTATCAAAATAACGCTCAAATCAAAGCACGATAACACGAGAATCATGAAGTAACACGTCTTTCTCCGCATCTGAGCCGACTTCCAAATGCTGGATACAACCACAAAGTTGCTTATCGTTCCGACAAATCCCAGCGAGGCGTTCAAGATGCACAGAAAAACGATATTGATGAAAACAGCGATCATATTTTTGCCTTTTTTGCCGTTGAAATGAACTCGCAGACGCAAACCGCAGCAGTTTATATGTAATTGCAGTCTGACTGTAGCTGTGAAGTCTCCTGTGACGCGTGACCACTTCAATTATAAAAATATTAGTTTTCAACCGGCTTGTCACAGCTGCTGCGAAAAAAGGACGTTCTTATTAAAGAAAAAACAATTTAAACCCCATTATTTATGACGTACTCGGGCCTGCTAGAACGTTTTATGATATCGAGAAATATCAATTTTTTCAGACATTCATTTGAAGCCTAGCCTGCGAATATCCCAGAATCTGTGGGCTGCTTTCCACTTACGCGTTTTTTATACGCACGTTTAGATGCTCCTAAATTTTTATCATTTAACATCTGCAAGTCGACAAGTGCGTACTAAAATATGCGGAAAACTAAGTTCTTTCGATTTATTTAGTGTTTTCAAAGATGATATCTATAAGGATTTTGACTTTTACGTGCGTCTTCGTGCGTTTGGAAAACGCGTAACTGGAAAGCAGCCCTATGTTTCCCCCATTGTTAAATAAGCGTATAAATAGATTTCTGTTATTCGCAGGCTATTTTGAGTTATCGTCTGACGAAAGATAGACTGCTCTAAAAAATACTACAGCATGAGTCCGTTTTTTTAAAGACGTGCACCGGTTTACCGGAGTGAAAGGGGGACACTGATGATTATTCTCTTAAGGAGACGCAATGATGTAGTTTTGTTGATGTAGTTTTGTTGATGTAGTTTTGTTGATGTAGTTTTGTTGATGTAGTTTTGTTGATGTAGTTTTGTTGATGTAGTTTTGTTGATGTAGTTTTGTTGATGTAGTTTTGTTGATGTAGTTTGTTGATGTGTTTGTTGATGAAGTTTTGTTGATGTAGTTTTGTTGACGTAGTTTTGCTCATAAATTTTGTCGATGTGGTATTGTTCATGTAGTTTTCAAGAGTGTGTAAGTCACGAATTATTCCCATATGAACAGGTGACTCGTTAACGCTAATTCCCTCGTTCACATTACTCGAAAGAAGATATCATAGCACCCGAAATCGTCGCAAGAACCGGCCGTAATGTTTGGTTTTCTTTTTGTGTTTCAGTCGAGATTCCTCGAACATGATCTGGGGGAAGTGTCTCCTGCTAACGATGTAACGTGGCTTGAAGATGAAGGTGAGATATATGAAAATTAAAGTTCTCTACAGTATTTTTACTATTTCACCACTAGCAATATTGTTTTGAACAAATGCTACCGTATGTTTTGTCTTTTGAATTTCTACGCTTTTAAACATACGATGTGCTTTTTAAATATATCTGGCATAATTCAGGTTCGCTAAGGTCTTGAATGAATATGAACTAGAGCTTATGCTGAAAAAGATTGAAACTGTACGAAGTTTTGAGAAGGCCTTTCGAGATTTGAATCTCGATAACAGTCTCTGCTGGAGACAATTCAAACTCGATTCGAAGTACTCAAATATCAAAGTGGAACTCATGTTCGTTCTGCACATCGATGCGGCTCATACGAATACGAGAGTCTAGCTCTGTCTCCGATGTAAAGACTGCCCAAATTTATTCTTTTCATCTATTTAGAGCCAATACCGTGCGTCACGGATTCCTGGTCACAAGGCTCGGTTCCAGTCCAGCGTTGTCAGTCCAGACCATTGTCAGCAAGATGTGAATCCAGGACTCTCACCCGGAGCTGCTCCGAGTCTAACTCTCTGGAGAACTCACCAAGGTTTGTTGCAAAAAAAAACTCAAGGCGAGGAAACGAAGGCTCTGGGATAATCCAAATTTTCGGATAATCCTAACCTTGAGATAATCCAAACCTTGCGATCATCCAAACCTTAATCTAGAATGCCTGGCTAATACTAACTGTGCGTGTGGCCGTGTGTATCAAACATTTGATACTTTTCGAAGCAAGCTCCATGCAAATATTGAACGATATTCAGTCATCTTAATGTCCTTGATTTAGAAGCGAGGGTGTAGAAAGTTATGAAGATCGAAATGAAGTTGAACCTGAGGCGGAACGAAATGAAACAACACAAGAGAGTTGTGAAACAGAAATCCCCCCTCCCTTGGAAGTTGTTCCCTCGCCTCCACCTACTTCTAGGGTATGTTATTTTGTACAGTAGCTGAACAATCCATTATAGATATACTTAGTTTAGTTTAGGTTTCCTTCTGTAGTAGAACTGGATCAATAAGAGATGATTCTTTCTTGACCTCTAGGAAGAACAGTTTAGAACTGATAGACCTATCCAGTATAAATAAAGTTAGTTTAGTTTAGGTTTCCTCCTGTAGTAACACTGGATCAATAAGAGATGATCCTTACTGGACCTCTAGGAAGAACAGTTTAGAACTGATAGAGCTATCCAGTATAAATAAAGTTAGTTTAGCTTAGGTTTCCTCTTGTAGTAACACTGAATCAATAAGTGATGATCCTTACTGGACCTCTAGGAAGAACAGTTTAAAACTGATAGAGCTATCTAGGATAAATAAAGTTAGTTTAGTTTAGGTTTCCTCTTGTAGTAACACTGAATCAATAAGAGATGATCCTTACTGGACCTCTAGGAAGAACAGTTTAGAACTGATAGAGCTATCCAGTATAAATAAAGTTTGTTTAGTTTAGGTTTCCTCCTGTAGTGACACTGGATGAATATTTCATTCATTCTTGCCCATTTGGTTTAGGTGGTATCACCTGGTCGACGGAAGCACGTTGTAAAAACTACCAAAAAGACAACGCAATCAGAAAGAAAAAAGTCGAAAACACAAGTTGTTGAACAGCGCGCAAGTCAGGCAGACCCCGTCGAGAACACCGGCTCAATGAAACCAGTTCAACAGGTAAATAAGATCAAACGTTTATCATTCTCAAAACGTTTTCTCAAAAAACCTTTTTGCCGATTTTAAGATTCGAACAAGTAGAGCCCCTCCTGGTGAACAAGAAGTGACGTATGATGAACAGGGGAACATTGTGGCTATGATGAGGTTTAGTGTGGATAAACTAACACACAGGTACGTCTGTGGATACGTCGATTTGACATCGATGTTGATAGACTGAGTTATTTAAGAGTAATGATTTCAGGAATGATTTTTCTCTATTCTAGAATACGGCCTCGTTTCGGAATTCTGGATCCACAGACGGACCCAATTCACCCCCTTTCGACACAGCCAGGTCGAAAAGGAACGAAGAAAGACGCAACTTTGAGCAGACAAGGGCGTTTAGCAGATGTGAGGAGAAAAAGAGAGGTTATACAGACGTTTAAAAGTCCTTCGATGAAATCTAATATGTCGCTGGAGATCACTGAGGACAGCGAGGTTGTTAAGCCATTACCCCCGCCATTGGTAAGAGCCTGGTACACACGTGATATTACGCATTGAATATGACCTGGAATTTTGATTTCTGTAATATGCAGTTGTCTGATTATAATTTCACCTCAGTCACATGTGAGAAGATTGCTTCGAAGATTGATTAGGACATGTGTCTTTCATCTCTGTGACTGAGGTTTGATTCCGGTAATATGCAGTTGTGTGATTATAATTTCACCTCAGTCACATCTGAGAAGAGTGCTTCCAGTTTGACTCTACCAAACACAGTGGTTAGTACTTGTGTCTTTCATCTCTGAGACTGAGGTTTTATTTCTGTAATATGCAGTTGTCTGATTATAATTTCACCTTAGTCACATGTGAGAAGATTGCTTCCAGTTTGACTCTACCAAACACAGTGGTTAGTCCATGTGTCTTTCATGTATAAGAGACCTTAATCAATCTTTTTCTATTCCCCCAGTCGGACTCCATGGAAATCTCAGCCGGTGTGATTGTTCGAGAAGGCGACATTGTGCGTAAAGGTCCCAAAACGGTAGGTTGGCGACATTAAAGCTTGTTTGGGTTTTACAACCGCAAAATACTGTTCAAGACTTAGTTCACACCATAATCTAAGGTAAAATACAGGAACTTTAAGTGAGACGCCGAAAAGTTTTTATACTTTGAACGTTTTCCCGCCAAAATACACGACATAAAACGAAACTTTTTTGCTTTGAACTTTTTCAACTTTTCCCGCCAAAATACACGACATAAAACGAAACGTTTTTGCTTTGAACGTTTTCCACTTTTTCCGCCAAAGTACACGACATAAAAGTCTCCTGATAACCGTTGTAGCCAGCCGAAAGTTGTGTCCTTTACTGGACGGCAGGCTCTAAGAAAGACACGACGGAATCATAGCGATGTATTTTTGTTTTAGATCCCAGCTGGTCGTCAAAAATCCCCGACAGACATTCTCAATCTACAGCCTGTTGGATCGCTGGCAAAAAGACAGACTATCTCAGTGTCTGACGTCATAGGTAACACGTCACCAGTAATCAGGCAGATGCGCATACACGAACCCATTCCCCCGATCGCGCACCGCGGGTAAAAACATGGCGAATGCTGTGTATATATTGGATGATAGATTTTGTCATAGATAAGCCTTGCATGTGCGCGTTTTTTGAGGATTTTTCTGTTTGCGGTTTAATCAATACGTTGTTAAAGATCTCAGATAACTGTTTGGATGCATTAAATTGTAAATTGAAGTATAAAAAACAAACAAAATGGTTCATAAATATGTTATTATGACATTATGTCTAAAAAACTAAAACGTTGAACTTTTTGTCGGTAATTATTTACATATTATATACATATTACATACAGTGTTAAACTCGTAGAGATACTGTTTAAAACAGACAGGGTACGTGGTTCTTGCTTTTGTAATAGTAGTTCTAGAATTGCTTAACCGTTCGAAAATTTAAGACTGGATTTCGTTTAAATTTCGTTGAAGGCTTGTTTAAAAGTATATTGTGTTTAAAGGGACTGAAAAATAATAGAGTAAAATTTTGTCAAAATTAGACCCAATTTTGTCGGGTCTAATTCCCTTCTGATGCATGTTTTAAAGTGTGTTGACTTGAAATGTACATGGGCAGCAAATCACGTAAATCAATGCAATGCTGCTTTATCAATAACAGACTACATTCAATACGTCAGAAGTGAGTTTGATCCAATAAAATTTGATCGTGTGGTTAGACCTTTTGGAGTGATGATAGCTTCTACTAAACTCTTGTGCAGTTATGAATTGTTCAAAGAGAGAACTTAAAACAGCACAACAAACGCAAAAATGAAATAGTCAAGTATATCTCGAAAGATTTTGTTTCGAAGGGCAAGTTTTAAGTTAGTTCGCTGCATAATTCTGGTTGAATGCCTGAGAAATATACCCACTTTATTGTAGCCAATTTTGTCGGAACTAAATGCATCATTTTATATCAAGAATCGTTCATCGACCAAAGTTTTCTTCGCTAAATTCTTCTTCCCAAGAATCTCTCTGATCGACTTTACAATTCGACTTTGAAGATAGGTGAGCACTCCAGCTAAAACGAAGTTCAACGCGGCGTAATCTACGATAGCAAAGAACAGGACTTCCCAGAGTAGCAACGTCCATTCGTGACCGAAGAAAAAGACGTTTGTAAACGAACGACCATCGTCGTTGTAAAACACTGCCTTGTCCTGAGGTAGTTCCCCAAGTTCTAAATCAAAGATTCTTTCAAGAAGTAGTTTGTTTTTTACGGCGTAATCGTGTTCTCGGAGCGAATGATCGATGAAGGCGGAAAGGAATCTATTCACAGAAGAATAAGCCTCGATTGTCTGCTGAACAGCCACGGAAAGATTAACTCCAGCCGAGTGACCTGAAATATTTACAGGTGGATGGTTATGGAATTGGTTGATGTGGGTGAAATCTGGTTTGGCGTGAGGTAAATTTTGTTTATCAGAATAATATATAATTTCACCTCAGTCACATGTGAGAAGAGTGCTTCTAGTTTGACTCTACCAAACACAGTAGTTAGTCCATATGTCTTTCATCTCTGTGACTGAGGTTTGATTCCTGTAATATGCAGTTGTGTGATTATAATTTCACCTCAGTCACATGTGAGAAGAATGCTTCTAGTTTGACTCTACCAAACACAGTGGTTAGTACATGTGTCTTTCATCTCTGTGACTGAGGTTTGATTTCTGTAAAATGCATTTTTTTATCATAGTTTGCCAATCGGAAGAAATATGGCTTACCTTGGATCTGAGGTGCATTTCTCCTCTCGATATTCTGCGTTTGTGTTCGGATCGGGTCGTAAAAGCGGTCGTATGTCGCTCGGAACTTCCTCGTGACCATCACGTCAAACGTCTGCCTGTCGGAATTCGGTTCGAGGCCGCGTTTTCCGCAAAGATCGTCCTCTTCACGCTTAAACTGTTCGTGCATTTCCAACATGTCCGTATCGGACCGCCCGTGAACAGATCTTCCGTGAATATAGTGGCCGTAGAGTTTATTCTGAAATATCAACACGCTTACGTTTGCCATCGAGCACAGATCAGTGAAATCCCCAAACGGGTCGCCCAGGAAGCGTTCGTATATGAAAGAAAAGAAAATCCATTGGACAAACGCTATCGACATGTAAAGAAGCACAGCCACTGCAAATCGTAGAAGATGGCTTTGTTCGCCCACGTAATCTGTGGTGTAGTCAACCGAATATCTGCGCACGGGATCTGTAGTGCAAAGGTGCTCGAACCCAACCGCCTTGAGAAAGAAGAGCACCAGACCGATTTGTATTTCTGGACTAATTTTGCGCAGCGTCTGAAGTTCGTTCCATTCGTTTCCGATGAAGAGTGTTCTCCACACGCTAACAGGGGCTTTAGCGTCCACCCCTTGGTTGGTGGAACGGGGCAAGGGGCGTGGTCGTTCCCAGTCCACGAAGAAAACATCGATGCTGGTTTGGGACGAGATCACGTGAACCAAATCGATAAATTTGAATACGAACGCGATGATGAGCAGGTTTCGGAATATGTTTTCTTGCTCTGAAGTTGGAAGAAGGCGATACACGATGTCTTGTTCTTTGAAGAAGATCAACCAAAGGCTGGCGAGGCCGAAAAGGACCCAGAAATACATGGTCGCGAGGGAGCCTAGGGCGAAGGCGACGAAGTGAAGCATTGTGGGAAGGTCGATAACTTCTATACCTTTGCGTCGGCGCCAACTGTACACGAGAATGAGGCCGTATATAATCCCGAAGCCTGACAATACTCCTGCAGCAGTCTGGGGAGGAGAGAGAGGAAATTGTTATGTACTTGATATGGTCTGAAGGCTGTCATAGCTATCATTCTGATGGAAGGGTGAGTGCAAATAGTTACAGTGGGATGTAGATTTTCTCAAGATGGGGGAAACACTGATTTTTCAAGCAGATGCCCTCTTACACGCAGGCTGGCTAAAGTTCTCAGGTTGTAATTGTGATATTGATATGAACAGGTTTGAATAATGTTGTATTGCCCATATTGTTCAGAGTTGTTATAAACATTTAACAATTATTCGCCGAAGACAAGGTGACTATCAGGAAATTCCCTGATAACCACTGAGCCTAAAGCGAACAATTGTTTTAGTATTTTTGCACAAGTGAATTGACACAAGAACTTCATTTGTTCGTTTATCTCTTTGTAAGAAACATCCACAAAACGGCCAGTTGCCATTTTGAAATTTTTTATATTCACCTGAAGGTTAATATAACAGCATTTTACGTCAAATTTGACCAATCAGAATGTAGGATTTGTTATATTTACTTGTGCAAAAATACAATATTGTTACACCTGATTTAGTTTTAACAATATTATTTAATGTTTTTGACAAGACTGTAGTGTGAACAATATGGGCAAAACTACATTGTGCAATGGTCTTTTAATCGCCATGGTCTTGGAGTTCTTAGTTTTGTAGAGCAATTTGGTCAGGTTACCTTGACATCTTGCGAGATTGAAGAAGTGTCCATTCATAGTTGACACTGAAAGAAACTCGCACAGTTGGGTCCCTCTTTAAGATATCATCATTCAGCTTGATAGTCTTGTATCTCACTTTGATATACGGAGGATAAATTTGACCCTGACCGTTTCGCAATCGAATGTGCAACTGAAGCATCTCTGCAACCCGGATAACCTTGTCGGCAGAGGCGTCTGTTTTCGGGTCGCCAGACACGGCAGGCCGGCCACTTAAGTTATCTACGAGAAAAAACCTCCGCAAAAGATTCCATGATTTAAAAGAGTCCTCATCATTGTTCTTGTAATTTTCTAAAACCATTGGAATTGCATACAGTCCAGTACTGCTTGACTTGAAATACAGGTCATAGAAAAACATCTCCTGTCGTTGCCAAAGATCGCTCACATTTAGATCGCAACTGTTCTCGTAAAGAGTTGCAAACTTGTTGGCAGCGCTTGACCTGGACGCACGATCCTTACACATTTGTAACTCACTAAATATATCATTTTTCAGGCCAACAAAAGAACCATTCGCAGCATAAACCGCTACGAGGAAAGGCAACGATTGCTCAGTTTTGAATTTGATCTTAATATCCTCTTGGTAGAGTTCGACGCCAGGATCTTGCTGGCTGTTGAGGTAATACAACCATGGCATATATATGGGCCAGTTTGCATTATCCTGCCCCCCTTTGCTTCGGGCTTTTGCCTGTCCTTCAGGGGGATTGTTAACCATGGCAAGATACTCCTTACAAGGGTTATCATCAGCTTGCTTATAGTCCAACATAACGCACATATTCCCGAGCAGCTGGCAGGCGGTGAAATTCTGTTTTTCCTTGCAAAATGTTTTGGCCGTGGCAAAATGATCTTCGAGGAATTTGCTCCTTATTTCAACGTCGTTATCATAAGAGATATCCAAAACTTTTGTGTTGGTGAGTGCTTCGACATCGACACTGCAAGAGGGGCAAACCTTGCAAAAGCCCTCGCCTGCATTGGGATTAATCGCCGTATTAGCCGCACAGGTAAGGCACAACTGTTCATTTCTATTCCCGCCGTTTAAATCCCTTTCAACAGCTACCTTATTCGCACTACAGTCTTCACAACGGCCGTTTTTCCTCCCATTATTGCATTTCAAACAGAACCATCTATCTTCGGAAGACACCTGATCGCGCGGGCAGGGGCTACACGATACTTTTGGCCCGCCAAAATACTGTGAATTTTCTATTCTGAATCCACTTTTACAAGTGCACGATAAGCCATCAGTTGAAACGGCTTTACCGTTAGCGTCTTCGCATTCCCCGCATTGTAGGTTCGAGATTTGAAAGAATTTCTTCACGCTTCTGCAGTCCTCGATCGTTTTGTAATCGATCTCGAATAGCGTGACAGGAAGAGGCAGAAAGAGAACAGTACACAATGGAAACATAACAAAATAAAAAGACGCCATGTTGTTGAGAGCGACGCGCTCGCTTAGCAACGTGGGAGTCTGGGACGAGCCGACCTCACGCGGCTTTTGCCACTGAACTATATAATTGGTACATCGTTCCACAGCAAGCCCAAGGCCACGAAATTGAATTGAGTGAAAAGCTCTACACCAAACCTTTCAGTAATTCGGGATTCTTTTGGGATTTCTTTTTTTTCGAGATTTTAAAAAATAAAACGAAAACGAAAAATGGTGTATTCGACCATAGTCGAGTCCGCCGGAAAACGGCGTATTCGACCATTGTCGAGTCTACCCCAAAATGCGAATTCGACCATGGTCGAGTGTACCGGAAAGCGGCGTATTCGACCATGGTCGAGTCCAGTGAACTGTATATTCATTTCACTGGTCGAGTCTACCCCAAAATGGCGTATTCGACCATGGTCGAGTGAACCCGAATTAAAATAACAATGACTGTCACTCGTACTTTCGACTAGTGTGCGAATAATACACCGAGCCCAACATTTTTTAAGATGCTTTAATTTTAGGTTCTTTCTTAACTCTTAAGTCGGAGGCCCCTTCAGGTTTGGGGTCCGGGGTAAAATACCCTCTGTCGCACCCCCCTTTGGATTCTGCTATGTACTCTCGGGTTCCGGGTGTAATTCCTAATCTCCGCGCGGAACTAATACCCTCGCACCGGCTCGGGGATAAATTTGGAATAAATTATATACAAGGTCGTGTTCTCGTGGAACAAAAATTTTTGTTACAAAAACAATCCTTTAAATTTTAGAATAAACATGTAGTTTTTCCAACACAAACATGGTGAAGGAACAGTTCAGAGAAACAGACGTCGCGCGGAGAGTGTAAGTAAAATAGATTTGATTTCATATAATTATTTCGAGTGATTGTATATTTTGTACATTTGGTGGTAGTGTGGTACTGTGGTAGCTAGTCTGTGTGTAGCATCACTAGCATGGCTGATCGAATGTTGTGAATTTCCTGGTATGATGTACAACCTAAAAATGATAGATTGACAATTAATTCATCCCCATTATCAAATTTTATTTATGATTTCAGAAGCCATCTGGAGTTTGGAATTTTCTCACCATCTCACATGCAAAAAAATGCACAGATCCAATGCGTCAGTAAGAACCTGTACATGCCAGAGAATGCAAGGAAACCAGCAGGGTACGGGGTGCTGGATCCACAACTGGTAATGTCGAATATTTTGCTTCTGGATCTGTGGTGTGGAATATGCGGATAGATTCTGGCATTCAGGAAGGTTCTGTGCATGGAGCTTGCTCTGTCTATGATCAGCAACTGCTCTTCTGCAATTAATCTGAATCATTAGCCTCCAACTAATACTTGTATGGATTGAAGCAATGTTGTATCTGACAATCCTCCTTTTCAGGGTATCAGCAACAAGGATCGATCTTGTACAACCTGCGGGAAACAGCTTGCCGACTGTGTTGGTCACTTTGGATTTATTGATCTTGAATTGCCTGTCTGTCATGTGGGATATTTTAAGGCAACAATAGCCATTCTTCAATGTGTTTGCAAGGTATACTTTTATGGTACACCACTTGTTGAATTAGGAGCTCTTTCTTAACTTAAATTTTATTTGCATCTTTTAAAACTGCTTCACGTTTGACTTTCCCAGTATTTTGCAAACACACTTGTTTCTGTGGTATATTTTTAAGGCAGCAATTCTAAATGTATATCTGTTCTAAATGAAAGAACAGCTTTGCAAATCTGAACCTCTATATTGTACCTGTCAAAACTGCTTCATGTTTGACTCTTCCTGTGTGTAACCATGTAAAAATGCTTGTTTCATGTCCAATTTTATTTCAGAGTTGCAGTAGAGTTTTGCTGACACCAGATGACAGGATTTCAACGTTGGAATCTCTTCGCCGTCCTGCACTTAGTAATCTTGCACGCAAAGGAATACTGAAGAAAGTCAATACAAAATGTCGCAAGCTGTCGCAATGCCCGTACTGTGAGAGTCTCAACGGTGAGAAACCATTTTTTTCGTAAAAACTTTCAGAAGTGAAAGAATTTTATTAAATATTCATCTTGCCTGGTAATTTAAGGCTAACTAGGATTAACTTAGTCTTTATGTCTGTAAGATTATTGAATATCTTAATTGCCATATCTAATTTCCTTGAACTGTAGGAAATGTAAAGAAAGTAGGAATGATGAAAATTGTTCATGAGAAATATAAAACGACAAAGAAGATTTTGCATCCGGTGATCTCAGAGTTTCATGCCTCATTTCAAAATGCTCTTGAACATAATAAAGAACTGGAACCATTATTAAAAAAAGCTCAGGTGAATCATTATTTGATGGCAAACAAAGTATTAATGGCCTGTTATCTAATAAAAAAAAGCTAAAGGGCATTATGTATTGCACACTTGCAATTTTGCTCCAATTTTGAATCTGATTGTAGCAGTTAAAAAAAGCAGTAAACAGGCCTTTTCACTGACTGCTTATTGCTCTCTTTTTTTCACTTTAGGAAATCTTAAATCCATTGAGAGTTTTAACAATTTTCAAAGATGTTCCTGATGAGGTTTGATGATGCATCCAATATATTTTTTGTACGAAATAGGATGACGATAATTTTCATTATATTTTTTCATATGTTTCCTTAGGATTGTCCATTGATTGGAATGTTACCCAGTATTTCCCGACCGGAAGATCTTATTCTCACTAGAATTGTTGTTCCCCCAGTTTGCATCAGACCATCTGTTGTCAGCGATCTTAAGGCAGGCAGGTCAGTGTGTTATATGAGATGATCTTTACTGGATCTGGTATAAATAATCTTTAGCTTTAGTTTAGTTTAGGTTTCCTCCTGTAGTAATATACTGGATCAATAAGAGATGATCCTTCCTGGACTTCTAGGAAAAACAGTTTAGAACTGATAGAGCTATCCAATATAAATAAAGTTAGTTTAGTTTAGGTTTCCTCCTGTAATAACATTGTATCAATAAGAGATGATCCTTACTGGACCTCTAGGAAGAACAGTTTAGAACTGATAGAGTTATCCATTATAAATAAAGTTAGTTTAGTTTAGGTTTCCTCCTGTAATAACATTGTATCAATAAGAGATAATCCTTACTGGACCTCTAGGAAGAACGGTTTAGAACTTATAGAGCTATATCCATGCAGTATAAATAAAGGTAGTATGTTATATTACCCCTGCTGGAACTTATCTAATTGAATCTAATGTTTCTTCTACAGCAATGAAGATGATGTTACGATGAAACTGACAGAGATTATATTTCTTAATGATGTCCTTCGCAAACACCGTTCAGGCGGTGCCAAAGTTCAAATGATTATTGTACGTTTCACAAATGAGTGTTGATGCGTACTTGATCTGTTGTGCAAAAAATAGAATGTCTCTCTTCAATTTATAGGAAGATTGGGATTTTCTACAGCTGCAGTGTGCTTTGTATATAAACAGCGAAACAACTGGGATTCCTTTGAGCATGCAGGTATTGCAAGCTTATAACTTTGAAATAGTATTAACAACTTCAAAAGTGAGAAGTGAATTGGATCCAACAAAGTTGGATTGTGTGACCAGGCCTGCCTTGAGCTTGCTAATAACAGTGTGTTCAGACCCACAACCTTTTGAATCGAACAAGATTTTCATCTTTTCCATCATCTTATCCTGAAAAGCCCCTTTGAAGTAAAAGTTATATTAGGGAATTGGGAAGCAATTTAAGGGGATATTAATTTACATGATCCCGCTTAGATGAGATTCAAAGAAATGTGAGAAGACTTTGAGGTGTTGAAATGAGTATACAACTTGATCCTGAGTCCCTGACAGTTAAGCCCTGGTCAAACGAGAATGATAGTTGATGAGAGTTGATGATAGTTGCAACTCTCGCTTGCGTTTGACCGCGAACTCTTCTACACTCTCGTGCACTCTCATCAACTCTCATCGACTTTGAACTGGTTCAAATTTTGATGAGAGTTGATGAGAGTTTGGGCGCGTTTGATCGGTCATGAGAGTTGATGAGGGTTGCAAAAACGCCAGCGGTTTGCATTTCGTAGCAGACTAGACTCTGACTGGTGACAGAACAATAGTGCAAAATGTTTGGAAAACTCTCGTGCGAACTCTCGCTTCTCACCTTTCATCAACTATCATTCCCGTTTGACCAGGGCTTAATATAGTGATTGTGACAATGATATATATGCTTCTTTAAAAAAAGTTGACCCATTCAAGAGAGATATAAGAGTGTTATTTAATTTTGACTAAACAGGCTTGATACGACCGCTCCGAGTACACTCTTTTCATTCCCAAACTCATTTCCTCGTTAAATCTCAGTTAAACAGCCACCCATCTAAATCCGCTATCATAATTTGCTTTGACATAATCTTTCATATAATATTCCACAGCCTAAAAAACCCACAAGAGGCTTCGTGCAAAGACTAAAGGGAAAACAAGGTCGTTTTCGTGGTAACCTTTCAGGAAAACGAGTCGATTTTTCCGGAAGAACTGTCATCTCACCGGATCCAAATCTAAGAATCGATCAGGTGAACACTGATGCGTAACACCACTTTTGTAGTGTTGTTTTTGTAGTTGTTGTTTATTTGTTTGTGTTTACGTCTCAGGTCGCCGTTCCAATCCACGTTGCGAAAATCCTAACGTACCCAGAGAAGGTGAGAAGCATTTTAAACAAACGAAATCCATCTTGTGTTTCTTGTGGAAAGCGAATGCAAGAGGTCTTTAAATGCTGTATGTTTTCATTTCAATAGGTAACGAAGGCAAATATAGATTTTATGAAAAAACTGGTCGAGAATGGAGCGACTGCCCACCCCGGAGCAAACTTTGTCATTCAAAAGGATACGAACATTAAAAAGTAAGAATTGGATTATATTTTTGAATACTGTATCTGAATAATGCTGTACTTTAAGATTTTGTTTCGTAAAGACTTCCATTAACTTATGGAGTTCTTTAATGGAACCATTAAACCATTAAAACTCTTTAATGGAACTCTTCCATTAAAGAATAAAACTCTTTAAATCAGATTTTCATGTATTTTCGTTCAAAATCTTCAGGTTTCTTAAATATGGAAACAGAAAGTTTATCGCGAAGGATTTGAAGGTAATGAATGCATCATTTTAAACTTGCGATAAAAATGAAATTCAAAGAACTGATTAAGATTATTTATTGACAGTTAGGGGATACTGTGGAACGTCATATGATTGACGGTGATATTGTGTTGTTTAACCGACAACCGTCGCTGCACAAACTCAGCATTATGAGTCATTTTGTAAGTAAAACCTCAACTAAACTAACTTTATTTATACTCGATAGCTCTATCAGTTCTAAACTGTTCTTCCTAGAGGTCCAGTAAGGATCATCTCATATTGATCCAGTGTTACTACAGAAGGAAACCTCAACTAAACTAACTTTATTTATACTCGATAGCTCTATCAGTTTTAAACTGTTCTTCCTAGAGGTCCAGTAAGGATCATCTCTTATTGATCCAGTGTTACTACAGAAGGAAACCTAAACTAAACTAACTTTATTTATACTGGATTGCTCTATCAGTTCTAAACTGTCTGCATCTTCTCTCGTTTTCCAGGCGGTGGTAAAGCCTCACAGAACTTTTCGTTTCAACGAGTGTGTTTGCACTCCTTACAACGCTGATTTCGACGGCGATGAAATGAATTTACATTTACCTCAGACAGAAGAAGCTAGAGCCGAGGCTCTCACTCTGATGGGGGTGAGGAAATGCTGTAATTTACTGGTTAACTCTCATTGGACTTATGCATGCAAATCTTCTTCTCAGTTGAATGATCATGGTGATGCTTGTGTTGTGTTTAGATGCTCTCATGCAAGGCCATGCAAACTCTTATTTACCGACTTGCATCAACTCTTGTTGCTCTCAATCCTAAATGGATTGCTTGTGGTTTTAGGTGAAGTCAAATCTTGTCACCCCGAGGAACGGGGAGCCCCTGATTGCTGCGATACAAGATTTTATCACAGGTTAGTGGTTGGAAAATCCCGTGGAAATGTCATACGTCAAAAGTAGGTCGCAATCCGACGAATGTTTGTTCCGATTTTAGGTGCCTATCTGCTTACACAAAAAGACGTATTCTTAGACAGAAGTCATATGACACAGTTGTGTGCGGCCATGTTGGCGGGCAAAGACATTGATATGAGGATAAATCTTCCCCCACCTGCTATTTTTAAGGTAAGTGTCCCAGTGAGGTCGAAACCTGAACTGAACTACTGTAATACTGGATAGCTGTATCAGTTCTAAACTGTTCCTCCTAGAGTTCCAGTAAGGATCATCTCTTATTGATCCAGTGTTACTACAGGAGGAAACCTAAACTAAATTAACTTTATTTATACTGGATAGCTCTATCAGTTCTAAACTGTTCTTCCTAGAGGTCCAGTAAAGATCATCTCTTATTGATCCAGTGTTACTACAGGAGGAAACCTAAACTAAATTAACTTTATTTATACTGGATAGCTCTATCAGTTCTAAACTGTTCCTCCTAGAGGTCCAGTAAGGATAAACTCTTATTGATCCAGTGTTACTACAGGAGGAAACCTAAACTAAACTAACTTTATTTATACTGGATAGTTCTATCAGTTCTAAACTGTTCTTCCTAGAGGTCCAGTAGGGATTATCTGTTATTTATCCAGTGTTACTGCAGGAGGAAACCTAAACTTTCATGAATTGCCTTATTTAGCCTGTTAAGCTGTGGACGGGCAAACAAGTGTTCAGTGTTTTGTTAAAATCTCACCGGGAAGCTTCAGTCAAGATGAATCTGCGGGTGAAAGGAAAACAGTACAGCAGTGGAGAGGAGTTGTGCAAGAATGACTCCTGTAAGATTCATACTGAACATAAATCTTCTAACTTTACGCAAACACAAAGCCTCGCAACATTGCCAATTCCGATGTCGTTTAGAATTGAAATTTGTCTTATCTTTTAGTTGTTGTTGTTCATAACAGCGAGTTAATGTGTGGTGCACTAGACAAGGCAGTTTTGGGATCTGGTTCTAAGAACAACGTTTTTTATGTTCTCCTGCGTGACTTTGGCCAACAGGTGATGGAAACTTAATTTTAGTAAACAATTGCAAACGTCTTTCCCAACATTACTAGTGAGACGCGAAAACATTTGCAATATTTGATTAAATTTCTAGTTTGCCGCCGATGCGATGTGGAAAGTGGCTCGTGTCTGTCCTTTCTTCCTCTGTAAGTATTGTTAACATCTTTCTTCCTGTGTAAGTATTGTTTAACATCTTTCTTCCTGTGTAAGTATTGTTTAACATCTTTCTTCCTGTGTAAGTATTGTTTAACATCTTCTTCCTGTGTAAGTATTGTTTAACATCTTTCTTCCTGTGTAAGTATTGTTCAACATCTTTCTTCCTGTGTAAGTATTGTTAACATCTTTCTTCCTGTGTAAGTATTGTTAACATCTTTCTTCCTGTGTAAGTATTGTTAACATCTTTCTTCCTGTGTAAGTATTGTTTAACATCTTTCTTCCTGTGTAAGTATTGTTTAACATCTTTCTTCCTGTGTAAGTATTGTTAACATCTTTCTTCCTGTGTAAGTATTGTTTAACATCTTTCTTCCTGTGTAAGTATTGTTAACATCTTTCTTCCTGTGTAAGTATTGTTTAACATCTTTCTTCCTGTGTAAGTATTGTTTAACATCTTTCTTCCTGTGTAAGTATTGTTAACATCTTTCTTCCTGTGTAAGTATTGTTTAACATCTTTCTTCCTGTGTAAGTATTGTTAACATCTTTCTTCCTGTGTAAGTATTGTTTAACATCTTTCTTCCTGTGTAAGTATTGTTAACATCTTTCTTCCTGTGTAAGTATTGTTTAACATCTTTCTTCCTGTGTAAGTATTGTTTAACATCTTTCTTCCTGTGTAAGTATTGTTAACATCTTTCTTCCTGTGTAAGTATTGTTTAACATCTTTCTTCCTGTGTAAGTATTGTTAACATCTTTCTTCCTGTGTAAGTATTGTTTAACATCTTTCTTCCTGTGTAAGTATTGTTTAACATCTTTCTTCCTGTGTAAGTATTGTTAACATCTTTCTTCCTGTGTAAGTATTGTTTAACATCTTTCTTCCTGTGTAAGTATTGTTAACATCTTTCTTCCTGTGTAAGTATTGTTTAACATCTTTCTTCCTGTGTAAGTATTGTTTAACATCTTTCTTCCTGTGTAAGTATTGTTTAACATCTTTCTTCCTGTGTAAGTATTGTTTAACATCTTTCTTCCTGTGTAAGTATCGTTTTCATATTTTTACAGCTCATCGTATACATCTAACAGCTGTGAAAAAATGGCCATTTTGAGGCTTATTGAATGGCAATTGAATGGCAATTTTGTTGGATCCAATTCACTTCTGATAGATGTTTAATAGTCTGTCGACTTGCAATGAATATGGGCAGCAAATACACCGAAGCCAATTCAGTATTACTTTTTCGATAACACACTACTTCCCATACGTCAGAGGTAAATTGGATCCAACAAAATTGAATCGTGTGAACAGATCTTTAGAGTATTCCTTTTCTTTGTCGCTCCACCGATCTGATAATAGACTGGATATAGCAACTATACCAAATATAGAAGGCTCCCCTAAGCTCTTGGATGCGATGTGAATATTCTGTTTATTTGGCTCTCCGGAAGCAAGTTCGTCAATTCCAGCTTTGATAGCCAACGTTTTCATATATATAGTTTCTATATTCGTTGAATTATCAGAACAGTGATTTCTATCTCGTGAATGTTTTAATGGTAAAACCGCTGGTATTCTCGGTCTATTTCAGCAAACAGGGGCTTCTCAATCGGTATTGGCGACGTCACACCTGGTCATGGTTTGCTGAAGGCGAAGGACGAGCTGTTAAATCATGGTTACACGAAGTGCGACGAGTTTATTCAGGATTTTAAAGAAAACAGATTGCAGACTCAACCTGGTTGCTCAGAAGAAGAAACACTAGAGGTCAGCGGCACTTATTTATGACCATTTGATTGTTTATTGTGTCTTAAGGTGTATTACTCACCTATTTACAGAACACGTTGGTCAAAGTAACTTCAATTTTAGATTCTAGAGTTCTAAATTTCAACCAGTCTGAGCTTTTCTTTTCATCAATATTTCCTTATTATATCACATATCGTTTAATCCTAGATCTATGAAGCCGGTTTTTCACAATCAGTTCCACGCAACTGTCGTATTATTGAGGTTTTCATTATATTTAGGCTGTTATCCTTCGTGAATTGTCTGTGATTCGAGACCACGCTGGAAAGGCCTGTCTTCGGGAGCTCCACAAGTCCAATAGCCCCTTAACAATGGCTGTCTGTGGATCAAAAGGTGAAATACTGTTTTATTACTCCAAGATTGTTAACTATCCAGTTTAAAAAAAAAGTTAGTTTAGTTTAGGTTTCCTCCTGTAGTAACACTGGATCAATAAGAGATTATCCTTACTGGACCTCTAGGAAGAACAGTTTAGAACTGATAGAGCTATCCAGTATAAATAAGGTTAGTTTAGTTTAGGTTTCCTCCTGTAGTAACACTGGATCAATAAGAGATGATCTTAATTACTGGACCTCATATACACGGAATGATAACTCTTTATATTCTTTTTTATACATGCAGGATCCTTCATCAACATATCACAAATGATTGCTTGCGTTGGACAACAGGCTCTGTCAGGAAAACGTACTCCGAACGGCTTCGAGAATCGATCCTTGCCTCATTTTCGAAAATTCGGTATGAATTAGACATCCATTTGACATCTTTTATGCAAATGAACAGTATAAGCATCTTCTCTTGATTAAAATACGATGTCTCTGGTTCTTTAGCCAAGTTTCCAGGTGCAAAAGGCTTTGTGAAGAACAGTTTTTATTCTGGGCTGACTCCAACAGAGTTTTTCTTTCACACAATGGCCGGACGTGAAGGTATAATCGGGGATCATTCTTGATGAACGATGGCCCAGTTAAATCACTTTTACTGACAGCTTAAACTGTTTCAACTTAGGCTTAGTTGATACGGCAGTTAAAACAGCCGAAACTGGTTACATGCAAAGACGTCTTGTTAAGGTAGGACTTAGATTTACAAAGGAATCGAGAAAATAGCTAATGGTTGATTATTAAAATCATTCCTGTGAACCTCAGTCAATCAACCTTGAAAGATTATTGTACATTAACGTTGACAGAAAAGGCATTTACAACACGTTGTATGTATTCTCGTCTTTTAGTCATTGGAAGATTTATCTATCCAGTATGATATGACTGTTCGAAATTCGGTGGGGGAAATTGTCCAGTTCGTTTATGGCGGGGATAGTCTGGACCCTGCTTCGATGGAGGGAAAGGATAGACCAGTTGATTTTGACCGTATCTTGGCGCATGTCCAGGTAAGGAACTTTATGCTTTCTTGTGCTTAAGAAGAGATCTTTTTCTATGTCGCGTAATATTTGCTTAAAATCTTGGTTATACCATCATGAAACAGTACTAAAATTTTCAACATTAAAAATGTTTTGCAAACCCTAAAAGCATCTAAAAGGAATGTTTACTATATAATCTAAAAATATTATTAAAATGAAACGATTTCTCGGGATACGGCGAATGGAAAATAATACTTTAATCGAAGGTACTTTTGTATTTATTTCAGTGATAATGGCGTTGACATTTATAACATTGTTGGTAGCCATTATATTTTGAAATAACTCTTGTCTTTTGGTGTTTTACAATCAACAAATACAGTTCAAAGCTTAGTTCACAACATAATCTAAGGAATAAAGTTAAAATAAATGAACTTTAAGTGATACGCCGAAATGATTTTATGTTTTGAACGTTTTCCCGCCAAAACTCGCGAAGTATATAAAAGGATCTCCTCTTAGGAAACAGTTTACTGTCGAAAACAAGCTACTATATTCCTTATTTTCAATTATATTTCCTCAGTCATCCGTGCCCGATCAAGAATCGTGTGTATTATCAGCCGCGGAGATTAAAGATCAGACTGCTTCTGTTTTGAACGAGGAAAAATATCAAACTTGCAGCGATGAATACAAGAGAGGATTGAGGTAGAGGTTTTCAGCTGTGGTGTTCGGATCCATTTACAATTCTTTGCATTTATTTGAAGCTTCTTGTTTCTTTAGGAAATTTACGGACAAGTTGAGCGATAAAGTGGCTGATTTACACTCTCGTTATAGTTTTCCGGAGACGTAAGTAATGTTGATACTGGATGATTAGTTCTAAATTGTTCTTCCTAGAGGTCCAGTAAGGATCATCTCTTATTGATCCAGTGTTACTACAGGAGGAAACCTAAACTAAACTAACTTTATTTTTACTGGATAGCTCTATCAGTTCTAAACTGTTCTTCCTAGAGGTCCAGTAAGGATCATCTCTTGTGATATAAGGTCAACTTCGTTATATTTAAGACTGTTCCACTCAGTATGTTAATCTTATTCAAATCCACTTTTAGAATGCAATCCAAACCAGTAAAAGGAAGACTTGGTTTGGGTGAGTCTCATCTTCTCTTTTTATTAAGAGCTAGTCCAATGAATGCCGATTCAAAACGTTTTCATGTATTTTCCCTCAGCTGTGGAGTGGGTGTCAAGATGCACCTCACTTCAGTTGCGAAAATTTATCGACATTTGTCACGAGAAGTTTATGAAAGCGAAAATTGAGCCCGGGACAGCGGTCGGCGCCGTGTGCGCGCAGAGCATCGGAGAGCCTGGTACCCAGATGACCTTAAAGACTTTCCATTTCGCTGGAGTGGCCTCTATGAATATCCTTTTCCCAACTAACATGTGATTTTCCTTCAGAAATAAGTGCATGTAGCAGGTGCATGTTCCATCCAGTCTTAGTATTTATATCGGTGATGTCTTTGCTTGTTTGTTCTCCTTAATTGATGTTCACATATTACCCTGGGAGTCCCTCGTATCAAGGAGATCATCAACGCGTCACGTTCTATCAGTACGCCAATCATATCGGCGGGTCTCGTCAACGAGTCGGACCCGGACGAGGCGCGCATCGTTAAGGGGAGACTGGAGAAGACCACGCTGGGAGAGGTGAGAAAGAAATGAAGTTAGGCTTGTTTTTGGAATGCGTTGTTGCAGGGGGGTTATGCGAAGCCATGTTGCAGCATTCAGGGGGGGGGGGTAAATACTACGCAAATCTAGGTTACCAGATCGTGTTCAGTTTGTGATGTTTTTGGGTGATGGTAGGGAGTAATGCCTCAGTTCAGGATTGTTCGGGACCGAAAATAGTCAAACCCTGTATACACTGCAGCTTAGTCCAATGCCAAATTGACTGTAGACGTTACTTTAAAAGATCAATCGGTAAATAAAATAGACAAAAACACTTGTCGAAATTCGATTTCGTCAGAAGAATCAAGAATATAGTGTAAAATAACTATCCTTTTTTAGGTGACAGAGTATGTGGAAGAAGTTTTCGCTCCAGACAGCTGTGTTTTATTTATAAAGTTAGACTTGAATCGAATAAAGCTTTTGAAGGTAATTGAATGACTTTAGATATTTCAATCCGATGAATGACTATAGATATGTCAATCCATCTTTTTTGTGTGTGTCGAAAGTCCTCAAGAGGTCTTCTTTTGCAAAAGTAGTTTCGACATGTTCAGATTAATACTTTATCTTTCATCAGCTTGAGGTTAATGCAGAGACAATCGTGTTTTCCATTTGCACGGCGCCAAAGCTCAAAGTAAAACGTCAGGTAGGCTTTGAAATTTCACGAGTAATTTCACAACCAGCATCAGCGAATTTTAGCTTTGTGTTCATCGTTTGAAACGAAGTAAAATTGAAGCAACATGTAAAGAAATAAACGAAAGGGAATCGTGAAGAGAATTATCCAGAATGAAATTGGATTTGATACGGTTTTGTTTAATTTTCTTTAGCATATTCACATTTTGAGTCCGTGTATCATCTGCGTTTATCCACAAGAAAACAGCAAGAGTGCCTTGCATTTTGTCATGCAAACGCTGAAGAAATCTTTACCTAATGTTGTTATCAAGGTTGGTCACATTATAGGATTAAACTGGTTATATTTTGTATCCTGCATAGTTCTACCAGTTCTAAACTGTTCTTCCTAGAGGTCCAGTATTGATCCAGTATTACTACAGGAGGAAACCTAAACTAAACTAACTTTATTTATACTGGATAGCTCTATCAGTTCTAAACTGCTCTTCCTAGAGGTCCAGTAAGGATCATCTCTTATTTATCCAGTGTTACTACAGGAGGAAACCTAAACTAAACTAACTTTATTTATACTGGATAACTCAATCAGTTTTAAAATGTTCTAGGGAATGAAAGGCGTGACGCGTGCTATTATCCATATCGACGAAGAGAAATCGAAGCCTGGTCAGGAGAAATATAAATTATTGGTAGAAGGAAATGACTTGCGAGGTGTCATGGCAACCGTGGGTAAGACCACCATAACAAAAGCCTCTCTGGAATAATAACATCCGTAAACGACCTTTGACTGAGCTGGTTTTAACTGAACTGTGTTGCAGGTGTGAAGGGAACAGCGACATCTTCAAACAACACTATTGAGGTCGAGCGTGTTCTCGGTATTGAGTCTGCGCGGTGAGTGTTTACTGTGTATAATACGTCGTGTTTTGATTTTGCAAGAGGTCTCGCTGATTGTCGTAAAGGCCCATTTACACCATGCAATTTCTCGTATACGATTCGTACCCTGGCGTATGTGAACGAATGAACACACTACAAACGTGACACATTAAATTCCAACCTGAACAATATGAATGAAGAGTGTGGCATAGGCCCTCTTTTGCATCCGTCAGAATGATAATTGCATACAACTTATGGTGTAGTCTAATTAGGCCTTAATACAACCCAACCTTATAGTGCAAATGACCAGTTAAAACTATTTGCTTTTGCCTACCAAAGTGAGTATCTGCGTCTACAATTGCTCGGAAGCTTATTCAAAGAAAAGTCGAAAATACAAATCGAGTTTATTATTTAAAAATAGGTATGCAATGCATACATGTGGGTAGCCTCCAAAGCATTGGCAAAGATTTTCAAGTTTTGTTCAATGTCAAATGACAGGCCGCAATAATGGCGGGGAAATCAACTGCATGATGCTTAGTTTTACGTTCTAATGCCATAGGCAAAGGCAAAAATGGGCTAGTTTGCTAGTTGGGTACAGTTATAACAAAGTAGACATAAGAAGAATCAATGAAATACCAATGAAATACCATTTCTGCGAGTCATTTATCTGAAAGTTTAGGCCAGTTTACACCGATCAGACTGACAAAATTTCGGCTCTGCCCAGTCTCTTTCGTAGATAAACAAACTCGGCGGACAGACATGCATCATCGCTCATCGTTTTTACCGTATAGCATAGTGGGTAGCCCGCGAACGGGCTACCCACAAATATTGTTTCCAAATCGAATGGGGACCATTTTTGTTTCTCAGAAAGCGAGTTTGTTTCAACAACATTGTTTCGAAACGCGAAGACCCACGAACCACAATTTTTTGGCGACAATATATATTTCTTATTACACGCTGGTCCAACTTAGCTAAGTTTCTCCCACTCGTGCGGGCTCATGTTGTCAGCGGACAACTTACACAAAATTGAGAGCAGAGCGTAAAACGAAAAGCTTTTAATTTTTTATGCGAAGACCGCTGGAAAACTGAGCCCTCTTTACCGGGAGAAAATTTGCCGAATATGACCAACGTGTTATCTTATACTGAGTTTCCCCAAGGCTGACACATAGTTTTATAGCCTCAGTCATTCGCGAAATATGCGATACCGATATTTCAATTGCTCCTGGCAATTTAATAGTTAACATTTGATTTGATTTCTGCAGAGTAACGATTATTAATGAAATTGTCTATACGATGACGAATCACGGTATGAGTATTGACGCCCGCCATGTCATGCTGTTAGCGGACTTAATGTCTTTCAAGGTATGCGATAGGTCTATTTCTTAAAGATATTTAAAGCTTTGCGATGAAATGAAGGTGATGTGATTGTTTTATTTTTACTCAGGGCGAAATCCTTGGCATAACAAGATTTGGTTTGGCGAAAATGAAAGAAAGCGTACTTATGTTAGCCTCGGTGAGTGTGAACACTGATTTAAAAGCAACTGGAACGCGTCTTTTTCAACAGAAGACGTTAGGAAAATATTAGTGAAATAACTCAAGTCGAAGACTGTAAAATATTTGACAATACGAATAGCAAGATTATAGTGAGTAAATAATTCAAAGAGGACGGGGTAATGTTTATAGTTTGTCCACTTTTTAGTTTGAGAAAACTGCTGACCATCTATTCGATGCCTCGTTCCACGGAAGAAAGGACTCCATTGATGGTAAATACTGTAGCGTTTATGTAAAAACTAGACAGTAAACCTAAGACGCTTTACTTTAAGCCTGACAAACTGGTCAGACCAATACAAGTTGTTAAATCAACTTGTTAATCAAACGAAATGGAGTGTTTCGTTAACTGAATATAGCGGTGAAACTGCATTTCCCGTACTAGAAAGATGTAAATAACGATATACTTGAATGCAGAGTTCTTAAAACTTTTCAAAATGCCAGTATTCTGTCTATTGAAATACAACAGGATCGGTTTGGCCGTTTTTACCGTGACGAGGAGGGAGGGCCCGCATTCGATAAGCGTTGTTGTGATGAAACATTGATAATATCCACTGAAGTCTAGCTTTGTTTACAGGAGTCAGCGAATGCATTATAATGGGAATTCCTATGACAATCGGCACGGGGATGTTTTCCCTTCTTCACAAATATCCTTTTGAAATAACTTGAAACAGCAAGACTGTTAACAACGCTCTGAAATTACTAGCTTTTATACGTTTGTGGACTCAACCGCTTCAACCTGGCTTGTTTAAAATGTATTAAATTATACTTATGAAATCAACGATTGAATAGTTGCATAGGGTTGGATTCTATTGATGATTCGGTGTGTGTTTCTGGGTTAAAGTAATTTATGCAACAACTTAGAAGACACTTTGGCCTGCTTCCCACTGTTTTTGCACGCACGAACACGCACGTAAAAGTCTAAATGCTTATATAAGATATCTTTAAAGAAACTAAGTGAATAAATCGAAAGAAGTTAGTTTTCAGCGTATTTTAGTACGCATTTGTTGACCAAGATGTTAAAAAATAAAAATTTAAAAGCATTTAAATTTTTACGTGCGTACAAAAAACGCGACCGTGGAAAGTGGAAAGCAGCTCTTATGCGAAAAAGCACTATCGCTCTTTCAAGGTGAAATTTATGCAAAGCAAATGCTAATTTTCCGTCACTTCTTTCATCTGCATTTTCCTTAATATTATTTCACATCGAACATTGATAGCACACCACCACAGCGACCTCTGTTGTTTGATAACCCTGAATTTCACATCCCTGGCTGCGAGCCAAGGTGACAACAGTGAAGGTATGTTTATAGTAAGTAAACGTAGTATAGTAACTAGATGTATATCTTTGATCTAATGTTACTATACGTTGCATGAAGAAAACCTAAACTAACTTTATTTATACTGGATAGCTCTATCAGTTTTAAACTGTTCTTCCTAGAGGTCCAGTAAGAATCATCTCTTATTGATCCAGTGTTACTACAGGAGGAAACTTAAACTAAACTAACTTTATTTATACTGGATAGCTGTATCAGTTCTAAACTGTTCTTCCTAGAGGTCCAGTAAGGATCATCTCTTATTGATCCAGTGTTACTACAGGAGGAAACCTAAACTAAACTAACTTTTTTCATACTGGATAACTCTATCAGTTCTAAACTATTCTTCCTATACAGGTCCAGTAAGGATCATCTCTTATTGATCTAGTGTTACTACAAGAGGAAACCTAAACTAAACTAACTTTTTTCATACTGGATAACTCTATCAGTTCTAAACTATTCTTCCTATAGAGGTCCAGTAAGGATCATCTCTTATTGATCTAGTGTTACTACAAGAGGAAACCTAAGTATAAACCAAACTATCAAAAGTTGAAATCAGAACTTTTGTTTGTTAACGTTGTCGCTCGTGATATTTCGATATCTGTTACGTTATCAATGTTTCCTAATCTCCACCTGACGCGTGCCGCACTTTACTCATGTCAGAAAATAAAAACAATCAAATCTTTATTAAAATATTAACAATCGAATTCCTTGTTAACCTCGTGACATAACGCGTGCCACGGTATTTGCAAATCGCACATGTTTTGAGATAACTCGATCACGCTAGACATTTGGTTAATAGACATGATATTTATGAGATTTCGCTGGCGTCCGGCGTGCGATTTTATCTTTTCAAGGTGAAGATTAAATGCGCTTTTTATTCTAGTATATAAGTCTTAAATCTTACTGTGTAACTCCCTGAGTATCACTAGTTTTGAACTGGTATAGCTAGTGTAGTTTAGGTTTTCGTCCTGGACCTCTAGGAAGAACAGTTTAGAACTGATAGAGCTATCCAGTATAAATAAAGTTAGTTTAGTTTACGTTTCCTCCTGTAGTAACACTGGATCAATAAGAGATAATCCTTACTGGACCTCTAGGAAGAACAGTTTAGAACTGATAGAACTATCCAGTATAAATAAACTTAGTTTAGTTTAGGTTTCCTCCTGTAGTAACACTGGATAAATAAGAGATGACCCTGGCTGGACCTCTATAGGAAAAACAGTTTAGAGCTATCCAGTGTCAAAAAAGTTAGTTCAGTTTAGGTTATACCAGACTAATTGATAACACACGCGCTCAGAATGACTTTTCATTGGCGAGGGGGAGCGATTACGGCAGGATAAAGCAATGATGAATGGTTGCAAAGACAACAGACGCCGTATAACGTTTTACAAAAGATAAATTTAGTGTAGCGAGTCGGGCGCGTGTCAGGCATTGTATAGTAAGGCAATTATTCCTGATAATACTTACGATAAAGCTTGTCTTGTGATTAACTTTCATCACACAAGGCATGAATTAATGATCCACTTAATATTGTCGCGTTTTACAATTGAGAGGTAATTATTGGCAAATGAATGTAGTTTAATAGCGTTGTAGGCGACGTGGGTAGCCGAATGCTCGTGATTATTTGAAGTGTTAGGTGTTAATCCTTGGGAACTCATTAGGAGCATTTTAACTGGTGAGCTATTATCCGGCTATATTAGGAACTATATATATGGCGAACGGTTAAAATCAGAGCCGCATGTAAAAGAATCGATCCTCTTGTGGAAAAATCACATAGTGGATGATTTTTGATGGACCGCTGGGAACTGATAGACCCATGTAGTATAAATAAAGTTAATTTAGTTTAGGTTTCCTCCTGTAGTAACACTGATTTCCCTAATTCAGTCTGCGAGCAGGCTACACTGAATCAATAAGAGATGATCCTTACTGGACGTCTAAGAGGAACAGTTTAGAACTGATAGAGCTATCCAGTATAAATAAAGTTAGTTTAGTTTAGGTTTCCTCCTGTAGTAACACTGGATCAATAAGAGATGATCCTTACTGGACGTCTAGGAGGAACAGTTTAGAACTGATAGAACTATCCAGTATAAATAAAGTTAGTTTAGTTTAGGTTTCCTCCTCAGGCTGTAGTAACACTGGATCAATAAGAGATATTCCTTACTGGACCTCTAGGAAAAAAACTTAGCTATAAGCTTAGGTTTCTCTGATATACTAGAAGAAAGACCCTGGATGATTTATCGAGTTATTGCAGACATATTTGCTCAGTCAGAGTAAACACAAACATGCTCTATTTACAGTGTTATATATTTTGTAATCTGGTCCAGGTGGCCCTTGTCAAATGGCAATTGCGTCAGCCAGTGAAAGGTTGCATTGTGCTGATAATTAACGGTCCTTTTTTACTGAGTAGAAGCATAGATTAAGGCAAAGTTGAAAAAAAACAGTTTAGTTTAGGTTACCTCCTGGATCAATAAGATATGATCCGTTCTGGAGGGCATTTAGGGAGACTAGATTAGAACTGATAGAGCTATCCGGTATAAACAATTTCTTTCTGTAGCAACACATATGATAAATGCTAGCTTCTTGCGTTAAGAGTCATTAAAACTTAACATTTTCTTTATTTAGTGTTTGTTGAACTCGAGTTTGGTCAGAATCTTGTGTTTTGTTCGTTGTTTTGGCTGAAGGCGATTGTAAAAACGAAGCATCATGATGTGACCGTTTATTGGAATCTTGTATTTGGGGACAAGGCATCTTCCGTAACTCATTTTGACGTTTCTGTGTTGTGTATGTTTGAGGAATATAGTCTATTATTACAGAGGTAAACTTTTTTCATGCTTGCATGGACATAAATTATAAATCAAACGGGTGGCATAACAAAATCGTATCGCAAAATTTGGGACCTCATGTGGAGTAAGTTCAATGCAACTCTTGTGATTTAGTATTTGCATAGTTTGGCGCCAAAATCATGCTGCCTGTTGTTGTTATTCGCAGGCTGCCTGAAAGGAATTAAAAATGCAGTATATTTAAAGCATTGTTAAAGTCGTTGAATGGATGAATAATTAAGCTAGCGTGGACCTCGTGGTATACGGCTTCATGTCATGATGATAATATCTTAATGATTCTATCGCCGTCAATGTAAAAAAACAATTCATCGCAAACGATACAGCACTACACAATGTGTCGTGGCATACCTTAGCATGGTTTCAAAACATACCTTAACAGCATATCGTGCCAGATTAATAACATATGATACCTTATCTTAACCGTAGCAAATAGTAACAATATCTTGGCCATAGTAATTCTACATCTCGTAATTAACCTTAACAAATATTTCAACTTCATAGTTAACCATAGTAACGCATCGTACCAAAACATATACGTTACCATAGCTTCCTATGATATACCATAGCTTGTATGCCTTAAAATCACCATAACTATACCTCAACATAGTACAGCGATCTGCTTACCTTAGCTATATTTCTTAAACCCCCCCCCCTTCCTGATTTCTTGCATGCGTGGCACTTATTCAAACTGTCTCTGCACACTCTAGATTCTAATCATGGCCATTAGTAAACACTTGAATTGTATGAAACTATTCGCTTAATGATTTGATTTTGAAGCGCCGAAATTCAATCTACTCCCCCAAATAGAGTAATTCATATTAAATCATATATCCCCTAAATCGGTGAATGCTTTAAAGTTTCATCAAACCTTCAACAATTCATCTTGATAAACATTTAAAAAAATTTATACATGTTCCTACACTTTAGTTCATTTCACGCGCTCAAAATCAACCAGTAAATTATGGGGATGCTTGCCAGTAAAGTATATACATATATATGTTTGAACCTTGAAGAATTGCATTTAATAATATTGTGGGCGCGTGCCATTGATTTGATTAAGTACCATGGCACGCGTTTGTTAAGCCTTCTTTAATTATTTTCAATATTGGCATGGTTCGTGAGACGCCAAGACTTATGACAGCTCTGAAGATTTGACAAGGATTCCTCGAGAATTCGCGAACGAACTAATTAGAACAAGAGAAACGCCCAGAAATATCGCTGGCTTTTGTGCCAAGAAGGCCTCGAAAATGGCAAAATTCGATCAAAAGTTTTGGCTATTTGCGAAGCATTGACCGTGACGTATTTAACACACAATTTCGCAAAGTAAATAAGTCGGAAGATAAAAGATTATCCAGTAACAAAACTCTCGAATTTCAATCGAGTAAAAAGGTCCAAAACACTTCTAAATGTTACAATACAACTTCGGTTTTGTTTGATTTGAATGAATTTGTTACAATGAAACTTCTGGGAATGCTTTTCGTTCCTTCAAACAATCGAAGCGTTTTAGGCGGTTGTGGTTGCATGTGGGCTTTGACAAATTAGTGTACTAAAGAATTAGTTTAAAAACTTCACAAAGCCACAAATATTCGTGAAAGAAGCGTAGCAAAACGCGCATAAAGCCAAAGGTTTCTGCGACGAATGTAGTTAAACTAACAATTAGACAAGTGTCCATGTTCTAATTAGCAAAGCATGTTACTAAATGTTTTCTTTACAAAATTATCCGTCTGGCACAAGTATCGCTTGGGTAAATCCACAAACGAATGTTTTTGCCGTTTCCAAACAAGCGTTAATTGCCGAAGGCAAACACCGCCCCAAAATTGCTAGGAAATAGATGTGGATTTACCTTGATAAACGAAGCAGGCGAAATAATTAAACATGTCATTCGGATACAACCATCGCAGAGTAGAATTAGTTTTGTATTTGCAAATTTGGGGTGTTTGTAAACCCTATTCAATATGTATTCACGACAAAGCAAATATCACCTAACAAAGAGTGTTTTAATATAAAAATTTTTCTATATATAGCTTGTATACAAATGTGAGTTTGATAAAAGATTTAAAAAGATTGGATCTCTTCTTTAAAATGTACAAAATTTGCTGGTCGCAACTTTGAGTTTCTATCGAGTGAGGACGATATCGACTGAGCGTTGATTGGCAATCAACGGCCTTCGTGTTTATCTCGTCCACAGGAAGTTACCAGAAGCATATAGCATGCAATGTGTATAATATATACAATAATATATTCTCAATATCTCTCAATAAAATATATATCTCTAGTATTCTGCCTGGCAGGATTGGTGTCCGTTTACTAAGCTTTAGCGAGGAACTCATTTAATTAAACAATATTATAATTATAATCAATGATTATAATTCTTCAATTTCTTTTGTATCGCTTCCTGATGCCACGGCAAACTTTGTCCAATCGATTGCTAACATAAAACGCCTTCAGAGCGTTCATAGATGCATTGAATATCACTGTTTATACCCGCGAAGATAAACATCCAGTTCAGCGTCGTTAATACCGTAATCAAAGTCCTAAAGACAACAAAAAGCAAACAAGTATTAAAATCCGTTTGATCCTCGCAGAGCGAGAAGGAGTCGCATTAGAAAAGATTTAATCGTTCTGTAAGCGTTTGACTAACATTGCCACAATTACAAAGTCGTTAAGCGCATATGTAGCACATTAAAATCTTATCAAGAAGCGGTGTGTACGTGTTTGTAATAGTATTTTTGTGTGAATTTCATGTGGCTATTAATCGTGTTGCAAGTTTGCCTAATAATCTCCGTATACGCAAGTTCTTGAAGTATACCGAAGTTACATTTTATGTTCTGGATTTTTGGTGTGGAATAAAAAGCGACGTATCCCCGTTGGTTGTAAACGAATTTCGTGAAATAAGAGCATGCAAACATATGTAATTTAATAGTCAAACTTAAAAAAGATACAATTAATCATAGCCTGTAGCCTGTAGGAACTTATAGCCGAGCTGCAGGGTAGGCAAGAATGTCCAACTATTAGTGTTGCAATTAAGTTGAAAAGTTGTTACTTTTCGATTCAATTTTGTTCCTAAATATAGAAATTGCAAAATAATTCTGCCGTGAAGTCGGTCCACGCTTGATTTTACGGGTGGCTGGATAGTGGAGTTTCTTTTATCTAAAGCATATGAATAAGCTTAATCTCACCTCGTTTGAAGCGGTGTCATAACAGGCATATTGTGTGTTCGGTTCAGGAGATAAGCAATCCTCTAACGTGGGACTGCTTGGTTCCTGGTCGCCAGAGCTGCAATCGATCAACATTGACCTCCCGTACAACATACTCGAATATGCCGACTGGCTACCGTAGTTCATGGCTTGATCGAAGAACATTGGTGCTGTCAAAGCAGTCATCGTGAAACTTGTTGCAGAATTTGCGCTTTGCAGACATTCGCTGAGGTCTGTGATGTAGTCGATTGCTTGACGGAGCACCTCGATTTTCGAAAGTTTTTGCGGATTTTGTCTGTCGAAGCAGGGTACTTTTTTGCGTAGACTTTCCAGTGCGCTGTTGAGGACGTGCCGCCGTTTTCTCTCACGGGCACTGGCTTTCAGACGTCGCGTTTTGTCGAGTACCACCCACTTTCTGTAGCGCGGTTTTGCTTGGAGCTCCTTTGCAACCTCCTGAACGCCATTTGTGTCCTCGGCATCGTCGACACATGGCGAACTCAACGATGTTTGGTAATCGTTCATTGTTAAAGCAGCACTTGCTACGAATTGGGGCTGTTGCGACGCAGGGAGTGTGTGTATAAACGAGCCCAACACGCTGAATGTAACTGACACAAATGATCTCGCGGCTTTGTTCCGGCGCAGTTATAAAGAAAGCCTTGAGTACACGCGCCTGCTCTCTGGCCTATGAAATGCGCTCTCAAACAATGGCTCGCCTGTCAGTCATAATGACAAAGCGTCAAGGCCGCCCCATTCATTCAGTAATCACCAACTAAATTGCCAGCACGTGCCATTGAGAACTCAATGTCATTTTGCGTGAATGGGTCTTAATTGACTCCGCAATACTTAAGCATGCTCAAAAAGCATGCTTTTTAACAATGGGCTCGTCGGACTCGGGACTGTGTAGTATTTTATAAATGCCTGTCGTTCGGTTATCGGCATGCGTCGCTATAATTCGCTACAATACAATGTTTGCAACTTTTTCCAATGTCTGGCGAAACAAGTGCCATTATAAAAGGAATTTGTAATTATATGAAGAGGAATTTTTGTTTTTTTATCATCACGTTTGTAGTAAAAAAAAGTATAAAAATTTGGGCGAATATAATTTCCATATCGAAGCGCATGAAATGATGTTAAGCTAGACTGTGTCTGTCTTAACATAAGATCACTTCAAAAAAGCTTATATTCATTAATACTAATAGGTAGTCAATTTACAATCGTTACATTATCAAACCCGGTTGGCTTTGCATTAGATACAACAGCTCCTAACGACTAAAGTTGTTTGAAATTAGTCTATATTCAAAGACCTGCAGAATCGTTGCAGGATGAGCACCCATGCTTCACTGACCCAGGAAAAAATTTCGTTAACTCGTCGAAATTTGAAATAAGTAGGTGTTGAAGACCACGTGGTAGGCTGTTACATGAACATGAGGAGTTTTTTAGGCTGGTGAAAGACATGTGACAGCACGAGTTGTTGTACTGAATATCACCGTGTGAACAGATTCGGCAGGCTAGCCCGCTTTGCCTTGCCCACGTGTAGTATTAAACGATAATTGATATGTCTGTTGGAAACACGGGAAGTCGCTGTCAAAGCCTATCATACCAATTTAAGCTTCCCAAATCAGGAAATCACGGCGAATGCCATGCAGTAATCTCCGTAAGGAAGTTATCAGCTCGAGCCGGCTGTAGAAGTTTATTTTGATCGACGAAGCAGTGTTGTTACATGAATCCGATGATAACAGTGTGTCGAGTCGTGATGAATCACGCCATATATTTATGGGGTAAGGATACCGCCCCATAACTTCGATCCCCCTCGCTCCCACCGCCGCCCTTCGGGAGTGAAAAGAACTCGAAGTTTTGAAATTGTTGCAAAATCCGGCGTTTAGTAAACGTGTCTGAATTAGTAAAGCATGCGCAACTGATTAGCTGTAATCTACAAGCCCTCATGTCGTAACATTTGATACCATTGAGAATACCGTTTACTCATTACCGATCCCCTGTAGTACACAACTGATCCACTGTTGGCTTACCCTATCTATCCCTTAAGTTTCTTTGCTCAAAGACAGTAAATTGCGAACTATCAAAGCCTTCCAAAACGAAATCTCGAAGGCAGAAGACAGCCAAATTAGTTTCATAAATGCATGGTCAATGTTGCGTTGTAAGACTGCAAGCGTGCTTCAAAGAGCCCTTTTCAGAGAGCAACTTCGACCGACTTTTGCGTGTTGATTCAAGATATGCGAGAATTCAGTTTTTTTCACTTGATATAGCTATGTAAACATGTCAGTTTTATTAAACAGGCACTTAATTTTTAATTTTGAAATGCGTAGTTCGCCGTAATGAAGAGTATTAGTCTTGGGCAGGAAGTTATGAAAATATTCTTGCATATAACAATCGTAAACATCCGGCTGACGTGTTTGGTGTTTTTTCTAAAACTAATTACCATGAGCAAAAATTTAGGAAGTTATGCCTCCTGTGTAAATTTAGGTGATTCAATTTTAATACACTGCCGATATAACACTACACGTTTCATGTTACTCAGTCAATGGACAGATATGAAAAAAAATCAGTTACAGGAGAGGACCTTATTTAACCAGTGTTACTATAGGAGGAAACCTAAACTAAACTAACTTTATTTATACTGGATAGCTCTATGAGTTCTAAACTGTTCTTCCTAGAGGTCCAGTAAGGATCATCTCTTATTGATCCAGTGTTACTACTGGAGGAAACCTAAACTAAACTAACTTTATTTATACTGGATAGCTCTATCAATTCTAAACTGTTCTTCCTAGAGGTCCAGTAAGGATCATCTCTTATTGATCTAGTGTTACTACAGGAGGAAACCTACACTAAACTAACTTTATTTATAACTTTAGCTCTATCAATTCTAAACTGTTCTTCCTAGAGGTCCAGTGAGGTCCTATCAGTATCTCTGTTCTTCCTAGAGGTCCAGTACTACAGGAGGAAACCTAAACTAAACTAACTTTATTTATACTGGATAACTATCAGTTCTAAACTGTTCTTCCTAGAGGTCCAGTAAGGATCATCTCTTATTGATTCATGCAGTGTTACTATACAGGAAGAAACCAAAAATATAGTAAAGTTATTTATAAAGGATAATATTACCGTTTTAAACGTTCCTTCCTAGAGGTCAAGTGAAGATAAACTCTAGCGTCGACAGGGGGGTGGGAAAGTGGTATAATTATCTATGGATAAAAGGGACTTTGGTCTGTTCGAACTGCAAAAAGATGCGTGCTCCCTGCCTTTAGGGCTATTCCTATTGGAGAAACGTCCCTGATCACGGTTGGATGAAACCCAAGCCACTTTCTGCAATGTATGCGCACGGTGATGCTGATTGCTGACCCGTCGCCAGTCTGTCCGTCTGCAACGCTTAATAAATGTGAGATAAAATCTTTTGACGCATTAGTGCGCCTTCATGCACAAATCGGGCCTGCCTGAAACTAAACAAATTAGACCATATTACTTTTCGAGAACTTAGCGAGTGTCAAATTGTTTGTTGACACTGCCAAATTAGCAATTATGTAGTTTATTTTCTTTTCCATTGTTTTGTTTGTTTTACAAGTTTAAGTGCCGTGAAAAAATCTTAAATAAACGCTAACGTATTTATGTTAGATTGCTATATCAAAGCTCATCACATATTGATGCAATGTTGATGATGCATAATTACTACAAGACGAAACCTAACCTGAAATAACTGAAAAGCGCTATCATTTCCAAATTGTTTTTCCTATATACTAGTATGTAGCTTCAGTGTTACTACAGGAGGAAACCTAAACTATAAACTAACTTTATTTATACTGGATAACTCTATCAGTTCTAAATTGTTCTTCCTAGAGATCCAGTAAGGATAATCTCTTATTGATCCAGTGTTACTACAGGAGGAAACCTAAACTAAACTAACTTTATTTATACTGGATAGCTCTATCAGTTCTAAACTGTTCTTCCTAGAGGTCCAGTAAGGATCATCTCTTATTGATCCAAACCTAAACTAAACTAACTTTATTTATACTGGATTACTCTTGTTCTAATCTAAACTTTTCTTCCTATAGATGTCTGAAAGAAATTATAATTGTTTGATCCAGTGATAATATGGAAGGAAAAGGTAAATATAGTTTGATTTTTACTATAATTAGCTCCCTTAGGACATTCTTCACTGATGCAACCAGTGACCAGGCCATCAAAAGAGTGCTTTAGCAGTGACTACGAATAAAAGATTCGTCCAAACTAGGGACTTCCCGCCCCAAACTCGGTGCTTTCCGCCCCAAACTCGGTGCTTCCCGCCCCAAACTCGGTGCTTTTGCGTACGCCATCTACCTCGCAAACTAGGCTTTTTTCACCTTCACTTCTGAACGACGAAGTTAATCAACAAACTCGTACGTAATGATTGGCGATTACGAGTTTTGGCTGATGGCGTGAGCAAACAACGCGCGAAAATGACGAATCTTAGTCGTATTTCTAGTCATTGATAAAGCTCCCTCCTGAATACATTTACCGCGTCAAGTGTACCACGCCGTTGAAAGGTTCAAGAGGCGGGGGGGGGGTGGAAGCTGCAGCCTCTGAGATTTAGTGATTTAAGTCCGGCAATTTTTGATGAACCATACGCATAAATCTTGAATTGAATTTGCATGATTTACAAAAATTAACTAGTGTATACCTAGGTTCTCCAGGCTCTCTTTGATAAAGTAGTATAACAACTGGCTAAAATAGACAAAACACTTCTCGACGTTTCGATCTGAGGGCCTTCATCAAGAGAGTTTGTAGTCATTTTTCATACTAACTCTCCTGACGAAGGCCCTCAGCTCGAAATGTCGAGAATTTTTTTGTCTATTTTAGCCAGTTGTTGTACAACATTTGATGCTAAGTTGTTTGAAGACGCTGCGACGCTGCTCCCTGGTAATATTGGAACGTATCTCTTTGATAAAGGTTGTTTATATATCTATATATGCATTAATTGTCGTCTTTATAACGTACACAGAAACGGCCAGTCTTTTCGATAATTGTAGAATATAATTATAGTTTAAATCTATAGTATTTCATTAATAGATTTAACTGCTCTTAATCCCCGATTGATTGTTATTCTCGTTACATGTTACATTCTGTAGTAGTGCAATATTCTTTGTTTTAGTTACAATCACCTGAGGCTGAACACGCGTCAGATGCCGACACGAGGTTATTTCAGTTCAAGGGAAAAAAATCACGTCTTAGGTTAGTAAATAAAGCATGGGGTCATTGTGGCAGGAAATATTTAAGAAATGTAGGCTAGTTCATTAAATGCTAGCGCTTTGAGGAAAATTTTTGACTTCATTATGTTTGATTTGATTTCTGTAATATGCAGTTGTGTGATTATAATTTCACCTCAGTCACATGTGAGAAGAGTGCTTCTAGTTTGACTCTACCAAACACAGTGGTTAGTACATGTGTCTTTCATCTCTGTGACTGAGGTTTGATTCCTGTAATATGCAGTTGTGTGATTATAATTTCACCTCAGTCACATGTGAGAAGAGTGCTTCTAGTTTGACTTTACCAAACACAGTGGTTAGTACATGTGTCTTTCATCTCTGTGACTGAGGTTTGATTCCTGTAATATGCAGTTGTCTGATTATAATTTCACCTCAGTCACATGTGAGAAGAGTGCTTCTAGTTTGACTTTACCAAACACAGTGGTTAGTACATGTGTCTTTCATCTCTGTGACTGAGGTTTGATTCCTGTAATATGCAGTTGTCTGATTATAATTTCACCTCAGTCACATGTGAGAAGATTGCTTCCAGTTTGACTTAAATGGAGTCAAAAGGCCACCGGTTGATAATGCTTATATATAATAATGTTTGCTTGCACACATTATTTTTTCTGGATAAAACTTAATGGGGAAAAAAGCAACTGCTTTAAAAAATACGTAATATATTCCGACATTTAATCCCAAGGAGTTTTATCTACACGACTGAACTATGCTTTAGTAACATCGTCTTGCCACTCTTCTGAATTGACGAATGACGAACATAGGTCCACGAGCCGCCGACAGACTTTCTTGTATATGAAAATACAATTCTCGAAGTCCGAAAGTATTTCATAAGAGGATTTTCGAAAAAA